CCCAAAGTGCCATTTTGGCATGAAAAGGCTGCCCCTTGTTCCAAGGGAACTGCCTATCAAGACAGTGTTCGAATCATGCCAGACATTGCCCCTCCCCCAAGCCTGAGAGCTGGCTTGGATCTTTGATGGAGCAGCTCCTGCAAGTTCTGTGGGTCCAAGAGGAAGGGAATGGGTTGCATAAAAGAACGGCCATGTGCATGGACAGAGAGAAAGAAGGACAGAGGGATGGTCCACCACGTGGGACACAGGAGCAGATTCCAGATTGCACACTCTGACCTACTTTGTGGCAGTGACAAATGGCACCGATCTGGGTAATTGCAAGCTTTCTTGCATTCCGGAGGCATCTGATCCTTTCCTTCCGACAGGTGCTGAGTCATGTTCCTCTCCTCAAATAACAACAAGCGGGTTCCTTGGGCAGTAAAGAGGGGGGAAGGGGTGGGGGGAGTAATGCAGGGGATGTTGAGAAACTGCCAGCCAGCCAGGCTGGAGGGAGGGAGGAGTCAAGCGGGGGCCTAGCTTGGAGTCCTTGCACAGCCAGAAGAGGCATAAGGTTGACCTCCCCCAAGACCCATGAAGCCCAGGGGAAGGCAAGCAGTCTCAGGAGATTCTTGTAATATAGGCAATAAGCAATAAAGTTACTAACTTTGATTAGTGCCTGACAGGGAAGGAGGAAACATCTGTGCCTTTGAAAAGCTAACAATCAGAATAGAGCTGAAAGGGACCTTGGAGGTCTTCTAGTCCAACCCCCTGTTCAAGCAGGAGACCATTTACCATTTCATACAAATGACTGTCCAGTCTCTTCTTTAAAAACCCCAATGATGGAGCACCCACAACTTTTGAAGGCAAGTTATCCCACTGATTAATTGTTCTAACTGTCAGGAAATTTCTCCTTAGTTCCAGGTTGTTTCTCTCCTTGATTAGTTTCCATCCATTGCTTCCTGTCCTGCCCTCAGGTGCTTTGGAGAACAGGTTGACCCCCCCCCCTCTTCTTTGTGGCAGCCTCTCAATTACTAGAAAGCTACTATCATGTCACCCCTAGTCCTTCTAAGCTGCCCTATCCCCAAATCTCTGGCATTCCAGCCTTGCCAAAGTCTATCTTGAATTTCTTGTAGCCCGCTTGAGGGACCCCTTGGTTTCTGGATGAATCAGCCCACATTTGCACCTGTTGATGCTTTATGAAATAGGACCACATTCCCTCGGATTGGCACTCCTTTAACATTGTTACCTGGAGGAGGGACGATTGCCTGCTCTGATCAAAGAAAGGACCCGAGGCCTGTTTGAATGAGCTGCCGGCTCTATAATGCTTTCCAAACTCCGCATTTGTGCTGAGGAACTGAGACGCCACAACAGAGGAGAATCAAAAGGGGGAAGATGAGGAGAGAAAGAATCCTGAATGAAGTCTGAAGGTCTGGAGCAGGTCTCCTGATAGGGGCTGTGCCAGATCCAGTAATGGGCAACCCTACCCCTAAGCGTTCAGACAAAACTGGAGCTGGAAGACCAAAACTGATGTTCAAAGGTCCTATTAGCCAAACATTTCCCATGGACTGGGAAGGATCTTTGCGGTATCCTTCCTGTATTTGCATGCCCCACCAAATTAATTGCAGAATTAAAACAACACACAAAGTTAACTCAGCCCCATCAGGTTGCTGCGGACAGTAACTTGGAATTTAAAGCTACCGGTAGTTGCAGTTTGAATGCCTTGTGGCAGATTGCCATGTTTCATGCTGCATTAAGCATCGTTTGCAAGTCCAGAAAATGAGAAGCCCACTTTGGGGAACTGAGGAAGAAGATCTGCCCCCTCCCCTCCCCCATGTCATGCAGTTAAGGAGATGCTGAACCAAGTACCTCCCCAGTTGAGCAAACAGCAAACTATTCAAGGCTAACATTTCTGCATCTTTTTTTGAAGCCAGAGATCCTTCTCCTTTTGCGATGAAAGAAACGCCTGTAGCACTGGGGAGCCAATCTTTGCTCCATTGCTTCTCCAGCTCTTGCAGGGCTAAGCTAAACCAAGACATAAAGCATAATTCTTGACAAGCCACCTTTCTGCCCTCACCCCCCCATTTAATTACTCCTGAGTGACCTCTTGGTGGCACGCCAGTTGTAAGTGGCACTGTGAGAGAGACCTGTGTGTCGGATGGGTGTGCACGGCAGTAAATCCGCCGGAGTCTATTGGAGAACAAAAGATGGCTTGTTTATGCAGTTAGAAATGTGACACAAATTCTCCTGCAGGATTATCTGCTACCAGCCTCCAGTATATAAACATTTGCAGAGTGCAGGATTTCTGGGCTGGCATCCTTCCTCCCTTTTACTCTTCCTTTAGCAGACAGGAATAATGTGATTATAAATCAGATCGGCCTTTTTTGTTAGAGAAAAGCTCACCTTCCCAGCCTCTCCAATCGCAACACACTTTCTCTTTATTTCTATCACAAGTAAGCAAGCAAAAGTACAGATTTATCGTTTGTTTGCCATGTAAAATATTTCCCCTTGCCAGATTAGAAATACTTTAGCTGGGAAACAATGATACCCATAGCAGCTATTTTCCAGAAGGGACTGGATTCATACCTCCTGCTAAACTATGATCTGCTTCATCATGTTTTATTGACTAAGCCATAAGTAACTAGGTTTGCAAAATGCACTAAGCTGAGCCAAACCATACGTGGATGGGCAGGACCACTTTATAGGCCAAAACTATTCCTGATGGGAAAATATTTTTTGCCCAGTTCTGTGAACTTTGGTCTCCAACCCCTTTGCCTTTCTCAAGATTGAGTTCTGCAGCTTGGTGGAGGATGGGGGGGGGAGAAATAGGGAGAGAAGGGGCTATGCCTCCAACTCTTCTTGAGATCATGTTTGGTTGCACATTCAGTTGGAAAGTGAGTCAAGGTGCAAAGGAGTCAACCATGTACAGCCTATCAACTATTGAGATATTTATGTGAATGCATCTAACCCATAATATGCTTTTGACTCTTTCTGAGAGGCACCAAATTCTAGGTGTTCCTCAGGTTCTTGCAAGATAGGCCTGACCTTGTAGCACGTCTCAGTCCAAAAGAAGGTGAAGCCTGAAGCTTCACTCAATGTTATTTTCTCATCCCAAAATGAGAAGAAGGTTGAAGCTTTGGGACACCATCGATCCCCACCAGAAGAAGCTTCCTCTGGTGGGAGAATGAGGGGCTCCCTATGCAGAAGAGGGGATGGGAAGTCCTCTTAGACAACCACTTGTTCATGATGATGCTTTGCTTGAAGACGTTTTGCTTCTGGTCCAAGAAGCTTCCTTAGTTCTTCAGTTCTAGTGGAGTTCTCCACCACTCGGTCAGAATGGAAGAAGCTTCTTGGATGAGAAGCGAAAGTCTTCAAGGAAAAAGAAAGTCCAGTTGCCTCTTAAGAAAACATCTTTGCTCACTTCCTGCTGAAGTGTAGATGCTGGCCTCTCTTGATCCAGGGTGAGCAAAGGGTACATGTGGATCTGCTTCAGATCTTCAAAGCAGGTTCTTTTTGGGGAGGATGGGGTTGTCTTTTTGTGACAGAAACATGCTCCCCCCCCTATGCAGAGTCCTTCAGAAAAACACATCTGCCACAGAGGCTGGTGTTACTTTCATTTTGACATCAACCTAAAACATATTTCTTTACCTGAGCAGATTCAGAGCTGAAAAAAAATCTCTATATTCAGCCTGCCTGCTTCTTTTCATGCCTCAGATTTGTTGGTGCTTTTGATTCTTATTATGGCTCCCCTGATGTGGAGAAGATTGGGATTTAAGTGAAAGACAAAGAAGCCCCTCAAAAAGTCAGCTTTGAAAGGGCAAAAGGGTGTGTTTTTGCAAGATTTCTCCCCTTGAAAAAAACATTTTCCCCGGAGGCCGTGCTCAAAACATTGCAGCTTTTATCCAAACGCACTCCGGGAGCTGCTTTTTATTTTTGTTTCATTTTTGCCGGGCATGTATGTGTGTATGTCCCTTGTTACTAAAATGACTTTTAATTCATCCAATTTCTGCTTCTTCTTTTTTTTAAAGGGTTCCTTAACCAGCACTGTTGCATAATTAAATGCAGCTTGCCTGATGGGAATTCCGCTTTATGTCATTTTTCCTCATTTTCTTCCCTGCAGTTTCCAGCACTTAGCAAATAGCCCGCTTTTTTGTCGTTGGGTGATTTGAATAATGGGAAAGTGGAGTGTTCACAAAAGGGCTTCAACTTCCAGTGCAAACCCTTCCCCTTCCTCCATTTGCAAATGAACCAGTGTGAATTGAGGTGGGGGCACTTACATCCAACCCCCCTTCCCTTTAAGCCGCTTTGGAAAACCTTCCCTCCAGCTGTATCCCAACCTTCCCTTCCTGCAGGTGCATCTCAACCCTTTCAGAAACTGCTTCCACCTCAAGTTGTCTTAGATACAGAATAATCACCTTTCTTGCTCTTCTCTGTACTCTTTCCAGAGTCTCAGCATCTTTTTTACATGGTGGTGACCAAAGCTGGGTTGCAGTACTCCAAATGTGGTCTGATTTTTTTTAACGACTATTTTCATGCTTTCTCTTGTGATCATTTTGGTTTTTTTAATGGTCCTGTTTATGCTTTTATTGCTGAGTGTGTACTTTCTAAACTGAAGCCAACCTAGAGAGGAAAAAAAATATTCTAAATGATATAAAATCTCTCCATTATCCTTTTCTACCCCTTTATTTTATTTCTCAGTTCTTGGACTGCAGACATTATTCATCAATATAAATTGCATGTCTGTTCTTTTCCCCTCAATGTCTGGGCAGGAAAACAAAAGAAGTCTTAGTTTTATCTCTAGTATACTTTTCAAGCTGTTTTTTTTATGGATGTGTTTATACTTATCTTTGTAAGTTGGCTGAAGATATCAAAAGAGACATGGCAGCTTTCTAAATAAATCGTTCAGATTCCAGGGTCTTGGTTGCCAGGGGGGTTTCTAAGGCCCGGGAGGTCGGTTGTGCTTCCCAGAAGCAGTCCCATCTCAGGTTCTCCTTAACTCTGCCTTCCCACCTGGTTCGAGCACGTCAGCATGCTGGTCATCCTCTTGAACTGCGTCACCCTCGGGATGTTCCAGCCATGTCAGGACATCAAGTGCCAAACAGAAAGGTGCACAATCTTGGAGGTAAGAGAGACGCATCACTTTGTCCATGTGGACTTGGACCTCTAGAAGCTTATGGGTTGGTCTTCAGCCACTAATGCCAATTTCTCCTGAGACTTGAGAAGTCTACAGGTAGCAACATGCCCTGGGAAGAGTTCTTCAAGGTAAAAGACCCTCAGGGCAAAATGGAGGCTGAGGATTAGGCCAGGTAGACAGTTCAGTCAAAGTGCAGCATCTGGACCAGGTCAGCCTCAGGTGGAACTAACGATCCTCATTCTTTCTCCTGTGTGACCTTCTTGTTTTAAATCCAGGCATTTGATCACTTCATCTTCGTCTTCTTTGCTGTGGAGATGGTTATCAAGATGGTCGCCCTGGGGATCTTTGGCCACAAATGTTACCTAGGAGACACCTGGAACCGCCTCGACTTCTTCATTGTCATTGCTGGGTCAGTAGACAAAACACTTCTCGTGGGGTCCCGGGTGGTCCCTGATCTGGGTTGTTTTCTTTGAGACCTTTCACGACCCAGCTAGGTAACATCATCAGTGCTAGAAGGGAGTGGGGTTTCTATAGAGGAGGAGAAGGAGGAGGAGGGGGACCGTGTAGTCCTTGAGGTTCTCTGACCTGGGTTGTTTTCTTGCAGACATTTCATTACTCAACTAAGTAACACCATCAGTAGTATGAAAAACACTCCTTGCTTGATTGACGTGCTGAAGGCCCAGCTCTGATCAGTGTGTGCTGGGGTCAGGGGTGGGAGGGATGGTTGCAGCTTCCTTTTGGTGCTCCTAAGACATTTTTTCTGAAAGAAAGCAAGATCTGTCCAATGAAGTAACCTGTTTTTACATTCCCAAAGGTTGACACAAAATATTGCAGGCATAAGGAACCTGGTTAAGGCTTGACTGCCTCAGCCTGTGTTTTTCAAACAGAGGGGCCAACCCTCTCCTCTTTCTCACCTCCTGTGTTTCTTTCCTTCTTTCTCTCTCTCCCAGCATGATGGAATATTCTCTGGATGGACATAATGTCAGCCTTTCAGCCATCCGGACTGTGCGGGTTCTCAGGCCGTTACGAGCCATTAACAGGGTGCCAAGTAAGTCAAAGCTCTTTTGCCCTTCTTTGTGAGGGGGGGGGTGCATGGGGAAAGTTGGATCCTGCAGCCCGTTTCTTGGGCACAGGTGGGCTGGCTGGCAGAGCTTCATTTTGCAACAGTCCGGTGAAATCCTCACCAAGTGAGCCTCCAAAATCCAGGCCTGTCTTAGCTCCAATATGGGGGTTAACCAACAGTCCGGGAGAAAGAATATATTGATTTGAAGGCTTTCATTTCATTCATAAACCCACACCCCGCCCCCACCACCAAAGAAAGCCTCAAGGCAACTCAAGTGCCCTCTGTGGAGAAGCTGAAGGAGCAGCTTCACATCAGCCCCATGGGTCACTCGGGGGCCTCTAATCTGGACACTTAATATAAAGGCTCTTCATCCTTTATAGTTATCTGGTATCTCCCAGATGTTTGGGGCTATAGACTGCATAATCCTTGGCCATCTCCGTTGCCTTCCTTCCTTCCTTCCTTCCTTCCTTCCTTCCTTCCTTCCTTCCTTCTGTCTCATTCATTGACCTTGAAGACTGTGATTTTCTTTCCATCTTCATGTTTGTTTCTGTCTTTATGGATTACTCTGGAAAAGCTAATAAAACTATTAATGTCAAAGAGACAAGATGAATGCAGCCCGCTTGGCCTGGAGGGGCCATCCATTCTGACTCTCCCCGGCTGGGCTGCTCGGCAGCTGGCATCCCTGACATCTCCCAACCCCCAGGAAGGGCAAACCCTGGGTGGCCCAAGGCATTTCCAGACTAAGCTAGGCGGCCCCCATTCCAAAGATGAAATTGATCGACTTGCCAAGTCAATGACTGCTGCATCCCTGCACCAAAACCCACACTACTGGACAGCAGGAACGGAGGAGGACCACACCTGGCCCCCGATGGACTGCATTGGCTGACTGCAGGGCAAAGGAAGCTACTGGGGGAGACTGCTCAGCAGAAAAGGCCAGGAAAACCCCCACTTGCCATTGCTAGAAGTTGGCTCCTGAGTAATGGAGAGAAGCAGCTGGTGGAGAAGACTTTTAGTCCTCCCCCTCGCCAATGATCATGGTTCTCCTGGCCCCTCCCTGAAGATGCAGGAGAGCTCCAGCATAACAGAGTTGAAAGGGACCTTAGAGGTCTTCTAGTCCAACCCCCTGCTCTGGTAGGAAACCCTATACCATTTCAGACAAATGGCTGTCCAGTCTCTTCTTAAAAACCTCCAGTGTTGGAGCCACCACAACTTCTGGAGACAAGCTGTCCCACTGGTTGATTGTTCTCACTGTCAGGAAGTTTCGCCTTCGTTCCAGGTTGCTTCTCTCCTAGATGAGTTTCCGTCCGTTGCTTCTTGTTCTGCCTTTGGGTGCTTTGCAGAATACGCTGAGCCCCCTCCCCTTTGTGGCAGCCCCTCAGATATTGGAAGGGGCTCTCTAAGTTTTCTAGATCTCCAGATCTCTCGTTCTGCATTATGTGTAACTCACTGCGTTCTGCTCAAGCGGCTCTTCAGTCCTCAGTATGGTTTCATGTGGAATGCCTGCTTACAAAGTCATTCAGGGTCTCCCCAAAGGGGTCCCCCTTCCTTACTTCCCAAGAAGATTGCCACCTCTCTTCCTGGCTCTGCAAAGATGCGTTGAGCAGCCCTGCAGCTGCGAGGCCAAAGCAACCCCGAGTTTGTCTGCTTGGAGAGGTTCAAGTGAGCGTTAAGCCCCTTCCAGCTGTTTTTCCCTTCAATCCAATTTGGAAGCTAAGCCAACCAGTCAAATTCATTTCCTGGTTGTGCCCACTTGGCTTTGAGTGATTCTTAGCTGATATGCTAATACACCAGCTCCTTGATTGCTTTTCATCAGAAATCCTATTTCCCGGAGAGCTGATGTAACAGAAGGAAAACAGGCTAGGTACTTGCCAGGAAAGCAGCCTCGGCGTTCTCTCGCATTGCCCGAAAAGTCTGGTTCTTGGGGATCGCCATCTCTCCCGGCTGCCTTGGCGAGGTGAGACGTGCCAGTCCAAGCAGTTTTCCTGCACCCGCTTCCTGCCAGTTCTAAGTCCTCTTGATGAAGGCCACTGGGAGTCTGGCATTTCTTGCAAAGGAAAAGAACATTTGGATAAAATTCTCCCGGGGTGGAAGAGAGGCTGTTGGAACTGAACTACTGATGAGAAGCTGAGAAGCAGGAAGGAGAAGGAGAAGGAGAAGGAGAAGGAGAAGGAGAGGGAGAGGGAGAAGGAGAAGAAGGAGAAGGAGAGGGAGAGGGAGAGCAAGAGCGAGAGAGAAGTCCTGGCCTTGAGAGGTTGTGGGAGAATTTCTGCCTCCTGAACTTCTTGGGGCTTCTGAGCTGCTGGCAGATGTTCCTCAACTCGGGCCTGGCGAGGGAGGGTGATCTAAATTCAGGCCCTTGTAATGGGTTGCGGTTTACACCCCGGGGTTGCCTGATTGCCATTGGTTACCTTCCCAGCCTGCTTCCAACAAGCAAAGTCAATTGGTGATGCTGGCTTTGCTTAATGACTATGTGATTCACTTAACAACCAGAGTGATCTACTTGGTAGAAAATGACTTAAAATTGGGTGCAACTCATTAGCAATGGAAATTTTGTTTCCAGTTATGGTCAAGAGGATCACCTGTGCTTCCAACGGTGTCATCCAAAGGCAGGGAGAGGTCTCTCACAGCTCACTTTGGGGGGGGGGAACCTCTTTTGGGAAAGGCACCTTTCTTAGTCCCCGGCTGTTGGCCCTCGGCTGGCGGCTCAGAGATTCTTTTTTAGGCAGCGTAGATTTTGGGCTGGAGCGATTTAAAAGTCAGGAACAAGCCATGTCACTGAAGGTGGATCACAAACGCCTCTTCCCAAACCTAGAAGGTCACCTTGAGGAGGATGCAACGTCTGAGTCCCGGGGGGATCTTGGAGCAGCTTCTGAGGAACCTTTAGAAACTTCTGAATCTCAGTACATTTTCAGATATTGATTATTGTAGCTATAAAGCTGAAATACGTTTGAACGGCATTGTTCCTTCTTCCAATCTAAAAATTGCTTCCTGTGACTCAGTAGTCTTTGTTCCATCTCTTTCTCCCACTCTGAGATCATTCAGAGAGTCCATCTATGGGTCCCAAGGTGGAAGATGCCCAACTATAACCAGATGGCTTGAGAAGTCCTTTTATTGTGTTCCTGTCCCTACTGGGACACAATTGTGTTCAAGGAGTGTGGGCAACTTTTGATTAAAATGTGGGTTTGCAGTACGGGCCCTGGAGTTGGGGTATGCAACTATCTTATTCTGGGGCAGTAAAAGCAGCCAACCTCCTTGCCATCTTAAATTGAGTTTGTTATTTGCAAGGCCCAGATAATTCGTTTTGTTCCGTTTTGCTCTGAGTTAGCAAAAGGGAGAGCAAAACTTATTCTAATCATCTAAGAGAACATTAGTACTAATATCCACATTAGCATCAGTGTTATCGGCCTTATGTTTATGTAAATTCTTAGTATGCGTCATTATTTAGCAGAGGCCTGAAGCTCAGCTTAATATTCCATATCAGAGCAACCTCTTCCTTCCAGATGTCTTCAAGGATGCAGCTTAGGGCTAAGTTGGTTAGGAAGATCCAGGGTTCAATCCAGCCTAACAGTTTCCTTTCAAGTAAGAAGTTATTTCCAGATCCCCTTTGATGGGAGACTTAGCGCCTCTGCAAGGAACAGCCAGCCAGAGAGCAGATCGACAGCAGTCGGACTGTGGGGATATAATGAATCTTAGATAGCATCGGTTATCCGCGTAATCCTTTTTGATCCCCCAATTCACAGCAAAGCCTTAACGTTTGCTGAGTTTCCTGAAGCCTTTTTTCATATAAATTGGATTCTGCCTGTGGCAACAGGCACCTTGCCTTCTTCCCACCAATTGTATGTGTCTAATGCTGGCTGAAGATGGTCTACACTTTGCCCATCCCCCATCCCTAACCAAAGACAAGGTGGAAGATGCCGCTGAACGACTCCGCTAATAACTGAACTAGAGAGAGTCTCCGTGGTTCTCCTCAGTCCATTATCTGCTGGGAAGCTGACAGTATTGATTAATAATTATTTCAGTTCAGGTGCGCATTGAGGTCATTTGATCTCAGGATTGAGCTGATCCACTCCTGACGGCCACTGGTTTAAGTTTTAATATGTTTTCTTTTTGATAATAGCTTAATGCAGTGTTTCTCAACCTTGAGAGCTTGAAGATGTGTGGATTTCAACTCACACAATTCCCTGGCTGGCTGGGGAATTCTGGGAGTTGAAGTCCACACATCTTCACGCTCTCAAGGTTGAGAAACACTGCCTTAATATGTTTTGTTGCACTCCGTACCTCATAGAATGGACCTTTAAGATTGCTCACTGCATGGCGATGTCAGGCACGGACTAATTTAAAGACGTATCTATGGGTTATTGAATCCATGCTATGGGCTGGCCATCAACATTTTATGTATTTGACAGGGAAACTGTCTGGGAATTCAAAGGGTGTGGGCTAGACCTAGATGTCAGTGGCACATCAGTAGAGAAAACTGCAGGGGGAGGGTCTGTGAAGTTACCAGACACTGAATATGAGTCCAGCAAGTGGATCAAGAAAACTTGCTGACCTTAACTGAAAGCTAGAAAGCTAAGTTGGGTTTCTTGAATGGGGGTCCATCAAAAATGTCCACAGTTGGAAGCTATAGCAGAGAGATTAAAAACCAGAAGAAGACAACCCACTTCCATGTTCTTGCCAGGAGAGCAATCTGGACATGGAGTCACTAACTGGACCTGAAGGAGGTTTTCTCCTTAGCGCTCCACTCCTAGTCTGTATTCTCTAGCCAAGATCCCAGCCAGCCCCCAGAATGAACAAAGACCAACTGACCTCTGCCTGAAGGCCCCTTACAGATGTTCTGCCTGGAAGAAGCAGCCTCATCTGGCTGGATCTGTGTCCCAATTTGGCCAAAGCCGCCCCTCCTTCTGACACCCCCTTTCTGCTGTCTCCACAGGTATGCGCATTCTTGTCACCCTGCTCCTAGACACTCTGCCTATGTTAGGCAACGTTCTCCTCTTGTGTTTCTTTGTCTTTTTCATCTTCGGCATCGTGGGTGTCCAGCTCTGGGCCGGGCTGCTGAGGAACAGGTGTTTCCTAGATTCCCACATTCAAAGGTAAGTTTTCCAAAGTCATCCTTCTCCCTCCCTCTTCTCGCGCCAGCCCTACAGTTGCTAGACGCAGGCAGCTGATTCTGCCGGTCACCAAGCAACTGCAAATAGCTACTTTAATGTAGTGTTGGCTTTTTTGCTGATAAGGAGGAGGAGGAGGAGGAGGAGGAGGAGGAGAAGGAGGAGAGAGCATGCTTCTGGGATTTTCTGCCTGTGGTTTTAAAATAAGTTGGGGCTGCTTAGAACGCGATTCATCTTGCCATGGAGATGGGGGTGGAGGTGAGGGACACCTCAAAAACCTCTGCTGGCTGCAGCATCTTGCTCTTCTCCAAGACTGTCAGCATCACAGATGCCCCTAGAAAAGATAAGAGCCATTTTGAGTCCAACAACCTTGTCTGTTGACCTGTAGTGCGAATGACATTTTCCAGCACTGTTAATTACTCCTGAGAGTGATGCAGATTCACTTCAATTAATCAGAATAGAGCTGGAAGGGACCTTGGAGGTCTTCTAGTCCAATCCAAGCAGGAGACCCTATACCATTTCAGATAAATGGCTGTCCAGTCTCTTCCTAACAACCTCCAGTGATGAAGCACCCAGACCTTCTGAAGGCAAAGCTATTCCATTGTTCTCACTGTTAGGACAAACACCATTCAAGTTGCCAACTAGATCAGAACTAGAGTTCCTGCTGTTGGATCTGGGATCAGAGCTGTTGAGGGTTCCAGGAATCAGTTGAGGCAGCCAAATAGTGGGACTTCTTTAACTTTATCCCTCTTGCCATTTTATTTATTACATTTATATGCCACCCATCTCGAGTTAGTTAAACAACTAATAGAGGTAGCAGGGAAAGAATGTGGAAGGCAATGCACAAACATATACATACATGTGCACATGTACACCCAGCCCCCAAAAGAGGGTGTTAAACTACCTTAAATCTATGGAAGTAGGCAATCTATCCAACTTTGCCATCAATGTTAGCATTATTTATTGCATCCAGAAGTTGTGGGTGCTCCATCACTGAATTTTTTTCAGAAGAGATTGGATAGCCATTGGTCTGAAAAGGTTTAGGGTCTCCTGCTTGAGAGGGAGTCGGACTAGATGACCAAGTCTGTTATTCTGTTATTACAAGCATCAACTGTGTCTGAAGGCTAGAAATGGGGATACAAATTACTCCAATTGCCTTGAGCCATGGAAACCAGGATCCTAAGCAGTTCTGGATTTGGAGCTATTTCTGTTGATTTTACTCTGGTTTACTCTGATTTTATTGCATCCTTCAGCACTGCATCAAATCCCTAATGTAGGCTTCGCCCCTGAAGCCTGAGACAGAACGTAGTCTAAGTTAGAAGGGACCTGGGAGGTGGGGGAGACTTGTGAGAGGGCCCCAGGAATCAAGAAATCTTTTCAGATATTGCACCACAAAACAGAAGAGGAATGACCTTTGGAAAGAAAACGCAACAATGGGAGGGGTCTACAGAGACATCTAAGGAAAAGGGGTCCCTCCCCACAGGACTGGGCAGCCAGTGGCCAAAAAATTCTGCACGTTTCTGAAGTTTAAAAGCCAGGTCTGGTCAAAACAAAGGAAAGGTTAGAAAACAAGTCACCTTAGCAATTAAAACCTGCCACTATCTCTGCCTTGCAGCCAACCCAATTCTAGCGCAATTAAAAAAAAAGATTTGAGATAAGACTTCAGTACCGGTTAATTTCTCTTTCCCTGCTCTTTTGGCAACCCAAAGAGCTGGAAGTGGCTTTGGGGTGGGTGTCCTTTCCTTAATAGACGTGCCAAGGGAAAGATTTTATTAAAAATACACAGCTCAGAAAGGAAGAACTTACGGGAGGGTTCAAGGATATCCAAGAGAGTTGAACATGACGATGAAGAGGCCAGAAGGAAAGGTCCAGGTCTCATGGAGATTGAGTTGGCCAAACTCTTGATTCCAGTACTTGGGCAGCCTCTCACACCTGGGCTTTCCTTTTTTGTGACTGTGAATTCCGTAGGCTAATCATTGCCCTGTGCTAGAAGAGAGTGGGAGGAGGAAGAGGAGGAGGTGGTGGTGGAGGAGGACTGGGGTCCTTGGTGCTCTCTGAGCTTGGCTGTTTCACTGCAGATGTTTCATGACCCATCAACATCAACAATGCTAGAAGGGAGTAGGGTTTGTGGAGAGTTGGGTCATGAAATGTCTGCAAGAAAACCACCAAGCCCAGAGAGCATCAAGGACCCCACAAGAAACTTCTCTACCTTGTCTATTCTTTCTACAAGATTAAAGAGGGCGGCGTCCATGAATTCAGCCAAGCTGAAAACCTATTTTCTTGTTTTCTCTTAAAAGCTACAGTGCTCAGCTTTCCAACTCAAGTAACACTGCAACGGCTTATAGAGAACTGGGCCACCAAAGAATCCTCAATGCATATATTTGTAGTGAGTAGTCTGGAAAAAGAGCAAAGTCATGCATATATATATAGTTATTCCAAGTGTGTCCCACTGTGAGCAATCTTCTTACTCTGAGTTAAGTGAGCATTTCAACCCCAAAGAAAGGGAGGCTTATTAAACAAAAACCTGGTCTTTTGCAATCAGCCTTTTCTGTTTTCCATTTTTATGCTTGGTTGCACAGTTGCCAGATGTTTAGGCTGGATTTGACATTTTGGTCCACCTATCGAGTCGTTCCGGGGAACTGGGATAGACAGTTGTGGTTGTTCAGTGGAGTTAAAAGTATCATCACAGGATGGAAGCTGTTCCAATTCAAGCTGCCATTTGCAGACTTTTTTTGTTTTTTTATTATTATCATTACTGATTTGTATCTGGTTCAGATAAGCATTGGCCGTGCACTGGTTTCTCCTCCCCCCCCTCACCCCCCCTCCCCGCATTTTTTCATTTTTCCCACTTGGCTGAACTCTAATTTCATATCTACATCCGGCAGGGATCCATGTTTTAGGCACTGAAATCTTATCTGTGTCTTAACCATCTCTTGCTTTATTTTTTTTCCCTCCCTTCTCCTTCTTCTTCTCAAGGACACACAACCTGACTTTCCTGCATAAATACTACAGGCCGGAAGAGGGGGAGGAGAACCCGTTCATCTGTTCCTCCCTCCGGGATAACGGCATGCAGAAGTGCTCCAGCATCCCAAACCGGAGGGAGTACAAGATGGACTGTACTTTAACCATGGACGCTTACAATCCGCATTTGGACTCGCTGGACTTGGGCAGTCGCAACGCCTGCATAAACTGGAACCAATATTACAATGCTTGCAGGACGGGGGACTTAAACCCGCACAATGGAGCTATTAATTTTGATAATATTGGCTATGCTTGGATAGCTATTTTTCAGGTAAGGAGACTTCATTGTGGATCGCAACAGAGGGTTTGAGATGATGACCAGCTGCGGGGAAGTGGAATTATCCTCAAGGATGGTTGATGCTGCTGACCAACACATCCCACTTGCTGCCTCTGGCCTACGAGGGCAAAGCAAAATAGCTTTAGTCCCTGTTTTATTGTTGCAAACTAACAGGAACCCATGCAAGTTGCAGCAGTACCCAAGTAACTAAAATAATATGATGAGAAATGTTTTCTTGCAGAGGTTTCATGACCCAGCTAGGGAATATCATCAGTGCTGGAAGGGTAGGGGGTTTGTAGGGAGGAGGAGGAGGATTGTGGGGTCCCTGGTGCTCTCTGAGTTTGGTTGTTTTCTCGTGGACATTTCATGACCCATGTAGGGAACATCATCAATGCTAGAATGAACGTCTGCAAGAAAACAGCCAAGGCCGGCCTGGCGTAGTTTTGATTGGGCTTTGCTAGGGGTTTTATATGGGGTATTTTAGAGCAGGCTTTTTATTCAATATTTATTGTGATTTTTATTATTGCCTGTTCACCGCCCTGAGTCCCGTAAGGGAGATAGGGCGGTATATAAATTTAAATAATAAAATAAATAAATAAATAAATAAATAAATAAATAAATAAATAAATAAATAAGATCAGAGAGCACCAAGGAATCCATGAGGGCACCCCAAAGCAGACCCTGTCAGGCTCCCGAAGATTGAACTGCAGCCTTGGAAAAGCTCTGCTCACCTTGAGCTGAAAGAGGTGGTGGTGGGGAAATCCCAGGGGTGTTTTGGAGGCTCTAATTATCCCTCCTGCCATCCTCCAAATCATAGACTGTTGCTGTGCATTTATGGTATAATGGGCTCTCAGCCGTGATTCATTATAAAAGCAGATCCCGGTACAAATGACGAGAAGCAATTATCTTATGGAGTGAAAGAGAGAAGACGGGACCTAAATTAACAGTGAAATATTTCAGATCCCTCAAAGAAGCTACGGAGGCAGGAACTGGCTGGGACGCAGCTTATTGTTGACCTCCTCCGCGAGGTGCATTGCCCACCTCATTATATTACGATGTCAATTGTTGGCAGGAGTAAATAAAGAGGTAAATGAAGCATTCAGCACATCAACCAGGCTGCTGGCATCACGCTCTGGAGTTCTACCAGTTGGCACTGCCGTCGCTGAATCTTAACGCTGCAGGATTCTTGCCTGGTAGGAATAAGCTTCATCTTTCCCCTTCCAATAGGGAGGGCAACACGCCTCTCAGGAGCATCCTCAGAACACAGCTGGACGGTTCCAAAGAAGCTGTTAGGTGGACTTTACAATGAAGTTGAGTGTTTGGTTTAAGTTGCCAGGATTCCCTTTTCAATGGGCCCTAAACGTGGGCAGAGATGCATCTCCCTTTCCCCGTGGGCGGCAGTTGCAGAACACCTGGCCAGGTAGGGCTAGAAACAGCTTCCTGGTTCAGTTGGAAGGCTCTTCTGGGCTGTTACCATTTGGTGGGATCTTCCAGCCCTCTGCTCTGCCTCATCCCCTTGACCCTGACCTTTGCGGCTAACCTGGCCCAGACTGAGTCCCACAGCTGGCCCAGCATGGATCAAGAAGCCAGATCTTCTGGCTGCAATCTTTGGAGGGAGCAAAGGTTGGTAGCTTCACTGGTGCTGCTCATCCTTGCTTTCTTAGGCTGTGCAGATCGTGAGCCCCCAAGGCAGGGAGTTTAGCTTCCTTCTGTCGAAAGAAGTTATCAAAATCCTGCCGTTACCGTTAACTCTGGCGGCTGCTGACAGCAGCTTTAATATTATTTGGGATTTAATTTTCTAGGCCCTCTTCTCTCATCTGCTCCTCTTCCCACAACAGCTTCAGGAAAGAGAGGGAAGATGAATATCTCCTCTCTCTGCGTACGCGTTTTTTTCTCAGCCAGGTTGCCTCGAGTTTTCACCAACAGATTGGTTCTATCAGCAGGGATGGAATTCCACCTTGCAGATGGCCAAGAGAAGGCCAGGGAAGCCTCTTCAGCAGGGCTTGATTGAGCCATCAAGGGGAGATGTCTTCTGACAAAATAGCTCTTTGGAACTCAATGTTCTTCCTGCGATCCTGTGGTTCTCCCTCCTGCGTATTTCAAGCAAATTCCCTTTCAGAATTCCGCCTGCAAATCTTTGTGGCTCTCAAATGCAGCCACCTTGGGAGCAATGAAGGTTTAGTTCAAGACATGCAAAACTGCTTCTTGGTTTTTAGGGTAGGGCATGGTTCTCTACCCCACAATTTGTGGGAACAAGGCAATGCCCCAACAATGTCTTGCTGTTTCGGCAGTGTGTAGAAAATTCCTCCAGTTGCTTTGAGGGATGGACGCAGAGCTCCCAGAAATGATGAGATGAGAAATTCAGCAATAATCTGATTTGATTCGGACTCCAGATCAACAGCAGGAGGAAAGCTCCTCCTTCTTACAGCCCACTTTGTTGCATTTCAGCAGAACGGGGGGCGGGATTTGCAGGAACTCCAGAATGTGATGGAAAGAGAATTCCTGCCAGTTCCTTCCCTCCAAGAGGGCTGATCCTCCATCCAAAGAATTATCTGCTTGGCTTTGCTCTTGTCTTGGATAATTTTCTTTTTCTTCCCCCATCTTGCTTCCTTGATCTTGTAAGCAGAGTTTCGGATCTGCCAGCTTCTTGCCTGGCAAAGGAGCCCTGGCATCTGGGGATAGGAAAATGAGTAGTCACAGAGAGCCCACATGCTGGCTGTTTGGCCAACTGCTGCCAGTCGGGCCTTGGAGGCCAGTGAAATGGAGGATCTCACGCTTACCAATTATGCAAAACTCTTTGAACGTTCAAAGGACATCTGCTTCGCCCTCTAATACAGGGTTTCTCAGCCTTGGCAACTTTCAGACGTGCGGGCTTCAGCTTCCATTGGGGAATTCTGGGAGTTGAAGTCCACACATCAGTAAGTAGCCAAGACTGGGAAGCATTGCTCTAATCCTTACAGCAACTCAGTGGACTACATCAGTCTAGCTTTTACTATAACTCAAGAGTTCAGAATGAAATCAAGCGCCTTCCCTAAAGATATCCATGTATCCTCTTCTTACCATGTATTTCCTCCTCGGTGCCCCTTTTCCTTCATTTGCAAGCAGGGCAAAGTTATGGGAGCTACCTCAAGTCTTATGGCTTTGGTATCTTATCTCGTGGCTGCCTCTTCCAGCTCCAGGGCAGGGGTTCTGGGTTTTTTTGCACGATGAGTTTCCGTTGGGGGCAGAAGGAAAGCCTCCCTCTATTCCTCACGGAAATATTGCCAAGTGCTCTTTGTCCAGTTCTTGGTCGTTGCTGGGCTTGACCTAAGAAAACAGTTTCAAATCTTGGCTTCTTGTTTTCCACCATCCAGTCTCCAGGACTGGATTGCTGGATTTATGCGCTCACCGCCACAAAACCATGAATTCCATTTTCCTGCCTGCTACAGCGCAGCAAATGCTGGAGCTAATTAGCATGATAAATCAAGCCTCATGAATATGTAATGAAGAACAATTTATTTTCCATTACTACAATTGCAGTTGATCAACGTTTTTTGGACTGTGACGTTTCTGGGCAAATCATCTCTCAGACTTGTGTGGACAGAGAAACGGGAGGGATCCCTGCTGCACCAGTTTTCATCAGGAAAACGAAGAGTTTGGACACCGTTTTTAGTTTAGGGAAGTCATCTCCTCCTTAGAACCACCCGGAGCGGCTTCCTTCCTTGGGCTTTTTGACAGGCCAAGAGATGGAGAGGCCAGCTTCTCAGCAGCTTCATTCCAATGTTGGGATGATGGTTTATTTGGAGAAAATTCAAGGAAGGAAGGAAGGAAGGAAGGAAGGAAGGAAGGAAGGAAGGAAGGAAGGAAGGAAGGAAGGAAGGAAGGAGGGAGGGAGGGAGGGAGGGAGGGAGGAACTCAGATATTTGCCTTTTGAAAAAATGTGTCCCGATCTAGAACCAGAAAATTAGAAATGTTTTAGAGAGTAAAATAATAAGCCTTGAAGAGATAAAAGAGGATAATTCTTCCAATGGGAATTCTTTCATGTCTCCCAGAGGAGACAGTTTCCTTTCTTGACTTCTGGGCCAAACTGGGAGTTGACTTCACACATCCTGCAGGAGAACGTTGCCGCTTTCCAAGGGTGACTGGATTTCCTCAAAGCAAAAGGAAAAACCGGGAAGCCCCTATAAGCGATGGAAGCATCTCTTTTATTCATGAGAGGATCACACAAACCCATGTGTCATTTTAAGAGGTCACAGCACTGCACCGCTTGGAAACCTCTGGCCAGCCCAGACAGCTGCCTTTGCTCAGCGTGATTTGCACCTCAGGTCAAACTCACCAACAGCCAGCCAAGCCCTAAAAAGAAAGACCAAACCAGAATAATTGCAACAAAGCTAAGTGTTTTGTAGAAATGCAACTCCTCCATCTTGACCTGACCTGCAAAGTGTTTGGTGAGAACAGAGCCCATAAATCATATTCCAGCCGGGAACTGAAACCATCTCTGTTAGCACCAGGAGGTCCACCACGTAGGAAGAAGAATTTCTGCAGGCCACAAAACGGACTCTGTGCGCCTGATTCTCTCTCTGCATATTTTTTTCTCCCGAAATGGGGAATCGCCCCCTGCATGAAAGAATAAAGGCGAGGAACCCTGGCACAGACCCTTATTCCCACTTATTTGCTTTCCCTGAATTCCATTCTGAGGCTCTCCTCTCTTCCTACCGGGAAACGTTCTCCGTCTCCAATATTCTGGGGGTCCCTCAGCTCGTTCTTCTTCGGAGTGCCTGGAGAGAAGCAGCCACCTGTTTCTGCAGCTGTTCCAGCAGAGTGACAAGAAACCCATCCTAGGAAGACGAGGGATGGTGACAGAAGGGAAACCCTGGCATGGGACCAAGACGTGCCAGCGGCACCTCGGTTTCCCTTACAAGATGCCTCCCGGCTCTGGATTCCCAGCACAGCTCTGCAGAGGAGGAGGAGGAGGAGGAGGAGGACCCTTCATGGGTACCCAGCTGCTCCCAAGTTGAGGTGCCAAGACAAGAGACGGGCAACTGGCTGGGTTCCATCTTTTTTATTTTGCAGCAAGCCAGAAGGACTTTGATGTGATGGAGGCTGAGACCTCCTTCAGCCTCTTCTCTCTCTTACGCGTCACTCCCCTGCCGCCCTTGTTTTAAAACTCACATTATTAGGCATCATTTCGAATAAGCGCCCCCCTTTGAGGGGATTTGGAGTCATTGGTACTGACTTCCAAGAAAGCATACAGGGCTCTGCTATTTAGGGGTTGATAAGGGAGGTGTTAATGGGTTATCAGGAAAGGTCCAACGGAGGAGGCCATGAATCAATGAAAATAATGACATAATCCAGCATCTTGTTTCCAATTCTGGCTAATCAGATGCTTCTGGGGCAGCCCACAAGGAAACAACAAGGTGCAAGTTCTTCTCTGTGGGTCTCCTCCCCACTATTAGCATTCAGATGGACCACCTTTCAACCTTTGTGCAACCAGACTGCATCAGCACAAGGATTGTGTTAAGGAGTGGCTTTCCCCTTGGCTTCTGCAAAGTAGAGTGTCTGCAAAGTAGGATTGAAAGAAAAAAATCAAGATGGTGGTCACAATGTTGCCACTGATGCTTCACCTGCTTTTATGTACATGCGCCATTGTGGCCCCATCCTGACTGTTTCACCACAACCTTCAGACATGCCCATTTGCAGGTTCCAGCACAACTCGCTTCTTGTGGTGTTAATTAAGTCTCTGGTTCTTTTCTTCTGTAGCAAAAAGACGATGGGAAGCTTAAGCAGTGTGCCGTGGCTTCGCCGTGTAATTAAAACATCCTTCCCCTTGTTCAGACATTTAACGGTGGCAGCAGCAAGGACAATTACGCAACTTTAATGCAGACTGCTGAGCAGCTGAAAAGGAAGCCTTCACGGTGTTTTTCAGGCCATTTATGGACTCAGCAACGGAGATCAGATCTGAAACCCAGGACTGGCCTTGGTTGAAGTCAAATTCTCCACTCAGAAAAAGGAGGGGGGATAAATTATGACCATCCTGAGACTTTGTGAATCGCAGGCTTGAAAGCTTCTGCTTCAACACACCAAGCCTTGCATGTAGAAAGCCAGCACTCCTTCCTTGTACCTTAGGCTTCCTTGCTTTTTTTTTTTTTTGCCTTTCTTCACGTAGGTTGATTTTGACCCACGAAAGCATTTAAAATGGAAATATATCCCTCCCCGGTTCCCAATTGTTTATCATAGCTCAGCTTCTCCAAAGATTGGCCTGAAGGTCTTACAATATCGTTGTTCTTCTTAGTTCAATGCTTCCAAGTTTTGACTTCCATCAAAATTAAGAAAAACGCGCCCTGGAAGGAAACACGGGGCAAATTTGGGGAAACAGAAAAGCTTTTATTATTGCAATGACGGGCCCACAGAGAAAGAGTATTCCAAAATCTCCATCAGCAAATCTTAACAAGCCAGCCCTGCCCCTCTGCGTGCCTGTGTGTGCACACAAGAATAATTAACCAGAAAGAGACTTTGATGTTAACTTTTATATTTCTCTTTCTTGAGTTGGTGTCAATTTGGATAATCTGTTTGGGTTCTCCCTGTCTCGGAACAGCAGTGAACGGGGCATCCGATTAAACTTCAGGACTTGGGGTTTTGCAGGAGAACAAAGAGTTTGCTAGAGCAGATAAATTTTCTGGAAGGCAGGAGGCGAGGCCTTAATGGGCAGCCCACATCTTCACTTTTATTTTTGAAAAAAGTTAAATGTTCAGCTTACTGGGTTTAGGGATGGATGGGGCTTCATTTTGATGGAGAGTAACCATTGGATAGGGAATGAAGTTGTCAACTTGTGCAATCAACAGACTGCCTAATTATATCCGTGCAGGGGAAGCAAGTTGATCCAGGGGAAAGTTCTGAAAGTGACAGATCAGGTCGTTGTTTCCCCTTCAGCCTCTTCTGCCAGCTCAGATGCCCATCAAAACAACCAGGGGAAGAAATGATCCACCCATCCATCTTCAGCAAAGCTCTGTTTTCCTTCACTTGAGGGTGATGGAGTTGCTGTTGTTTGTGTCCTCCAGCCCTGGGTGCTCACAAGGACTCTGTGTGAGCTGAATAAATGTTGAAGGGTGGGTGAGGGAAGGGCGGGTGGGAGAGAGAGAGAGAGAGAGCAGTTGAAAGAACAGAAAGGAGAACAATCCAGAAGAGACCGGAGGGGAGGAAATATCCACACTCTTCCTGGGTTTTCTGCTTCTTAACTTCTTTCTGGTGATGCTGTTAACGCATTTATCTCATCTCTGCTTCCCCTACAGGTTATAACCCTGGAAGGATGGGTTGACATCATGTATTATGTTATGGACGCACACTCTTTTTACAATTTTATATATTTTATACTACTTATAATAGTAAGTATGGGGGTTGTCACCTCAGATTAACACTGTGGTTCTTAACAAAGGGGATCTCACCAGGATGAGGGACCAGGCAAAGGATCCTTTGAGATGAAGGCTTCTGCAGGGTTGGGGCAATCCAAAATTCAAGATGGTGGCAATGAGTGTACAAATTTTTTTTTAACCACCCTTTCTGTCCAGGTAAATGATCTCCACGTAATATCTGCTGTGGCTGTGGAAAGCTGCAAACCTCTCCCAAGTCTAAATGTCCTCACTGCTAGCCCATCCCCAAATTCCAAAACCAGGTTTCCCACAACCAAGAAGTGCACAGTACAGTCCTCAATGGATAAATGTTGTAATTCCTGAAAGTCTATTCTCAACACTTTGAGTGGTAGCAGCTTGTTTGAAGCACATCCAAGGTTCCAGCCCATGTAAAATATGCCAAGTGGGCCATTAACAACTTCCACTAGCAATAACACACACAGAGAGACACACACATTATGTCTGCATTAAGCTTTCCGTCATGGTGGTTTACATTAAGAAGCTAAGAGGGAGGTTCTTTCACATCAGAGGAGCAGCACAAGAGAGAAGGAGAGAAGCAGGCGGGATTTTCCTGGCAGCATCTCAGACTCCTCCTGGCTCCACATATCCCAGCACGTTTGTCCAGAAAAGGGCCTATTTTCCCTGGGTGGCCAGCTTAGCCCTAGTTCTGCCTTGGCCAGGCCCTCCTTGGACGCCTGTCTCCTGGGGTGGGCACCACAGTTCCAAAAGGAGAATGGAGCAACTTCTGAGGAGGACCACCAAGATGCAAAGATCTTAATCTGATGATATAGAGTGACATTTTGGGAATGGGGGAGGGCACATTTATTTGTCTTCTGGGATATACTAGGGGTAGGAATAGGAGCCAATGGGAGGGGGCTGATTTCAGACTATTTAAGGAGGATGGGTCGTGTTGCAGTAGAAAGGATTTTCCTGGATGTCCCAAAGGTGCTTTTCCAAAAGGCAACTGGACTTTCTTTGTTTTTCATTGAAGTCATTTCACTTCTCATTCAAAGAAGCTTCTTCAATTCCGAAGCTTCTTGGATGAGAAGTGAAATGTCTTCAAGGCAAAATTTAAGAAAGCACCTTTGGGACGACCAAGACCTGGATGAGAATCTCCATAGGCACTTTCCTTGGGCCACTCTATTTCCTTGTTTGCCCATTCCTGTTAGGTCAGCCCAACACACCCGGTCATGAAGAGTGGACCGAGGTTAACTTTAGCCAAGTTGTGCATGGTGTGTGCCAGCGCAGCCATGTGTCCTTCGATGGGTGTGGGGTGAGCACGGCCACTCGCCTTGGTCTTCAAGTGCTCTCTGTCTTCTTTCGGCTCTCCCAGGTTGGTTCTTTCTTCATGATTAACCTGTGCCTGGTTGTGATAGCAACACAGTTTTCTGAAACCAAACAGCGGGAGAACCAGCTGATGCAAGAGCAGCGAGCCCGCTACCTCTCTAACGACAGCACAATCGCCAGCTTCTCCGAGCCGGGAAGCTGCTATGAAGAGTTCCTCAAATACATTTGCCACATTTTCAGGAAAGTCAAACGGCGGACCTTGCGCCTGTACAACAACTGGCAGAGCAAGCGTCGGAAAAAAGTCAACCCCAACAGTGGTGGAGACAATGGTCAGGGCCAGCAGAGCGGCAAGCGACGCATCACGTCCATCCATCACTTGATCCACCACCACCATCACCACCACCATCACCACTACCACATCGGCAACGGGAGCCCCCAAGGGCCAAGGTCTAACCCAGGGATTTGTGACCTGGAGCTGGACATCATAAAGCCTGGAGGCCAACTGATGCTTCCTCCACCTTCGCCCAGCCACCCAGGTGGTAGAGCTGCAGATACGGAGTCCATCCACAGTATTTACCATGCCGACTGCCACGTGGAAGGAACCTCAGTGAAATGCAAGTCTTCCAGCATTGCTGCAGGTAGCAAAGCTGCCAATCGTGGCAGCATGAACTACCCCACCATCTTGCCTTCTCCGGCAAACAAAGCCAGTGTCCCTCCCTTGACCAAAGGGAAGAAAAACGAGGGCAGTGAGGCGACCTCTCCCATGCCCATGGTCAGCAGCCCAGCCCATCTAAATGCGGATTGTTATGGGAAGCTCCATCATCTGGTGGGAGAACGTGGTAAGAAAAATGGCTTCAGTGGCCTAATTTAGACTTAGCATCCAGAGCGGAGATCAAAAGAGGTTAGGAATAAAAGCCCAGTAGAAGATTTCTGCTGGTACAGTTGAAGGCCTTGTCCAGGCTCAATCCCACAACCCCAGATCACCTCTGAATCTGGAGTTTCTACTATTTACTCCAAATATTTGTAAGCCACTAACCTCCACTGTCATCGGAACAATACGACATTGTCTATCCTCCACTATCATGGCCTTGGCACCGAGTAGACACAAGAAGACCAAACCCCCCAAAATAGATGTTTAAATTTAAATTCCAAGATGAATTAAAGGCACTTCATAGGGTTGCTCTTTACTAAATTGGTAGCTGTGCTTGTAGACATCTTTGGTTTCTGTTGAATCTACCCATGTCCTCAAGTTCATAACATTCTCCTTACCTTGCAGGCCTCTGCCGGACCTCCAGCATTCTGTCTGGCCTGAATGTGCCGTGTCCCTTGCCTGGGCCTCAAGCCAACACCTTGAGCTGTGAGCTGCAAAACTGCCCATTCTGTGCCAGCATCCTTGAGGATCCTGAGTTTGAGTTCAGCGAGGCAGACAGCTATGAGTCAGGAGAGGACAACAATGGGATCTACGAGTTCACCCAGGATGTAAAGCATGGGGACTTCCGGGACCAGATCCAGCAGCAGAGGAACAAGAAAAAGAAGAAAAGGAAACCAGCCAAGGAGAGGAACAAGCTAACCAAGGTCTGGAAGGCCTTTGGCAACAAGCTAAAACGGATCGTGGAGAGCAAGTATTTCAACCGTGGCATCATGATCGCCATCCTCATCAACACGCTGAGCATGGGCATTGAGTATCATGAACAGGTAAGGAGGTATGTTGGCTTAGCTGGCCAAACTCAGGAGAGGCCATTGTCTGATCTCCTACTTAAAGAACCCACATATTCTTAGTCTTGCTTAAGAGGAGGATCACCTGGGCAACGCATCTTTGTAAGGGTGGGGGACTCAGACCGGAAAGGTTGAAGCACTCTTGGTTGTGTTGGGAATGGCGCTTTCAAGAATACAGCAACTTTACTTTGAATCCAACTGAATGGGGATTCACCTAACACAGGACTCGTCATGTGTTGGCTTATTTTTGGCTTTGCATGTGCTGTAAACCCAATTGACTGCAGTTTGTTCAGTGAAGCATGGTTAGTGTGACCTGCAAACCCAACTTGAATCAGCCCTCTGATCCTTGAATACGTTGATTCACATATCCCCAGATCCTAGTTTTGAGGGGTACCTGGCCTGAGAAAAATGTGAGATTTGGAAATAGTTCTATGGATCTCAGGCATATTAAGCTAATCAAAGTTAATCCATGCAGTCGTTCCTCCTTTGACTAGTGTCTCCACTTCACAGTTGTGTGTCAAGATCAGCAACTGTTCCAGAAGAATCTTTCATAACTTCTTACGGAGGAAAATAAATCATTTGCTTTTCCTGAGAAGACCTTCATCTTTTTAAAAATTTCAGGGGAAGAGAAATCCAGACTGTTCACACTAAGGTTGGGAACACTGGTATTAAAGAACACATCCAAAAGGTGAAGACACCATGTCCCAGCTGCTGGCATCTCGTGAGGGACAGCTGGCTGGAAGGGGATGAGTCATCCCTGAAGCACAGCTGCTTCATTGTGGCTGGACAAAGCTGCCCTTCCTGTGGTCTGGAGTTTCGGGAGAGAGTTGGAATTCACGTGAAGTGAAATCTTCCTCCCTTCTTCAGTTTATCTTTCTCGGATGAGGTGCAGGGATGAGGCCAACCTATCAGAGAGCGAATGATGGGATAGCGCTGTCTTGAGTAACCAGCCAGTTTGGGTCTTCTGTAGACCGCACTGAAGGCAAAGCCAGTTGGGGGAGAGAAGGCACAAGAAGGCAAAGAGTCTGTGCAAGAAGGGAAGGAGTTAAAGTGGTGAAGGGGGACTGAGGAGACCTGGTTGAAGACCACCCTTACCTTCAGAAGCTGGGTGGAGGATGCTGGTCCTGTCTCTTCTCTCACAGAATACCCTACTCATCGGGTTAATGTGGGGCTGAAATAAGAGGGGGGAACTGGTGCATATATGAATCCCACACTCCCTGAAAGGCAAGTGGGACATTTCTCAAAACTCAGAATTCCTTTTCACTGAGCTTCATGTTAGGTTAATGATCCAATAATTAGTCTCTGGCTAGGAGTCCTCACATGGTTGCTCCAAAACAGCTTCTGTGCAGCCTCCCACAACCAAATGTCTACTTCACACAAGACTTTTGCACGAGCTCAGAGATGGACAAGGGTATTGAACTCCCCAGCGGTTATTTTTCCCACCTTGATCCCCCCTGCTTTTCTTTGGGGAGTGGGCTTGTGGGATGCATAAGCCTGAGGTGTTTGCCCTCAGGCCCTTGAGCAAGCTAAGTCTTTGGAGGCACCAAATGCCAGAAAGCCGATTCTTTCCTTCCGGCCCACCTGCCGATTTCTCCAAAGGAAGCAACTGTTCTTCCATTTCTTTTATTTCTTTCAAAATGATTGCGTTGTATTTTCTACTCTGTCTGGTTCCATAGGACATCACTCAGGGCCTCAATTGAATTAATGAAATGTAATCTGGTTTAATTTAATTCAGCAAATGGGAAGGAAGAGGGAGGTTGTGGAAGTGGAGAATTTTACTTGGCAAGCCAGGGTCTTGCTCGCCTGTGACTCTCATCCTTTTTGCTTTGATCCAATTGTGATGGATTGGAGCGATCAACCAAGGACGAGGTGGCTCAGCAGCGGTGACAGCTCTATCGGTTACCCGGTCCCAGGTGTGGCACAGGCTTCCATGGGAATGCCATCCGCTGGTTTAGAAGGCAAGATTGCTCCCTGGGCCCTTGATGATTTGGGTGAAAGGAAGGGGGTCCAAGAGCAGAGGGGGGTTATCTAACACAGATCCCAACCAGATCCTTCCAGCTCAGCCTTATCAGCTCAGATTAATTGCAAATGGATCTCTCAGATCATACCAGCTTCTTTACTCTTTGTGATTTTTATTTTGTGATTTTATTAAATTTATACCCCGCCCTTCTCCCGGAGGACTCAGGGCGGCTGAGTCCTGAGTCCTGAGTCCTGAGTCCAACTCTTAATAGAAGTTGTGATGGAGGTTGAAAACAGCCTATTCTTCATCATGTCCTTGAGATCACCTTAGGACTGAATATCCTTCCTTCCTTCCTTCCTTCCTTCCTTCCTTCCTTCCTTCCTTCCTTCCTTCCTTCCTTCCTTCCTTCCTTCCTTCCTTCCTTCTCCTTCAGATCAGGCCTCCCTTTATTTGAGGATCCATAACATGCTTACAAATACTAATCATGGGTTATCGAAATCAAATATGAAACAGAAATGGATAGGTATACTTTTTTTGTGGCTGAGTCCACGCTGTCTAAAACCGGTCTGATTTTCCATGGCTGCTTATTTATTTATAGTATGGAACCTCAAGAAAAATTAAGGAAAGTTTCTGCTAAGTGAAGTAACAACCATTCTGGGTTACTTCTGGGCCTTCAGAAGTTGTGGGTGCTTCATCACTGGAGGTTTTTAAGAAGAGACTGGACAGCCATTTGTCTGAAATGGTATAGACTCTCTTGCTCGAGCAGAGGGTTGGACTAGATGACCTCCAAGGTCCCTTCCAATTCTGTCATTCTACGAAGTTCATTCCTCAACAGGTCCTTCTCCGTCCCCCCCCCTCCCCTTCATTCACAGGCAGTTGACTTTTCCAGTGTTTCCTTGACCTCCTCTCTGATTGATGGGCTGCTTGAACCAAGGAACCCTTTGTTCTGGCACGGCATCAGCTTCAGCCTCCCCCCCCCCCTCTTTGTCCCACCCGCCACCAAGCAGCCCTTGCCAGAAAGAATCTCCATAAAAGTCTCTTCCTCGGGATGAGTAATGGGCTGGCCAAAGGGATCTCTGTGGCCTCCCTGCTCGATTAAACATTTCCAGCACCCTGGAAGTTGGAAGAGTCAACAGTGGGAACCAGGAGGGCCTTTGATCTCCCTGTTGGTCGACCAAAGTTATTGTCTCAACATGCTGCAAAGAGCAAGCCCTGATTCTGAATTCCCCCTGCTCCCCCCCCCGCTTCTTCCTTTTTGGAAACAGTGCAGAAAAGAGAAAGCCAATGAATGGTCTGAGGTCTGAAATTCCTTTCCTGCAAAGGCCAAAATATTTGGATTTGGGGCTTTCTTTCTTTCTTTTTCTTTCTTTTAAAGGACAACTTGCAGACCTCATAAATCTCTATTAAATCCTCCGAATCAAACTGAGTTTTTCTCTTTGTCCATAATCTTGGATCTCAGAGGCCGCTTGCGAAACGGATCCCAGCAAGAGGGTGGCTTGCATTTCCACTCCACAAATCTTCCCAGATCCAGAGAAACTGCGAGTCTTTCTGTAGATGTCCTCCTTTAAGCCGATACGCAGATTAATGCAAAAACGGACACGGTGGATTTCTGGGTAAAGACAATGAAAGAAAAGACGGGAAGGAGGCGAGGCCATTTTCTCCCCCCAAAGGCTGCCGCTGGGGAATTTGGGGAATTGGACCCCCCCTGATTTAGCTTCTGTTCTCCAGAAAGAGAAGCTTCAGGTAGTCGCATCTCCTGAAAATCTCTCCGGACTCTTCCTTCCCCTTCCGGGGGGAGATGGCAATTGATCTAATCTAGCCTGGCATTTAAGCCACTTGAAATAAAATTGCTTTTTGTCAAGTGAGGCTGAGAAACGGGAACAGCAGAACCTCCCTACCATGCTGGGAGTCCTAAGTGAGGCTAGGAAGTCTGCCTTAAGGAGGGGGGGCTGTCCCCACAGGACCCCGGTCGGTTCCTCAGCCAAGTTAAAAGGACAGGAGTGCGAGGAGGCAGCTGGTTCACCCAAACTGCCATCCTAGGTGGAAATCAGACCCCGTATTCAAGATCAGGCATCTCCAAACTTGGTGGCTTTAAGACTTGTGGACTTCAACTCCCAGAATTTTCCATTCTGGCTGGGGAATTCTGGGAGTTGGAATCCACAAGTCTTAAAGTTGCCACGTTTAGTGACCCCTATTCAAGAGGATCACCTCCTTCTCTCTTTCCCAGAGCAAGGAGCTTTGAAACTCCAAAAGTGGCATCCGCAAGCAAATACCACTTGCCATTCTGGGCCTCCATCAATGCTAGCTCAAATTATTGAATTTGATCCCCTTTGTTTTCAGTTTTTTTGTTTTTTAGCATGCTCTGAGATTCTAGGATCTGACTGGGGGCTAAGCAGTGCTTAAAAGCCCTGCCTCCTTCTTTTAACCAGATCATTAATTCAGCTCCTCACCCACCCAACAGTGGGAACCCTTTTAAAGGATTTCCAGCAATTGGAAGAGAGGTGGGATGGGATGGGCTGGGAGGGGGCTTAGTTAATCCTACCTGAGCCCTGTTTCTAATCTCCTGTATTTGTATTTATTTTATTTTATTTTTAAAAAGGGTTGTATCAAGCACTTACTTCCTTAATGATGTGCATGCACTGGAAATCTAATATGGTAGCCAGAAAGTAATTCATTAGCTAAAGAGATTAGTCATGGGAGAGATTGCAGAGCTCATGAGTTAAGTAAAAGGTTTAATCTGCACTGTGGCCACTCACGTAGCTGCAGAAGTTCAACGGGAGGCAAGCGAAGGCTTTTATAGCCCATAGCATCCGTCACAGAACTCAACAAGGCTAGGGAAATCCTGCTTCAGAGTCTCGTTTAGCATCCTGGTCTACACAAAATTCCTACTAAAAGGACAAGTGTGTGTCCTTGTGAGAAGAAGACGAATGGGTGAACATATTCTAGGGCAGGGGTCCCCAACCCCCGGTCCATGGACCAGTACTGGGCCACAGCCTGCCAGCAACCGGTCAGCACAAACAAGCAAAAGCCATCCACGGGATGCAGGCAGCACGCAAAACCATGCACACTCCAGTCTGTGGAAAAACCGCTCTGTTTCCTTGCAGATGTTTCATTACCGAAACTAGCTGATATCATTGGTGCTAGTAAGGAGAGGGCTTTGCTCTCCGTTTCTGTTCTAGTGGCTGGCCCTGTCAGTGCTGGTGGGTGGTCTTAGGGGATCTTTGGGCCGTTCACTGTTGGCTTGTTTGGCAGTTCCTTGATTTGGCTATTGTTTACTTCTTGATGGTTGGTCTGATGTTAATCTTGGAGTTAATCTATGCTCATCTCGGTGCTGATTGCTGGTGGGGAGGTATTGAGTTCTTTTCGTTCCCTTCTGGCCTTGTTGATTATCTCTTTTGCCTAGAATGGGAGCTGAAGTCCACCCATTTTAATGTTCCCAACCCTGACTTACTCCATTGTTGGTTTTGCATGCTCATCCCTCTTGCAATTTACTTCTTCTGGCATTTCCACCAAGAGTAGCTATCCTGGTCACTGCTGTGCGTCTCCTCCAAACAGATTGACACTCATGGAGTTCCTTCTCCTATGTTGCTTGTCCCAGGCTAATTAGGGTGAATTGTCCCCATAATCACTCCTCTTTTGTCTATAAGGAGAAACGGGTCCCAGGCTGCAATTCCATGGAGTCGAGTGTTTGGAAGCCTCTCTTCCAGGCTTGGAACTCTACCAAACACACCATACAATCATCTAAGCTTGTTCTTAATGCAAGGAAGTCTGGCTGTTTTACAAGAAGAGGCTGCCTCCCTACATGCAGAAAGGTGGGGTGGAGATGCAAGCTCTTCTTGTAAAACAACCTCACTGCCTTGCAAAAAAAAAAAAAAAGCCTACAATGAACCCTTCTCCACTTCTGTTGAATCCGGGATTGTCTTCTTGTCATTCTGACAGCTACATGACATCTCAAATTGAGCCCTTATTTTTCCTCTCTCAGCTGGGCATTGTCTGTTATAATTCCCACACCTCTCAGTTCTTGACCAATGTGGTTCTCAACATGCTGCTTTGTGAATGATGAACACGGAAAGAGAGGGCATTTTTTTTTCAATAAATTCCCTTTTCTGCTTTGGGTCCCTGAGCAGGAGAAGATGGAAGAGACCGCCATCATCTTAGGAAATTAGCTAAGAGAAATGAAGATTAGATAGTCCTAAAGAAGAATAAATCAGCCCCTTTCTTGGCGGTGAGCATAACCTTAAACGTTCAGATCTCCATCGCATCCAACTTCTGCACAAAAAAGATATTTATCTTTCTAAGGCATTTCCCTATCCGTTGGGTTTTTTCATACGTTATTTCCCCAAATATCCATATTTTTGTATCACTGAGACCACATTGCAAATTTGGGGTTGCAGAGGTGCCTAACATTTCAGCTGGGACACAGACCAGGGCAGAAGAGCAAAGTAGACAGGGGGACATTTGCATGAAGTTGTAGGAAAAAAATGGTTTTCTTCCCACTCCAGGTGGTCTTTTTCTGCGAATTAATCAGACCTTCAGGAAAGCTGAAGAAACTTTCTCTGTCTTTCCATACTCACCTTCTCGTCTAGCACATAGCGCAAGGGAAGAGATTGCGAAAGTCCTTGCTCGTGGATCTGGTTAGCTTCCCTAATTAGTTGTCGTCAACAGTCAGGTTGAGTGGATTAGATCACTTTCAATGCAACATTTAAGAGTTGCTTGGAAACCAAGGACAAGATAGGGGAGGAATGTTTTTCCAACCCAGCTGGTCTTTCTTTGTTGACTCCTTGTAGCTAGTTGGGTCCCTTGCTGCAATTCATATTTCATCCACTCTGGCTGAAAAAGTATTCTATGAATAAATAAACTGGTCTGAAAGGCTGTGGGAAGGCAAGATTGTGTGTTGGGTTGAGAAATGAAGTTTTAAACATGTGGTTGCTTCACAGCCCTTCCAGACTAAGATTATACATACAGCACATTCGTTGCAGATGTTTGTGCTAAGGATGGATTCATAAGAATGGGGGAAAGAGTTTCTAGCACTGGAATCAATGGTCAGCTGGGTAGTGTGGGGAGACTTTGGGAAGCCCCCAAAAAGCAGTCAGAGGAGATACATGAGAGAGAGAGAGACAGAGAGACAGAGAGAGATGACAGACGATAGACGATATAGATGATAGACAGACATAGATAATATAGATGCACTAAAATCTTCCTTCTGGATTGCTGATATTTGCAATTGAACTAGTAGATGTGCATTTCAGGCAGATCTAAATTGCTGATCCTATCTTGTTTGATACTTCATCTGCAATTATTACTTTCCCATATTTTGCATCCCGTCGCCCTGTTTTCCATTGTGATAACAATCCCTGTGGTCACAGGGTCAGGAAAACAACTCAGCTTGAGAATCGTGATGGAGCCAGATAACGTTGTCGTTGTCAAATTCTGCTTCATCTGCAACTAGAAGTTAGAAATAGCCAAGGGAAGTATCTTGGCCTCCATGCTGACCTGGATTGCCTTTGTTTCTCCCTCTTGCCCAGCCGGATGAGCTCACCAATGCCCTGGAGATCAGTAACATTGTCTTCACCAGCATGTTTGCTCTGGAGATGCTGCTCAAGCTTTTGGCTTTTGGCATCTGGGGATACATCAAGAACCCCTACAACATTTTTGACGGCATCATTGTTGTCATCAGGTAAGTTGGCTTCTAACTTGGCCTCAGAAGAATCCTTCACACATCGTTCCTTCTTCTTAAAACTGGGGAGGGGAGATGGAGGGAGGGAGGGAGATTGCCTGCCAGCTGAATGTCCTTGCCTGCTTATCTTTTTTAACACTGCAGCAAATCTTGGGGAAGTAATATTCCACTTCTGGTGCCCGTACTCCCTGGGGTCACCTCCCCAAATTTCTTGGGGGGAAGATGTGCTGACTTAGTCGCATCTACAGAGGAGCTGGGAGGGGAGGGGATATAAGAGAATGTACATTTACATCTCCCTCTTTTGACCTCCAAATGCCCAAGTATGAAAAAAACATTCTATGGGCCCAACTTCATTATCTGCCAACATGCCAAAAAAAAAACAGCCGTGCCCCCAGGCCGTCTCTGCCATCAGGGACAATTAAGAAGTTGACGGTTGTTCAGGAGCTGGACAGCCCAAGTTGCCTGAATCTCTGTCTCCATCCTGCAGTGTCTGGGAGATCATTGGCCAGGCCGACGGGGGTCTTTCAGTGCTGAGGACCTTCCGTCTCCTCCGGGTCCTCAAGCTGGTGCGGTTCATGCCGGCTCTCCGCCGGCAGTTGGTGGTTCTCATGAAGACCATGGACAACGTGGCCACCTTCTGCATGCTGCTCATGCTTTTTATCTTCATCTTCAGGTAGGTTTCATTGGGCGCATCTCCTGTCTTGCCTAGTTAACTGGCTGTTTTGTTCCTCTCGGTGCTGCACTAATTACAAGGACAAGGATCCCATTTGCCCAACACTTGGGAATAAACATGGCCTCTCTGCAAAGTGACAGGCTGGCACTGTGCAGATCGATGTCTCCTGGGCCACCTCATTCCTTCTGCATCCTGCCACCCAGGAGACAAATGAAAGATGCAAAGTGACAAGCATGACAAAACAGTACCTCCTCCTTTGTTTGTGATAGTTGGCAAACAACAGTGAGACGCCTGCATCGGAGACCAAGGACAGCTCCTCTCCAAGGAGGACAAGAGTTGATATAGACCCCATGAAAAGTCAGAAATGTACATCAAGTACAATGTTCTCCAAAGGGGAGGAAGAGTTTTGCAATCTGTGAAGCTTTTCTAGGAAAAAAAATCAAATATGTTTTTGTAGACTTCAGGTGGACAAAGAGGCTAATTCTGACTCCCTTCGTGTTTCTCCAACCTGGTGCCTTTGGGGTCTGGGGGAGGCCCAGCTCTCTCATACTCAGTCCACAGGGTCTTCCATCATCCTGCCAGGAAATGCTGGGGATTTTATTCCTCCTGGCCCTGGTGGGACCCAGGTTGGAGAAGACAGTGCTACTGAACTCCTCTTTTCTAGCCGACAACCTGGAAAAGGAACAACGACCTGAGTTATGCCATTATTGCAATTTTTTTTGATTAAAGTTTTATAAATTGCATAAAAAACTAACACAAACTAATAAAGAATGGAGAGGAGAGGAGAGGAGAGGAGAGATTCTGATTTACTTTGCAGAAAACATAAATATAATTGAATTGCAAAATTATCTCTTCCTCTGTGATTACCAAAAAAAAGTCACCTTTTTCTGTTTTCCAACCTGGGTTATTTTAGAGATGAAACAGGAGCTGGGACTTTTTCAAATACTCTGTTCAAATAAGCTGTTTGCCTTTTCAACCATCTTTTCTGTCTTTCTCTCTCTCTTTCCCTCCCCTTCCCCTTCGCAGCATCCTCGGTATGCATCTTTTTGGGTGCAAGTTTGGCTTAAGGACAGAGACAGGAGACACCATGCCAGACCGAAAGAACTTTGATTCCCTGCTGTGGGCAATTGTCACCGTGTTTCAGGTAAGGTCCTTGAGCTGCCCATTTTGTACAAGGAGCTGTACAAAACATTACAAAGATGGACCTTTTGCAGCCTGTTATCTCCAAACCTCCGATATGTAGGTCAGCATTACAAATTACTTGCTGGCTGGGGAATTCTGGGAGTTGAAGTCCACCCATCTTAAAGTGGTCGAGTTTTAAAAACGTCGCTTTGGAAGATTAAAAACCACTTGAAAATTCTCTGGAAAGTAGGGAAATGCTGAGTCTCTCTCCCTTTCAGGCCCCCTGAAATAGATAAACAACCACCAAGGATTAAATAATTGACTGCTGGGAGACTCTGACAGCAGCTTTGTGTCATTTATGTTGTCACTCTGTCCGTCTAATAGAGAGGCTGGTGCTGTTTTCCTAGCAAAGTCTTGCAGTTAACTAAATTAGGTGCAAAAAAGACCGGAGCTGAATTTCTCGTCAAGGTCACTGGAAGCTGCATTACTCTGTCAAGTCCAAGGGGGTTGGGTGAAAACAAGGCTCACTTCCTGCTCCAGGATGGATTTGAAAACAGCTCTCTTGGTGAAGACTGGGCTAGTTTAGAGGGAAAGGCTTGTGCTTTTAGAGCTCGGTTCCTGGATTATTCTGGGTCGCCATCCATACCTGCCAACAGGAAGAAGCCTGACCTATAAACAAAACTGATCTAATTTGCTAACAGGCACAAAATCCTTGCTATTTTGAATAGAGACAAAGAGCATTTTGCTCCTGCAAAAAGTTTCTTTATCTCCTCTCGTAACGCAAAGCCCTCATTTGCATTTATGATCAATGGCTCACAATTTCAGCAAATGTGGTGAGTCAGCAGGAAAAAGACATGCAGGAAAAAAAAAAGGAAAAAAAATGACTCTGGGCGTAGAATCGGATGTACTTTTACCTGCGGCGCTTCCACAAAATGGAAGTCTCTGAAGTTTCTTCTGGGAAGGATGGGTGGCAATCAGATCTGGTCCCGGTTTAGTCAACAGCAGGAGGCTAATAAGAGAAGGTTTATCTCAGCCACTGACCGGCAGATGAGCTGCCAATAAGAGGGGAGAGAGTTTGGGAAGGGGAGGAGCTTGTGGCCATTAGATCCATACAGAAAATGGAGTTGGTCTTTGGTGTCTCACTTCAACCTCAGCTGATGGAATAGTGAGAGATGTTCCTGGGAGGACAGGAACCTGTCTATAAGGTCTTGATGAGTCTCCACTCCTGGGAGAAAGCTGCTAACTAGATGGATCCCACCATCAATCTGATCTTGCACATCTTCTGAACGTGCACAAAAGGGGACTCCATTCAAGAATCACTCAGCAAGGGAGGTCTTGTAGTTTCTTACCAGCTCCTTTCCTTGGAAAGACACAGAGTGGTGGAGCTAGGCAGCAGGCAGAAGATACTATAGCAAAAGGACTGTCCATGTAAGACCACTTGGAAGCTCTAATAACCAAGCATGGAAAAGCAAAGCGAGAGCAGGAAAGAGAGAAGTGGGTTCAGATGTTCTCCTTGCCCCATCTGCGTCTTTCAGATCCTGACCCAGGAAGACTGGAATGTGGTCCTCTACAACGGAATGGCCTCCACCTCCTCCTGGGCTGCTCTCTACTTCGTGGCTCTGATGACCTTTGGCAACTATGTCCTCTTCAACCTCTTGGTCGCCATCCTGGTGGAAGGTTTCCAAGCTGAGGTAAGGGGTCTACGGATGGCTGGTCGGAGGGGGGGGTTGTTGTGTGACTCCACAGACCCCAGTGATGTCCGGGACACGTTTGGTTGCAGCTCCTTATTTATGAACGGCCTGATTGTATCATCGTAACACTTTATACACTGGCCATTCATTTCACTGGCACAGATATAAATAAATTTGTATCTAGATTTCATTTTTAATGTGTGCCATTGTGCCCACAGTAAAAAATGACAATAAACGTCTGTCTGTCTGTCTGTCTGTCTGTCTGTCTGTCTGTCTGTCTATCTATCTATCTATCTATCTATCTATCTATCTATCTATCTATCTTCTATCTGGTAAGAAACCCCAAATACCTAAACATATTCAGCAGGTATAACAGGCCATGAATGAACTTTCTGGCCAGTTAGTTGGGTTTATCTGAGCCGTTGGTCAAACAAAATTCTGTTTCAAAATGTTCCTGCAAATAACTAGCTTCCCACCTGGATACCCTCTAAATAAGGTGACTGCAAATACAAAAATTTCTAGGCAGAATGACGTATGTCAAAATATTTTCATCAAAACCCACAGACAGCTGTGGTGTTCATTGTCAGTGATCTGGGAAGTCTGCTTTTCACCACAGGAAAGCAAAAGTCACAATGTCACTCCCTGGAAGACCTCTGCAAGAACGTGTCCTTCAAGAAACTATTTCCTCCTGATCCTGGTCAGAACTGCTATGCTTTCCCTCTTCTGACATCTCTCTAAGACAAATCCATGGCACAGTTTGAGTTTTCAGCAAGAGTTATGTCCCGTTTCCATCTCAGAAATAAAACCCATCACATCACATTTCATCAAGAAGCTTTTATGAAGTCGTTAGCGTATGGAAATGGACTTGGAGCCTTACCTGCTTGAGCTAAGAATGATGGCCCAGAGAGGGGATTTAATCACAGGCAGGAGAGGGGAATATTATTATATTTTCCCAGCTCAGTGAGAGCCCAGCGGCCATTTACCATCTCCGAATGCCCAACTGCCTTTCTCAGCAGGATGAGAAATTGCTTTGCTCTTCAAGACACAAGTCCTCAAGGAGTGTCAGGGGAATGAAGGGGGAAAGGTAGAATTATGTTCTCCTCCTGAATTCTTCTCTCCACTTTCCTCCATGCATTACTGGGGACCTCTGAGTAATTTAGACTTAACTTCAATCATACAAAAAAATGGGGATCGGTGTGCCAGCCCAGGGTCCTGAAAGCAGCAACTCTGAAATAAGATGGCCATCACAGGTTCAAAATAAAAATGGAAGCAGAGCAGGAAGTAAGTTTGAGAAGCAAGGCAAAACGGACAAAATGGAGGAAAAAATCCCACGTGGAGCACACCTGATGGTTGGAGAAGAATCTTTCGATCAGGAAGTCCATTCCTTCCTATCCAAAAGCTCATAAGTGTCCACTTGGTTCATTGCCTATGATGAATAAAGTCTTCAAAAGTTGGACCTGCAGTGGGCAGATATGATTTTTTATAGGATCTGAGTCAACATAGGTCTAACGTCACAGTGCATTCACATGTTTCCTCCAGCTTCCATTCTTTATTCAGGGCTCCATTCTTCCTCTAAGGGTGAATTGGCTTATTCCAACAGGAGCCCTGAGTCCTTCTAATAATTCCTCTCCCCTCCTTGACCTTCTTTGGCTGGCTTTCATTCAGTTGCCCTCCTGCTGACAGTGATTGCCTTCACATCCTAAGCCTGTCTAACAGATTTTCCAGGAAGATCTTGCTTTGGAATTCCTCTATGAGAAATAATTTTGCTTGGGAAAAACTCCTGCATCTTAACTCAGGCTGATTGGATTAAAAATGGCAGCAGCAGCAGCAGCATTGGCCAAAGGCTCCATTAAATTTAGTTCCAGCCACTGGCAAATTGACTGCAACTGCAGTAACAAGATTATTCCTTCCTGCTCTTTTCCACCGAGAGAGCCTCCATCCGTTGTGGCACTTCTGTGTTCATTTTATCCTCTGCTACCCATCAGCCCTTGGCCAATTTGGCTGAGAATTCAGCCTCTGGTTGGCTCCCGTCTGGGGAGGCTGGTTGACAATTTTATTATTGTCTGAGACTTTCGCAGCTTCTTGTGGGTTGTAGAGCTTTTGCTAGCTATTGATTTCCTGTTCTTTGAAATCGCCTCTCGCAGCTTCGCCTTCTTTAGCCACTTGAAATCTGATGCTTTCTTAATAACTAGAAAGCATAAGTTAGAGATCAAACTCATCCAAAACTTCCTGTTTCCACAAAGTGGCCAATGAGCAGGGCAACTAAGGCAGTGGTGTTTAATGATTATAGTGCCATTGAATGTGGTGTCCGGTTTAATAACAGAGATGGAAGGGACCTTGGAGGTCTTCTAGTCCAACCCCTCCACCTCCCTAATTCTCATGGCCATCGGTTTTGAGAGAGGCATAAGAATTAACATCGATCCATCTCATGTGAATTCCAGCCTTTTCCTCTGGGGTTTCCTCTCCGGCAATCGGTGATAAGAGAAAAAGCAGAATCGGTGCAGAAGTCAACACTGGAGCTCACCAGGGATGGAAAAAGTGCTCTCAATTCTCTCCTAGCTCATTCTTTTTTTTAAGGTGTTGAGCAAAAGCCAACATTTTGCAGCTTGCACCCGTTCAGAATGTTGGGACTGCAACACTCAATATTTTTTCCCAGATGAGAGTTGCTCCAGCCTCCCCTTCTCTTCCAAAGCTCCGCTGTTGTCTTCACGGGCTCCCCTTCCTTGTAGCCGCCACCTCTTCCTCTCTCATGTTTCTACCATCAGGGCCCTGGATATATTTTGCAACCTTCAAAGTAACTGATATCAGAATGCCCATATGGTGAGCCATATCAAACAGGGGTCTGCAACCTTAGCAAGCTTAAGACTCTCAGAATTCTGCCGGCTGGGGAATTCTGGTAGTTGAAGTCCATAAGTCTGAAAGTTGCCAAGTTGGAGACTCCTGATATAAAGTATGTGGCCTGAAGGAATGTCACGACGGCCAGCCTGCCTCAATGCATTGTGCTGCCCCCGCCCAGGAGCACACTGTTCCTCTGCTTTGGACCAGTGCCTGCTCTTGGCAAGAGTCTCTCTAGACTCCCTGTTCTACCCACTCTCCCATTTTCTCCACATCTGTGCTCAGAGATAGCCAGGGCAACAGGCAGACGAGGTCGGCACGTGGTTCTCTGGGAGGGTAGCCCAGAATTTCTGGGCACACAGTGGCCCTATCTGCCACCCACAGTCTCATTTCCATCTCTTCAATGGCTTTTCCCTAAATAAGCCACCATAATAACAGAGGCCACCCATTGGGAACAGTTCCACCCGCCCTGCAGCTGTGTATCTGTTGCTCTTCTCCTGGTCTCCATTCATCCGCTGGTCCTCCAGCGTTTTTGGCTTCAGCTCCTCTCCCAGGGTTTGGGGTTGGCAGCCACCATCTGGAAACATTTGGCCACTTGGCTGGCACTGGACAAGCAGAAAGGGGCAACTTTTCAGGAGAGACAAGGAGTGCCCATTGTTTCTGCTTGCCTCCAGATGCAGCACGCTGTGTGTCTTGAATTGGGCATAAGTCAACAGCTAAGCAGAGGAGAAGATGGGGTCCAAGAACCGGGGGTCATATTGAGGCAAAGCATCCAGAAGAATTGGTTGACATCCCTCTAGTACAGCAAAGCATCCTAGCTCCAAATATGAGCAACCTTCCTCTTCTTTGCAAATGTCTTCACAAGAACACAACCCATTAATTTACTCAGCAAAATAAGTTATTATTGCATAAGCTGTAATGAAGAGTTGTCTTCCAGATTTTCCAGTATCTTGGCCACATAAATGGCCTGATTCTACGGAACTAGGGATGGGCAGTTCCATCTCTGCTTGGCATAAATATGTAATTACAGGCTTGGCGATGGCAGGGGTGGGAAGAGGATTTGGTGGTGGGGATGACTCCCCTTGGAGCTGTGATTTAAATGTCCAGGAAATCCTTTTCTTTTCCTGAAGAGTCAGTAGGAAGCAGGAAAGCTCCGTCCAGTGAAAGATATTGGCCAGCAGTTCCTTCCACGATAGCTCTCTTAGGTTAGTTCAGGGGTAGGCAACCTTGGCTCTTTTATGGCTTATGGACTTCAACTCCCAGAATTCCTCAGCCAGCGTGCTGGCTGAGGAATTCTGGGAGTTGGTCCACAAGTCATAAAAGGACCAAGTTTGAAGACCCCTGGCCTAAACAATAGCAGCAAGCTAGAACATGGACACAGACCTGGTAGAGGAAACCTCGCAGTAAGCAGATGGACATTTTAAAAGTCCCCAAATCTCATTATTGCTCAACAGCAGAAAGAATTGTTGTATGCCAACTCTCAGGAGGGTCTATTCCAAACAGACCTTTGTTTTCCATGAGGAGTTAGGAATGATAAACCAAGGAGCCGTGAAATAAGCCTTTTTTAAAATAAATGTTTACAAAACGTAGGAACAAAAATTTGCCTTTTGTTTGACTCCAGATAGCTCCGTTCACCTGGCATAACTGCAAATCTGTTGCCAACCTTTTGTTCTATTTTATTTTGGGGGCACTTCAGGGCGATGCCAACAGATCTGACACAGACGAAGACAAAACATCGACCAACTTTGAGGAAGAGTTTGAGAAGCTGAAGGAACTCCGTGCTTCTGGTAAGGAGAGGTGGCTGGCTGGGGAGGCAACCCTTGAGGGCTTCCCTTTCGATCCAAGGGAAAAGATCAAAGCTCTGAACAGCCCGGTTAGGCGGAGATGTTTACCTTGGAAGGATCATCGGAGGAAGCAAGAAGATGGGGTCAACTGGGACTTTATTACTTGCTTCTCTTTTTCTCTCCCCAAGAATTTCTGTATTGCCCATCAGAGAAATGGACAGCCATTTGTCCAGAATGGTGTAGGGTCTCCTGCTTGGGCAGTGGGTTTCACTAGAAGACTTCCAAGGTCCCCTCCAACACTGTTTATTCTGCAAAGCTTCCTATTTCTGTGCATTTTTCATGAACATCTTCAATCCTTCTCCCTCACCCAGCAAAGTTGTCAGAACCTCAAAGAGCCTATAGCACCTTTTTCCTTGTGGAGAAAACCTAGATCTATGTGGGAACAATTTCTCCTGGGATGCTGGTCTGCTTGGCTCATGTGGAGGTATCTGTGGGTGGAGGTTGTGGCTGAAGGCCAGAAGTAGGTTCAGAACGTCTTGCCCAGAGATTGCTGAGAAGGTCCTGTCTCCTCCCTTGCAGAGATGAAGCTGTATTCGCTGGCCGTCACGCCCAACGGACACCTGGAGGGCAAGGGCAGCATGCCCCCGCCCATCATCATGCACACCGCAGCCACCCCCATGCCCACCCCAAAGGGGTCTCCACACATGGACTCAGCCTACCCTTTTGGGGACTCCAGGAGGGGCAGCAACGTTTCGGTGGACCCGCTTAACTTTGACCAGAAATCTTTGGTATTTTTCCAAGAAATGGCAGGGCAGGGAAGGGTTGGGAAGGGAAAACTGCTCTCCATTTGGGGCAGGTGGGTGCTGGGAAGAAGGTGGAGAAGAAACCTCCAGCCAGGAAATCCTGCTGCATCTTTGAGCTGAGAGGATGAAGTAGGACGGAGGTCTTCTCCACCTTCTGAAGTTGGGGCTACACTTGCAAGGATTCCTTGCCAAACCCTGACCTGGTCTCCTCTCCTCTCCCAGTCCAGCCTCCGCAGCTCCCCCTGTGCCAACTGGGGCAGCCGCCGCTCAAGCTGGAACAGCCTGGGCCGGGCCCCCAGCCTCAAGAAGAAGAGCCAGTGTGGCGAGCGGGAGTCCCTGCTCTCGGGGGAGGGCAAAGGCAGCACGGACGATGAAGCCGAGGAGACCAAGCTCAGCACCCTCAGCCGCCGCCCCCTGCACCACCGGGCAGAGTCCCTGGACTGCCGGGGTGGCTTGGACCTGCCAGAACTCCTCCAGGTGCCCGGAGTGCACCCACCGGTAGCCATGCTGCCCCTCGAGTACCAGGACTGCAACGGCAAGATGCTGCAGGTGCCCAGCGAGCTCTACCTGCACCTGGACAGCCGCAAAGAGGATCCCTTCGACTACGATGAGAACATGGAAGATGTAAGTCCAAAGCAGCCTTTGTTCTTCATTCCCCCCCCCAAGTGAGGCCAGAGGCCAGCTCTTCCTGGAAGCAAGGGGCCTCCAGCCACTCCCACCCTCCAACAGCGTCTTAAGTGGTCAAGGGTAGCCTGGGGGGAGGGGAATGAATGTTGCCCTCTTTAAGGTAGGAAGGGAAGACCCCACAACTGGTCAAAAGGAAGTCCCTTCCTGTGACATTCCTACACTCCTCCAGCTGGCCAGGGACAGCTGTCAGTCCCAAACCTATGAGAACGTGCAACCCAACCCAGCCACGGCCACGGGTGCAAGCGGCCACTGCCTGCCAGACTTGAAGGGAGATAACAGAAAGGTGGGGAGAGGGGAGCCTCTCGGGATCAGATTTCCCAAGGGGGCTTCCTTCCTTTTTTCCCTCTTCCTCCACCCAGAGCTTCTGCTACAGAATCCGCAAGAGCTTGGAGCCCTACAAGCCCAAATGGTGCAAGAATCATGAGGACTGGTCCCTCTACTTATTTTCCCCCCAGAATCGGTAAGGGCTCATTTTTTTCTCTTGGGCTGAACAGAGCAAGCCTTGGCGCCCTCCTTTGGACATCCTTTCTGGTCTCTCCAGAAGGTTTTTATACTCCCTGTCTTGGAAGGTGACCTTGGCAGAGCAGTGCAGGGCTTGTCGCCTATGTAAAACGGGGAGAAGCGTTTTTAAATAGTCCAAAATATTTAGTTAACATTTGAAAAAAGGCTCAGACTGACACCTCCATAACTCACTGAACTATGAGTGGGAGGTGGTTGAGGGACCATCACCAGACATGCAAGATTGATGCCAGCCTCATCAGATGGACCAGACCAGGAAGTTATTGAAACCTGATTTATTGAAACCTGATTTATTGATTACTATTGAATATTGATTATTTAACAGCCAATAAAAATTATCAGGGTGCCCTGGATATTTAAATCAAAGTGAGGTAGTTGAATGTTGAATGTCCCCATGGAACTGACCAAACAGAAGAACAGGGTCCGCGGCTTCTGGGGCACCTGAATCACAGGGACCGTATCGGGTTCCCTGGGGAGGGGTTTCCCTGGACTTCCCTTGCAGGACAGCTGTGGGGAGAGCATTAACTCGAGCTAAAGATAAGGATCTCCTAAATTTGGGAGCCGTGACATGCTATAAATATCAGGGCAGCCTGCACAGTCTGCAGCTCAGCTATCCAAAGGGGCAGGTGTGGGGCATGGGGTGCCCTTTTCCTATTGGCCTAAAAAATAGAGGAATGTTTGGGGTCCTGGGGGGCAACTGACCAGCCCCTCCTGCCTTACTTTCAGCCTCCGGGCCAACTGCCAGAAAGTCATCGCACACAAGATGTTTGACCATGTGGTCCTGGTTTTCATCTTCCTCAACTGCATCACCATCGCCTTGGAACGCCCGGACATCGATCCCAACAGCACGGTGGGCCCCCAGCAGTTCTTGGAGTTGGGGGGAGGGCAGAAGCAATTTTTTTTCTAACATCTTTGCCTCCTGTCAAGGAAGGAGCTGCATCTTTGCTTGTCAAAGAGTCAAGGATGAAAAAGCTGCCTTGTGCTGAGTTACTGGGCAATTTGACAACTCTCCCGAAACTGAATAGATAAATTATTTGGGGTAAAACTAGGTGTTTCCCCAAGGTGCAGCCTAGCTGCTAACTTTCCTCTTCCACTTCTCAAAACGACTTGGCTAATGTCCCCGCAATTAAAAACACCAACTCCCAAACCACCCAAAAACGATTAAGCAGCTTCAGGCTGCGTGACTTGCACTCCAAACAGTAATTTTCATAAAACCCCTGCAAGGTAAACAAGGTAGAGAAAGGATTTACCAGGATGATCCGGTGAACTGTGCAGTTTTGGCACAGAATTCAGGAACCTAGGAGAGGGTTCATGGAGATTTCCTGGGATTAGGGGCTGAGTCCCTTGCCAGTTTGGATTTCAACTGCTGGTTTCTCTCCTTTTTGCAGGAACGGATATTCTTGAGTGTCTCCAACTACATCTTTACGGCCATTTTTGTTGCTGAGATGATGGTTAAGGTAACGTCGCTGCATTTCCAATTGGTTCCCCTTGGATTAATGTACGGCAAGTGTAGGTCCATCCGTTCTACTGAATGGGAGGATAGATCAAGGAGGGACAATTATTCACACTTTATTACTTTCACTGAGGGGAAGGAGGATGTTCTTGAGGGAGACCCAATTATAAAAGACGTTGCATTCAAGAACTTCTCCACTGCAGCAACAACGTGGTTCCTGTCAATTTTTCTCGCATCTGGCAGAAAAGTTAACTCAAGCCAATTTTCTGCAGTGGTGGAAGATTGTGGTTGGCTTGTACTCTTTGCAAAGACCCCTCCCCCCCCTCCTGAACAGTTCAGGTCCAGATTCTGTCTCATTTCCAGTGAAATGGTTCTTGAGCTTCAATGCAGCATGAACATCCGTGCCTGGAAGAGCCTATCCCATTCTCCTTCTAGGTTGTGGCTCTCGGCTTCTTCTCCGGGGAACACACCTACCTCCAGAGCAGCTGGAACGTCCTGGATGGAATCCTGGTCTTTGTGTCCATCATTGACATCATCGTTTCCATGGCATCAGCAGGCGGAGCCAAGATTTTAGGGATCCTACGAGTACTTCGGCTGCTGCGCACCTTAAGACCTTTACGGTATTAGCTGCCTTCTATCAAAGCAGGAGGCATTTGAGCTAATCCCTTTCCTCCTCAGGAGTAGGAGGGGAGGACCCAGCCTCCCAGACCTGAACAATTAGGGAGGTCGTTTTGATCTCCAAACCAACTCTTGCTAAGAAACAAAGTCAAAATCTCTTCTCAAACTCTTTTCACTGGCAAATTCTTTGGTCTGAAAGCCTTGGAGAACTCTCAAGATTCATTTGGAGCTGGGGGGGGCTACAATTCGCCATTTGCAACTGGTAGACCTTTCTTAATGCCTCAATGTCCCTTCCCACTCTTGGCTGTAGAACAAGACTAAGCTGGTGTATTCCTGGTCATTTCCAAATTGCATCCAAATGTGGCATGGTGCTTTAATTAACTTGAGGCATCATGCGTATCATAGCCCGTGCTTTGGCCAACCACCAGACTGGCTCTGCCTATCTGGCTTTGAGCTGAACTTGCTTATTCTGCTGCATATCAACAGAAGGACAAAAGCAATGAGACTCTGAATGGAAAAACTCAGCGTTGGCTTTCCAGCCGTCTCTGGCACGGGGTCCTGTGGTGCATAGATTAGCATGCATGCTTTCCCGTTTAGCAGCTACACGCGTGTGCCTGTCTCGAAAGCCGAAGCAGCCCGTTCTTCCCAGCAGGTAGAAGGGTTGCCCTTGTTTGCAGTAGGTCGCATAATCCTGCCTGGTGCGAGATAAACACTCCTTTTCCCAGCATTTCCAGACCTTTTCAAAGCCGTCTGAGGCCAATCACTGAAGGTGCTCAATGGCAGATCTGGCAGCAGTTCCAGGAACCCCAAACCTGGCCCCAAAGGGGGGGGGGTTGTCCAGCAAGATGGCAGAGAGGGACACAGCAGACCCCTTGCCCTGGAGTGAATTTGCATTCCAACTGTGATGGATAATAATTTGAGAACTCCCGGCATCTGCAGATGTTTTGCGTTCAGAACCACAGAGGAGCGATTTAGCTTGCTAGAAAGTCAAAAGTAGGACAACATTTGCCATATCTGAAACCAGGCAAAAGGGAGCTGGTCTTTTTGTTTGCCATCCAGTAATAAGCGAGGCGTCTGGAGGAGAAAGAGAAGAAGCGAGAGGGAGAAAGGAGGAAGAGGAGGAGGAGGAGGAGGAGGAGGAGGGAAACATGCTGGGGGAATTCTTCTCTGCTCTCTGTGGGAGTCTGCTGCTTCACATCATGACCACAGAAAAAGCAAAACGAGGCCCAAAAAACAACGCAGCAGGGGTCTCTGATTGCTTTGGTGGAAATAAACTAAGAAGCAGCCGTGGTGCACCACCGCTGGTCCATCTGTTTCTTGCTGGGGTGAGGTTTGTGCTGGGATATTCTTAGGGAGAGATGGGTCTTGGGACTGGCTGGGCATTTAAAGAGATTAAGATTTCAAAAGGCCAGCCCAGGCCCATCTCGACCAAGGGGGAAAAGTCTCCGAGGGCATCTGAAAGCATTGATTAGGTGAAGTTCAAGTTTGGGGAGCTGTTTTGTCCCTACGAAGCATGCCCCTAAACGAGTTCCTCTGGGCATGGGAGGAGAGTTTTTTCTCTCCACTGCAAGAGACGGCATTAAGGACCCAACCTTCTCCATTCTCCAGCAATGTCCTCAAAGATCCAAACTAGACTTCCTCTGCTTGCTTCTCTTTCCTTTCGGATCCTGCTTTTCATCATGCAGCCATGCATGCGATCAGAAATGAGGGATGGGGTGTGGGGGAAGAGAACCAGAATACTTAAAAGTTATAAAATGTGGTTTCAAAGGTCTCTGTTGCTTCCCAATTGGTAGTTTCTTCTGAGGGACTGAATATTTCTTGGGGAGTCTGGAATTGGGATGAAAAAAGAATATGTTCCTCTCCAATCCAGGGTCATCAGCAGAGCTCCAGGTCTGAAACTCGTAGTTGAGACGCTAATCTCTTCTCTCCGGCCTATCGGCAACATCGTCCTGATCTGTTGTGCTTTCTTTATCATCTTTGGCATTTTAGGAGTACAGGTAAGACTTTCTCACCACACTTCCCTCTGCTGAGCAAGACCCACTGAAAGATTTCTTGCTGTCCTTCTTCTTGAGGGTTATTCATTCTGCCTCGGAATAAATCCTGGTTTGTCTTGGCCTGAACGTGAAACATAGATCTCAGATGGCGTTCACCATGATCTGCTGGAGCTGAGGTCTATGTGTCCTCCTTCTTACACCTTTAAGATGTGATCCTTTACAATTTGACTTGGAAAAAAGTCTTCCTGCTTTTCCTGGATCATAAAAGAAACTTCTAAAGGACAGTCCAGGAAAGGGCAGGGACTCCTTGAGCCCTGTCTTCTGCACTAATAGTGACCAACCTTCTGTGTCCTGGACATTCCTGGGCCTGGTTGTGAAGACCATCGTGCCTTCCTGCACGATGGATGATTCCTTAGCACCCATCATTCAATCCAGTCACTCAGCACCTTCTCACAAGGCCAGGTAGACCTTCCCTAGTTCAGGTTCCAGTGCTGCAAGAAGCCCATTTCCACACTGGGCCCCTCGCCCCTCTTTCTAACACAAGGACACCCAGATCTCTCCTGTGGTCAAACCGTTCCTGAGGGTCTCATCAAAATCTAGGTTGCCTTCCAAGTCAAAGCTGAAAACCAGATCCTCCACCTCGCCTGCTGATTTGATTCTGTTTTCTCCCAGCTCTTTAAGGGCAAGTTCTACCACTGTGAGGGAGCTGATATCCGAAACATCTCCACTAAATCCGACTGCAGAAAAGCCCACTACAAATGGATCCGGCGGAAGTATAACTTCGACAATTTGGGACAGGTAAGGTGGATAGGAGAAGGAGGACAGAAAGGAAGTTTCTCCAGCCAAGCAACCTTCTCCATCTTCTAAACTTAATTGAATTTTTAATGGAATGTTACACTTTAGAGGCTTCCCAACTTGGAGACACTCTGGGTGGCTTACAATTTTAAAAGTGAAGAAGAACAATCAAAGATGGATGGATGTTCAGAAGAAATACTCCAGACCAAATTAGAAAACAAATCCTACACCCACCTCTCCCAAGGGCTGAGAAGATTACTGGGTTTTCAGAGATTTTCTGGACATGGTTAAGGTGGATCCCCATGGATCTCTAGTGACATGCTGTACCAAGGGCAGAACTGTGACAGGGAAAACCCACTTTATCCTGCAGAGTTGAAGAAAGAAACATTGTCTTTTTCTAGAGCAGCAGTTCTCAAACATTTGGTCTTGGTCTTCTTCAAAACAATGGAGGACCCTAACGAGCTTTGATTTATGTGAATTATAGCCATCCATATTCACTTTTCCCCAGGAAAGTATCACATATAGCCTGGGGAGATGGATCTGATTTATCAATTGACTGAAAGGTAAGCAAAAACTGAAAATTCCACTTTTATAAACAGAGGAACTGCATTCTTTGCTTTCACAGGCCCTGATGTCCTTGTTCGTCCTCTCTTCCAAAGATGGCTGGGTGAACATCATGTATGATGGATTGGACGCCGTGGGGATTGACCAGCAGGTAGACACTAAATATCCTAAGAACATTCATGGGGAGTTGCTTAAAGACTCATTCCCACATGCATGTGCAGCTCAGTGATTGGCAATCAATGATAGGGTCAACATGCTGGCTAAGGTGCTAGTCATTTATTCACAACGGGGAGGGGATAACCATTTGGTGATGCAGGCCACCCACACGGATGATGAAGAAGAAGATAACAGAACAACAGAATTGGAAGGGACCTTGGAGGTCTTCAAGTCCAACCCCCTGCTCAAGCAGGAGACCCTGCATCACAGTGCAGTTAGGGGTGATGTCATTCAAACACTGCCAGAGAGATTTAATCCTTTGTGGCTGTCCCTGAAGGCACCTCCTGAACAGGGGACGCTGCCCAGGTGGGCCTCACCTCCAGTTTCCAGAATTCCCATGATGTCTTCTCCCACTCACTCCTCCCCTGACCCAGGGATGCTTATCCAGCCATTCCATGAAACAAATTAAAGACAGTCCCAGAGTCTTCAAGTCTTTCACTTTCAAAAAACAAATTTGTCTGAAATGACTTAACATCCTGCAGTGCAACTAAGTTTAAAAGCAAAACAAAGATAGTCAAGAATTATCAGATCCAAGCTGTCTTTGGAAAGTTCCCTTCCTCTCAGTATGAAGTCTTCTCTTTGAGTTTTTATTTTTTAATCTTAGACTCCCTGTTGTTACCCTGTCGGGGTGCAGAACATGCAACTAAAATCAGAAATAACTCAAACAGGCGCTATTCCAAAACCAGAATGCAATTATTTAAGGCAGCTGGGCTAGCTAGTTGATTATGCCATGGGGGCATCCTGGCCATATTCCACGGGAGAGGGAGTGAGTTGGTCAAGATGCCAACTTCTTTAGGAAGCTCCAGCCTCAACCTTTAGAGGTCAAAGGGTTGCCTCTCCCTGGACCTTGGCGGCCACTCATCTCGAGGGTGGGCTCCATCTCCATTGTGCTCATACGCCATTGTTCCTTGTCTCCCCACCCCCCATCTCTCCCCTCTTCCTGCTGCCTTTTGGCCGCCTCGCCAGCCCAGCCGGAACCATAACCTCTGGATGCTTCTCTACTTCATTTCCTTCCTCCTCATCGTCAGCTTCTTTGTGCTCAACATGTTCGTCGGGGTGGTGGTGGAGAACTTCCACAAGTGTCGGCAGCACCAGGAAGCCGAGGAGGCCCGGCGACGCGAGGAGAAACGGCTGCGGCGTCTGGAGAAAAAGCGCAGGAGTAAGGCGATATACATGTCTGGTCGGTAGACAGCGGTACAATCACAATCTTTCTGAGACTTGCCTGCTCCCAACGCCCATCTCGACCTTCCTCCTTATTGCCTGGTCTCCTTCGGGTTGGTGATGGGACCCCAAAAGACCTTTTTCCTTTCCATCTTTGGAGATGCTTTAAGAGCCAGAAGGCAGCTCATCCTTTCTTCTTTGATGCGCGAGGCTCAGCTCCATCATGTTCCTCTTTTAACATCCCTGCTCAGCATGGATAGGAATAATGAGCACGGTTCCCCTAAGCAGGTATTGGGTGCAAGTTTCTTCTGAGAGGTCCTAGGTGCTCTCTGAGCGTGCTGGTTTTCTTGCAGACGTTTCATTACCCAAGCTAGGTAACATCATCAGTGTTAATCAGTGGTTACCTAGTTTGGCTAGTGAAACATGTGCAAGAAAACAACCAAGCTCAAAGAGCACAAAGGACCCTTCAGTCCTCCTCCTCCTCCTCCTCCTGCTCCTCCTCCTTTCAAAAAATCCCACTCTCTTCTAGCACTGATGATGTGACCTAGTTGGGTCATGAAATGTCTGCAAGAAATCCACCAAGCTCAGAGGGCACCAAGGACCCCTCATTTCAACCCTGAGCTGCAAATATTCTCCTGTACTAGTTTCTTCAGAACCATACAGATTTGAGCTCTGAAGTGTCTGGGCTACTTCTTGGCCCTGAGAGTTTGATCCCAAGGGAGACTGCCATTTTTGAGGCGACCCTCCTCCTTCCTTCTCTGTTGCCATTCGCAATGGAGGGGTGGAGGAGAATGGGGGCACCACTGATAGGCTGAAGCTCGTGAGTGAAATAGAACCCAGCCACCATTCCAGGGTGGCAAATAGTTCTTGCAAGAAGAACAAAGTATAAACATTAATATACATCTGGAAAGAATTATAGGTGGGGGACCATGCAGAAGTTTTGCCTGAACACCTAGAATTCAGAATATTAAGATGGAAGGTTTGTACAGACATCATCACTTAGAGTAGACTTTATAGACTAGACAGACCAACGTCTGATGTGAAAGAAGTCCTAAAGCAGGGAGGATATCTGAGTCCTATAGGACCCAGTTTTGTCAAATCAAAGCCCTAACTGTGGTACTTGTAAAACCACTGAGCAGAAGACTCCCTTCTCCCTCTCCACAACCAGGCTTAAGGGGCTCCTAGGAGATCTGGTTTTCCCAGGGCACCCAAGAAACACTCACTGCATGGGAACCATAACTTTGGGGGTCTCTAAGGAGCAAGCATCCCTATTTCTGAGGCCTGGCTTTTGATGCTCTGTTGGAACCCCCAAATCACTAACAACTGAAGATAAAGTTTGATCACCTGGTTTTGCTTTGTGTCTGAAGATAATTTCAGCTACTCCCATTTTCCCCCCTGCAGCTTAAAGCATCACCAAAGGGTTTCAGGGAAAAAGTGGCTGCAAATTTCTTGGAGGACTTTGGCACATGGGCCCTGCATGCCCCACGAGAGATGCATGTGGAAAACCACCAGAAGGGAAGGAATGAGGAGGCCTCCCCTTTTCAAGGGCAGGAAACGAGTTCCCCTCAATGGAGTCCATTAAAAGAGATGCACGTTCAGCCTGCAAAAGATTTTCTCAGTCGGAATGTGGCCTCCGGTCAGGTTTCTGCACAGAGTCGAGACAGAAACCTAATCATATTTTGAAATGGTTTTTTTTCTTTCCATTTCAACAGTGCACTGAACAGAAAAATAGAGGTTTTGTGTTACCTGCCCAAGGGGCTTAAGAATTGATACACCACAGAGAGGAAAGTCAAGAAGGGAAGAGATATTAGGGTTGGATGGCAGGAGCGTTTAATAGAAAAAAGAAGCAACAGTGGGAAAAATATGTTGGTTGAAAGAAGACCAGAAGATGGTTAGTTGTAGGAGAAGCAGCTCAGACATTCAGGAGAAGTTGGGCGAAGCCAGAGAAATTAAGGTTGTGAGGGAAGATCTTGAGATGGGAAGGCTCTATAGCTCAACAGAAAACCCTCTTGGCATGGAAGAAGTTTTGGGACTTATCTCCTGAGGTTCCAAGAAGGACTGGGAAAGAATGTTAAACTGGAAGCCAGGACACCTATAGCAACGTAGGCTCTATTAACTGAGATAGGCCAAGGGCCCATTGAGAAGAAGGCAGGTTCTTGGGTTCTGCTTTCATTCAAGGGATTAGGATGCATATATGTTCAAAAAGAAAATGGGTGGACTCAGAAAGATCTGATGTGTGGCTGACACTTTGTAGCTTCTGTGTGGCTTGGTGAGGTGTGTCTGTGAGTGACCAGATGTTGAGACAAGGGTGCTCCTTGCCAGTGATGGCAACAGGCCAAGGGGCTGGTTAGAGAGCCAGGCTGGAGTGTTAGAGCAGGGCTCTCCAAACTTGGCGCAACTTTAAGACTTGTGGACTTCAACTCCCAGAATTCATCAGCCAGCTATGTTGAAGTTCACAAGTCTTAGAGTTGTCAAGTTTGGAGAGCCCGCTGTTAGAGGATAAGGAATTCCAGGGAGGGAGGGAGGGAATGCAACCCTGCAGGATGGCCTTGCAGGGCAGGGATTGGACCAAGTAACATAATTACATATTTGGGGGTGGGCAGGACTGGAGATTGATGGGTCCAAAGCCCTCCAGTGGCCTCTGTGATTGGGTGGGAGCTGGAACCTCCATCTTTCTGGCCAAAGTCACACATGCCATTGGCTTTTGAAAGCCAAGCAGATAGGAAAGTAGACTGGACCATGGAAGAAGGTCAGAGAAGATCCGCTTCTCCCTGCTAACAAGGGATGGCAGCCAGAATGCGTGATATAATTTGAGGATATGTTGCACATGACATGTGTCCATATTTTCCACCACTCAATGGTGATGAGTAGAAGACCCGGACGTTTCTAATCACAGGGACACATTCTGTGCCCAAAGAGATGGGTCTGATTCCCGGATGAAATCTTGACCCCAGTTTCTGCCATGACCCCCATGAGCTTTTGACCCAGCCTTAAGCTTCATAAAACAAAGCAAAGGGGAACAGAAAAGTATTTAGAATAATACGCAGTTTCAGTTTGTTCCCTATTTGTCTGTGCAACAGTGTAAGCATTGGCGTCAATGGGACTGTGTGTTGGTTCTACAACCCCGTAATCAAGAGGGGCGTTATGTTCACCAAACAGCTTATGTCACCCCCCGGCACCTTCTGTATTCCCCTTCTGCAGTGCATGAGTTGGCATCTCTTCTAATGGACATTGCATGATGGAACGTGTGTGATGTGGATGTCATGCTTTTTCCTATGTCGTCAGTGTACTTACAATGTAACATGTTCCCAAGCTGGAACTGCATGTTCCTTCTCCTCACATGCTGGGGATGTCTCCAGAGCTCCTGCTTGCCTCTGAACTATTTGGGAGATCAACCAAGATCCCTGGTGTTCTTTTTCTTCAGCTTGTGTGTCATGTCTGTGTGTTCTACCTCTGTGCCAGAAGGAGATCACCACTTTGTCATGCATCTCTATTGAAGCAACAAGTTCACCTGAAGCTGGAACCTATCAAATATCCTGGGCTATAATTCCCCTAATCCTCATCTAGGACTATTCTAGTTCTAGAGATCTGCAGGGCATCACCTCACGGGGGTTGGCCTTCAGACTATTTTCTGAAGACCCTGGAGGATCATGTTGAGAATTCATCAAGGCTTTCCTTAAGGAGACCAGTGATTGGCCAATGTGGTCATTAGAACTGTTCCTCTGAGGGCATCGTCTCAGCTCCTGCAAGATAAGAGTGAGCCCCAGTAGACCCCTAACACTCAGCAAGAATCACAGTCCAGTATTTCAAAGATAGGAAGTGAATGGATAGTTGTTGACCTGGATGAGTTAGAAAGTAATGAGAGAGATCAAGATCTGGGCGACAGCAAAGGGTCGGAAGAGAAAGAAGGATGGGATGAAGACAAGCAGGATATTTGCGCCTAAAGGGCAAAATGAGATGGGTGGAGCATTAGATGCAGCACCACGGAGAGCTCCACATGGGCCTCTCTTTCCCACAAGATGAGGGGCCAGATAGACTTTCCAAGGTCAAAGAGAGATGGCTCACAGGGACCGATGGATCCAGCATTAGCTCTTCTGGATTAAATGAGACAAAGCTCAGGCAGATGGTTACTGCCACCTAGAAGATGCTCTCTGAGCCTGGAGGTATCTCTGGTGCACTCGATCCGAGGCCTTGGCAGTGACCAAGAGATATGGCCCCAGAGCTTGATGTCCAAGCTTCCAACTGAGTTTCACATACATTGCAGTTCTGATCTGGTTAGTGGTCCTGACTGAGTTCAGAGTCCTTTATACTACGCAAGAGCTCAATGAGAGAAGTCCAGGGCTTCCCAACCTAGAAAATCTTCACTGTGAGCCAGTGAGCTACTCAGATCGCATCCGAAAAACCAACCCAGTATGTTGTCTACGGAGAGTCTCAGTCATCCAGGTCACGGTTGTCCCAAAGATGCTTTTTCAAAAGGCAACTGAACTTTATTTTTCCTTGAAGACTTTTCGCTTCTCATCCAAGAAGCTTCTTCAATTCTGACTGAATGGTGGAGGAATGGAAGGATTTATATTCCTTGCAGTCCTCTGGTCATTAGTCAGAACTGAAGAAGCTTCTTGGATGAGAAGTGAAATGTCTTCAAGGAAAAAAGAAGTCCAGTTGCTTTTCGAAAAAGCACCTTTGGGAAACTCGGTATATTCTTGGTTGGTTTTCCTTTCCTGGGGAGCAGCCCTTCACTTTTTGGTCTTCTTTCCATCTTCATATGGTGCTCAAGCAGAGCTCTCACAGCAGGGCTGCTGCTGCTTCAGACCCTCACCCACCCAACCACCCAAGCCCTATTTTTTTTTTCCTCCCAAAGATCAAAAATCACCCCCTTCCTTCAAGGCACCCCGTTGCTAGGATCAGCCCTGCTCGTTGCATGCTGTCCCCCATGTGGCTTCAGGAGCTGCTTTACGGGACTCTTGCCAATTATCCTGAGAGCTCAAAGGCAGCCAGGCAGGAGAGAGAAAACCCCTTTTGCGAGGCTTTCAAACTACTTGCCTAAGAGACCCTGCTGGAACACGCACACACACACACACACACACACACACACACACACACACACACACACTTAAATGTCCTTTTTAGCCATCGATGGAAGGGAGGGATTAATAGCTGAAGGGTTACCAGTCAATCGGGTTCCTTTTGATGTGATTAGTTCCGCTTGCAGATTCCAATCGGCTGGGGTCTTGCATCAGCAAAACGTTTGGCGATGTAACGTCGGCTGGGAGGCATTAAAAGGGTCGAGGGCAGGAAACAGAGGGTGGCAATGGCTAGGTGGGCCCCTGGAGGAATTAGGAGGCTAACTCCAGCTCACCCGGCCTTTTTCCCCCCTTCTAACAACCAGCTGCCTGCATCTCCCATAATCAAATGGGGACGATCATATTCACTTGGGCTGAGAATAACAGGCAGAATTCCGGGTTTTTGTGGGGATTTCTAAAAGGTTTGGAGAATGTCCTAAACACCACAATGCTAAGACCAACAAATCATCTAGACCAGGGGTACCAAAGCTTGGCAACTTCAAGACTTGTGGACTTCAACTCCCAGAATTCCCCCATGCAGCTGGGAAATTCTGGGAATTGAAGTCCACAAGTCTTAAAGTTGCTACATTTGGACACCTCTTATCTTAATGAACCTTCCAGTGTTAGATTTCTACTTTTCCATTCTTTTGCCAGCTTTCCTCAGTCTGGTGCCTTGAAATGTATTAGATTCATCTCCCATAATCCTCGTTGGCTGGGAATTGTGGGCACTAAACCCCAATGTCCCTGGAGAGCACCAGCTTGGGGAAAGCTGTGTGGTCCTCACACCTGAAGGAGAATGGAGTTGATCCATTGCTGGCTTGTTATGATCTATCATTTCTCTGCCCCACCTCTCATTTTAAAGACCCCCCTGAGGATTTGCTTTCTTCAGATACCCCAATAATCCCACCCAGATAGCAGCTTTGGGAAAGGCAGGATCCCAGCCTTTTAAGACAAGGGTTCCCTGAGCCTGAAAACCTTCAGCTCACCTCCAAGAATTCTGCAGCGCAGTGGAGTCCCTCTTCGTGTCTCGGTGGACGGAGGAGGAGCATCACAGCTGTTGGGTGGCCTCCACTACAAAACCCACAATCCACAGAGCCATGGACAGCATGCCCATTGGTCAGCTCGCATGGTTTTGCGTGCCAGCATGGCTTGCGTTGGGAAATGCTGAGGAAGCTGCCCGAAGCTGATTTTTCCTTGTTGCGTTTTTTTCTGCAGAAGCTCAACGACGGCCGTACTATGCCGATTATTCACCTGCTCGAAAATACATCCACTCGCTCTGCACCAGCCATTACCTGGACCTTTTCATCACGTTTATCATTGGCGTCAACGTCATCACGATGTCCATGGAACACTTCGACCAACCCAAGGTACAGCCTCTCTTGAGTCTCCGTAGCCTCGGTGGGGCCCAGGACTGGCAGCCAGGCGGGCAGTTCAGGGGCAGGCTAGGAGGGACCGCTCAGTCCTGGGGGCGGTCAGCCAAGGGCCGGAGGCCAGGAGCTTCTTACAGCTTCTTCGGAAGACAGGAAGGAAAGTCCTGGATGGATCCTGGTGGAGCTTCCAGGTGAAGGGCAGAGCAGCTGACTATTTGTCCAGAGGTCCCATGACATGCTTACATCTGCTAACTGCTATTGGAGACCCCACACCTCAATTCCTTTTGCACGGTCATCAAAGGACCCTAACAAGCAACCCCCTCCCGTGTTTCCTTGCAGTCTCTAGAAGAAGCCCTGAAATATTGCAACTACTTGTTCACCTTCGTCTTTGTGGTCGAAGCCATCTTAAAACTGGTGGCCTTTGGCTTCCGGAGGTTCTTCAAGGACAGGTGGGAGATTTTCTTCTGGGCTTGTTCTGGTCATCTCGGGAAGGGGGGGGTGGTGTCACAACATTGCAGGCTGCTGAATTAGCTCAGCCCCTGTGCCTTGCCTTACTCCTGCTCCTACTCCTTGTAGGTGGAACCAGCTGGATCTGGCCATCGTCCTGCTGTCCATCATGGGGATTACTCTGGAGGAGATCGAAATGAACGCCGCGCTCCCCATCAACCCCACCATTATCCGCATCATGAGGGTGCTCAGGATTGCTAGAGGTGAGGGGCTTCTCCGAGTGAGGGTCTTTCTGAGCAGACCTCGGGGTCTGGCACCATTTCCTTTGCCCTCCTATATTCAGGTGGTCCTCAGTTTACAAGCATTTGTTTAGCAACCATTCAAAGTTACAACAGCATTGAAAAAGGTGACTTACAACCGGCCCCCACATTTATAATCATTGCAGCATCCCCAGGGTCACGGGATCGAATCTTGGGTGCTTGGCAGCCAGCATGTATGGTTAACCATTGTAGCATCCCCAAATCGTGCTACAATGATCTTCCCATCAGCCTCTCTCAAGCAAAGTCGAGGGGAAGCCATTTTGCACCTAAGCGTACTCAGGCACTCCGAATCCGTTGGCAATGCTCATTTTCGTTGTCCAAATTCATGGAGACCTAATTCTAACCTTAGCTGGGTTTGCCCCTCAGTGGGATTTTCCCATGTATTTTACCAGGAAAGCAAAATCAGGCAGGCTTGAAAAGTCAGCACCCTCCAAAGCATAGCGATGCGCTAAGAATCCGTTGGCGATGCCCATTTTGCTCTCCGAGTTCACGGAGATTTCCTTTGCTTTCCAGTGCTGAAGCTGCTGAAAATGGCCACGGGGATGCGGGCCTTGCTGGACACGGTGGTTCAAGCCCTTCCCCAGGTAAACTTGGAACTGTGCAGATGTTAATTTTCCTTTCTCTTTTAAGCACCCAATACCCTCCTCCTCCTCCTCCTCCTGATATATTTTCAACTCCCATGCCTCCAGCTTTCCAAAAATGTTCATTTTTGTCTCGCCCCAAGAGGAAAGAAAAATTACATGCCCAGAGGGACATTTTCAAACATCATTTCCCAATTGCATTGAGGACAATATTTCCAGCAGCTCGAAATGTTGTCCTCCTCTTGCTTTTTCTGGTTTTTTTTTAAAACTCAGCACTTGAGATAACGAGTTGATGACTTTGAGTCCACAAGTCCTAAAGCTTTTCTCCAAGTTTTTTCGCACCCACGTCAATGAAAGTCAGGCCAGGCTCGCCCCTCGGTTCTGTCTCTGCGATGTCACAGAATAGGTGTTCTCGTGGCATGAAATACCAGATCGCCTTTGCACTCTGTCCATGCCTCTGTAGCAGAGGAGAAAGTCTTCCTAATGCTCTGAACCTCCACGGTGGGAACAAGGCAAAACCCACAGCCAGGAGATGCTCTCAGATGCACATTAGCTGGTCTCAGCCAGGCAAGGCGTCTCTCTCTCTCACACACACACACACAACTGCCATGGAGGGGCAGGAAGAGGGTCTGACTTTTGCCTCCCCCCAAAAGCATTCTGGGGAAAGGGGCTCGGCACAAGCCTGCATCAAAAGCTCAAGCAGTCAGATTGGGGGTGACAAGGGAAGGATCATCTGGGGACAAAAACAGGCAGGAGAAACTCCGCCCTCCCTCTGGAGGACATCTGCAGGCTGCTCACGTGCCGGAGAGCGTATGTGGGACAGGGATGAGAAAAAATGCTGGTAGATTCTCTCCTCCCCCTCCAAAAATAAAAAATAAAAATTCAATGCTTCCGTCAATTGAAACACTGCCCTCTCTGATCCCCACCACCACCACTGCTCACCCCACTTGTCACTCCTCTTTCCTTTTTTGGACAAGGCCTCTGCACATCTGGCCTGCCCCATAGCCCTGTGCTGGGGGGGAGAAGCTGAGGCTTTCCGGGGAAATGGGATTTTTCCCAAGGGTTAACTGCTCAGGCGCTGGCCTGGGAAAATCAGTGTTTCTACAGCCCTGTAAATTCAGCTGTAAGGCTGCTGTGTAAATTGACTGCAAGCAATTTTCAGGTCTGCTTAAAATCCAGCTGGGGAGCAGCATCTACCCCTTTTCCCGCCTGCTACACCCCAGGAACTGGGGGTGCAGGGGGGACAAGGCTGCATAAGCTTCTCTCCCCTAAACCTTTGCTGAAAGGCAGTTGGAGAGGTGGCAGATCTGGGGGACTCTGGGCGGGCAGCTCTCCAAGGGCTCCTGAGTCCTTGAAATGCACTTAGGATATTCCACCAGGTGGGCTCACCCATCCCTAACCTGAAGCTTGGAGAAGAGACTTGGCCCCTCTTTTGATATCCCCCAGAAGCAAAGGGATATGTTCCCCAGGCTGGAGCTCACTGTAATTTGGCCGCCTTAGCAGAAGGAAAGCGCTGTTTCCTGAAGTGCCTTGGTGTCCTTATTAAGCCCTGACATTGTCAAGTTGTCATCCCCTCAAGTGGCTGAACCGCCACTTCTGCTTCCAGGCACTTGTCTGCAGAGCACCAAGGAAGAGCCGATAATTAGTTATGATGGGATAAAGTCCACTTGCCTGTGGCTTTGGAATATCAAGCAACAAGGGGAAGGAGAACCAACAAAGGAAACTATTTGTAGCTCAGGGTTGACACGAGGGGTCCTTGGTGCTCTCTGAGCTTGGTGCTCTCAGAGACTTTACTCCAACTTCTCCAGGGCTCTCTTTGCCAGTGTAAGCTCTGGGAATTCCCTCTGAGGCTGCAACCCAGCTGGAGAAGCCCATCAGAACAGATCAATGCCAATGTTCAACCCTCAGTAAACAGCCAAGGGGCAAAGTTTCTTCTCTGTAGATCCAGTCCAGTTTCACCAATCGTGGTTGACTAAGGATGTCCTTCACACTCAGGTTCTGTTGAAAGTGGCCCAAATAGACAGAGCGCATCCTTCTAATATTACAGATCTTTACAAGCTTTGGGAAGACATCCAAGCTGGTTAATCACCATATCAATGTAGTTTGAGCTCTTGCCTTTCGCTTAGTGAAGATCTGGCTTCTTCTCCAAAAGATTCAGGTGGATGTAGGGTGCAAGGACACCTTCACTCCCCCAGTTGTGTTAGTATGAGTCATTGCCCATCATCCCTAGTTGCCCAGGGGACACCAGGTTGGGGAAAGCTCCACTGATTCTCGCTAAGGCAAGAAATCCCATCTAAGCAAGATAAAAATCCTTCTACGATATCAGCTTACTTCTGACTTTTTGACAATCTCCTTTTCTAGGTGGGGAACCTCGGCCTGCTATTTATGCTTCTTTTTTTCATCTACGCTGCTCTGGGGGTAGAATTATTTGGGAAGTTAGGTGAGTCATCTCCTTTTTCTGTTGCTTGGTGACCCTGTTAATATGCCAGGAGGACTTTCCAGAGAACATTCTATCTCTGCTGAAAGGGAAGAATATAGCCAGATGTTCCTATGGCTTGCATAAGATGAGAGAACCCCAGCCTCGGCCACTGTCCAGTTCAACTAAGTTCCCACCAGTGACCAGGCAACCTGGCAAGGGGGATGCCAGAATCTGGTGGGTACCTCCAGAGAAGCAGGGAAAGGTCAGACTGAATTCCAGGGGAGTAAATGAAGAGGACAGGAGAAGGTATTACTCAGAAAACAGAACGCTGGGAGTCAGATGATGGAACACTTAGGTAGCTCCAAACCATCATTGTAGCTAAGAGTGGACTCATCCTTGCTCTTTCGTAGACTGCAGCGAGGAAAATCCTTGTGAAGGCCTAAGTCGGCACGCTACCTTCAACAACTTTGGAATGGCCTTCCTCACCCTCTTTAGGGTATCAACAGGGGACAACTGGAATGGGATCATGAAGGTAAGGCCTCCACATCACTTTCTTACCCATGGCTGTACTTTGAGTTTGACTTTAGACGTCAGTCTGAGACATAGCTTGGGTTGACAATGGCATTCATCTCCAGCAATGCCCAAGGAGGTACAGAAGACTCAAGGCCACCTTGCTCCACCAGTTTCATGTATTATTCGCCTAGAATAAAAGCCAATCAAAACCAAAATACAGAATATGTATCCCAAATAGATGCATAAAAATATGCTTCATTGGAAGAAGGAAAAGTTGTCCTCTGTCTCTCATCAACATTTTTTGGTGGTGACCTGATGAGATTGATGGGCAAGTCAATTCTGAGGAAAAGTAAGGCTTTACACAAGGTAGAATTAATCTGTGGAAGTCTCTATTTAGTGAGGAGCACCAGTTTGCATCCCTTGAAAAGGGAATTAGAAAATCCATAGAGGAGAAGAAGCCTTTCATTGGCCATTCACCATGATGGCCATAAGTGCATAGAGATGCCATTGAGGTTGCTATGAGTTTGGGGAAAGCTTCTGCATCCATTGTACCCATATTAGCTCCCAAAGACTGCTAGTTGGCCATCACAGGACATATAGACCTTTAGTTCTATTATTGCCCAGTGAAACTCCATATTTGCTTCCCTCTAAATGCTGAATCTTTGGGAGAAACCTTAGGAGGACATTAAGATTTCTTTCCAATTGACCCGTCCACCTGAAATAACGTTGCTTTCACGTCCTTCTTCCAGGACACTCTCCGGGAATGCCACAAGGATGATAAGCACTGCCTCAGCTACCTGCCTCTCATCTCCCCTGTTTACTTCGTCACCTTCGTCCTCATCGCCCAGTTTGTCCTGGTCAACGTGGTGGTGGCCGTCCTGATGAAGCACTTAGAGGAAAGCAACAAGGAGGCGAAGGAAGATGCCGAGATGGATGCCGAAATTGAGCTGGAGATGTCCAGAGGGGTCGGCACACCAGAAAGGACCATGGATGGGAGACAGACCCCTTCCAAGGGGGGTTCACCCCTCCTGTTGAAGCATAAAGCCATGGTAAAAAGCTAGAGGAGCAGATTGAAGAAGCTTCCCTCCCCAGGCATGGCAAGGAAGGGGGTTTAGCCTCTCTGGGGTCATGTCTATGTGCTCTCCCCCCATCCCCTCCCCCAGAAGCCTTCTGGGTTTTAAACAAGTCAAGCAAAAGAAGCTGTCTGCAATTCCACCCATCCTCATCCAGAAAGGCAGTTTGCTGACATATCTCAAAGTTGCCAAGAATGACCAGCTCCCAATTTCCTCCCAAATTCTCAGCCTTCTTTCCTGCTGACTTACAGGGAGCTTCTGCTGCTGCCATCGGCATTCGGGAGCCCCAGAATCTTCTGACTCTTCGCAAGATCTCGGTGGCAAGGATGCATTCGCTGCCCAACGACAGCTACATGTTCCGTCCTGTGATGCCCGCCAAGCTTCCTTTCCCTCTCCATGAAGGGGAGCTAGAAGCCTTCTCCTACAAGTCACCTCGAGGTAAGGCGTCAGGATCTGGGCCTGCCGAGCTCTGCCAACAGTTGTTGTTGTGTCTAAACAACTTCCAAGGTAAGAAGTCCAGAGCTGTAGCATGGCTCGCTTTTGAGGATAAAAGTGCAGACGCGTTACGGAGACGCGAAGAACTGCTTTATATTTTCCACCAAAATGCAAACATTCTCTCTGAAATGAGATCCTCCTCCAGTCTGTAAGAGCTGAAAGACCCCAAAAGGTCGCCAGAGGAAACAGATGCTTCCATCAGACATTTGTTCAGCTTTGAATGAAAGAAAGAGAAGAAATTCTGAGGAATAATCTCCTTCTTTGTTCTTCCAGGGTCCGTCACGTCCATCCGTTCTCAGCCAGTGGTCACTTCTTCATCTCTGAGGATCCCACAGTTGGCCTTCCGCCCCACAACGCCCCCTCCTACCCACAACATGGGAGCTCCATGGAAGCTTCTACCCCCTCACCCTGCCCCTCGCACCCCCAGTTTCAACAGACTGCTGTGTAGACAGGTCAGCTTCCTGGTCTCGGGTGGTCACTAGCAGGGGGGGAGGGCAGGGAGGAGGCAGAAAGAGGCTTGATAGCTGATGGACAGGGGCAGGAAATGTCTTCAGGGCCAGGAAGGGCAGAGAAAACAGCTTGCCTTCAGAAGTCGTGGGTGCTCCATCACTGGAGGTTTTCCAGAAGACACTGGATAGCTGCTCATCTGGAGTGGTCTAGGGTCTCCTGCTTGAGCAGGGGGTTGGACTAGAAGACCTCCAAGGCCCCTTCAAGCTCTATTCTGATTGAGACCAAAAGGAGTCAAGGGCTGTAGAGCAGAGACGGTGCAGGAGGAAGCCCAGAGTTCAGGACAGAGATTAAATGAGATGCAGATGCTTCTGATATGTCCCCAGCCAATGTTCTCTGCCTGGAACCAGCCCCTTGTCATTTGTTCCCATATTGCTCCTGCTGAGTCAGCAGACCCTCAACTGGTAGACTACTGACTCCTGAGGCAGCCAACTGCTGGATCGGGCCCCTCGGCCTCTGGCTCTTCCACATCACAAGAGGCAATGCCACCATGATGCTCTCATCCTATGAAGGTGGAATTTTGCATGTTCCACAAGGCAGAGGGCTTGGGCCGACTGCTTTGCAGACATCCACAGGTGGGTTCAGAGAAGCCATTTCAAGGAAAGGGGGCTTTCCCGGGGGAAGGCCCAGCTCAACTTTGACCGATCTGCTCTCCCCTAGATTTCCATGTTAACTCACACTTCAGAGAGGAGCCCCCAGAGAAGACAGGACCATGAACCCCAACCGTACCATTCTTGGATGCGTGTGGCCTCCTTGCGTGGGAAATGCTTATCTTCTTATCTCTTCGTTTTGCAGGAGGCCGTCCGGAAGGACTCATTGGATAGCTCAGCTGTGGAGTCAAAGCAGTGTGTCCAGGCTGAGATGCGTGAAAACCCACCCCTGAAAAAGTTGTCCCACAGTATTTTGGATGGCCCTCAGCCTCCCCCATCCCCCACATACCTCCCAGGCAGTCCTCCCCTTCCCCACCCCTCCCCTTCTCGCCCTTCAAGCATCCACACCCACAAGGACACCTTCAGCCAGCACAACATCTCAAACAGGAGGTCCACCCACGGTAGCCTCCTGGACACCTCCCTCTTCGAGTCCTCCGATCTGGCAGATGAAGAGGTCCGCCACATCAACAGCTCTGCACGGGATTGGAGGGCACAGCTGGACAGCGGGGACTGCTCCGACTCCTCTTTCGCCTCTCCGGCGCCATCCCCTGTCCCCTTCAGGAACTGCAGCACAACCAGCTTGACGATGGGGAAGGGCAAGGAGAAGGACCTGAAGAAGTTCTACAGCGTAGACACCCGGGGGTTCTTGGCCAAGCCGCTGTGGGCGGATGACCAGCGACGGCACTCCATTGAGATCTGCCCCTCGGTCGACCATGGGGCTCGTGGCTTCGCAGACACCTCTGAAAGGAGGAGGCTGCCTCTCCAGATCCAGTCGGAGTCCGAGTACCTGCACGGCATCCGGAGGAAGAAGAAAATGAGCCCCCCCTGCATTTCTATCGACCCTCCCATGGAGGAAGAAAGCAGCGCCACCACAACGCGCACCAAGGCCTCTGAGAACAGCCTGCTGAGGCGGAGAACGCCCTCCTGCGAATCCACGGCCTACAGGGACTCCTTGGAGCTGGCTGAGGGTCAGCCTGGAGAACCGGCCTGCAAGGCAGACCGCCGGGCACCCCCAGCCTGCCGAGGGGAGCACTTAACCATCCCGAGCTTCTCTTACGAACCGACGGACCCCGGTTCCACGGGTGAGCCCTGCAAACGCCTCTCGGAGAGCAGCCAAGCTGTGGACCGCTCTGTGGATTCCCCCCCAGAGGGTCCGGAGCTGCAGCCAACAGACCCTTTGGAGACTCACGGCAACTCCTCTGAGCCAAACCAAGAAGAACTCGGGGGGGCCAGGAAGTGTCCCCTCCCGCAGCACGGACAGGTTCCAGGGACCCCAACCACCACAGAAGAGGTTGTGGACGAGCCGGTATAGCTTCCAAGGGGGGTGGTCTTTGGTGAACTTTAAGGGCTTTGCCACCACATGTGGCTTCGAAGAGGAGAACAGGTTGGAAAGCCGCCCTCTCCATGGCTGATGCTTACTCCCCCACCCCAAACCCTTGGTTTCTCCTCGCTGCAAAGGTCCGGTTGGTTTAGAAACGGAACCAAAGTCCCAGAGAAACTCCAAGCGTCCCAAGAGTTTCGGGGGTAACCGGAAGGAATCGGATTTCCTTCCCGCCCAGCACAAGGAGAAGCTGTTCCACTGTTCCTCTTCCTCCCTCTTCCTCCCCCTCCCCCTCACCCAGTGTGGCCTCGGACCCCTCGATGGGGGTTGCAGACCTTTCTTTTATCTTTTTTAAAGGCAACCCGTGGCTGGGTCAGAAAAACCTCTTTTCTGGCTTTTTTTTCCGAAAGGGCACCTTTTCTTATTGCACGAAAAGCGGTCGCGGGAAGCGCACGTGACCAGGCAGAAGCGAGTTGTATATTGTTCTGTATATCAGCAGTTACTATAAATAGAAAACCATGTATTTGAGGTTTTTTTTTTAAAAGAAATGAAGGAAACACACACCACAGGCAGACACACCTTGACACACACGCCCATAAAAGCCCCCAACGAAGCCCTTCATCAAATGCAGAGTTTTGCAGAAAATCCGCCCATCAGGAGGAGCCCAGAGATGTCAGAGGCGCTGAGCGCCCTTAACCAAGTTACTCCATCGTGCGCCACAACCACAGTCCATTCTGAAGACCAGTGAATTCGCTCTTTGCGTCCATTTTTCCGTCCCTAGGAGCGAGGGCGTCCAACCTTGGCAATTTTAAGACCTATGACTTCAACTCCCAGAATTGCGCAGATCTGGGGGATTCTGGGAGTCGAAGTCCACAAGTTTTAAAGCGGTCAAAGGTGGACACCCCTGCTTTGACCCTAACCCTGCCAATTCCAGCTGGATCACCCATAGGAGGGCGAATCGATTCATTTAATTTCATGTGTGCGTTCACATCTGACCCTCAGTGGAGTGATGTCCTCGTGGATTCGATGTGGACGCTTCACCATATTCACTGTCGTCTTTCAGTTTGGCTCCCATCCCCTCATTCTCCTTCGCTGCCCCCCACTTCATGCCTTGGCAACTTTCTTCTGGTCCTCCTTGCTCCAGAAAATGGGGGGGGGGAATACCAAAACCACTACTGAATTGTAGCCAGTGCAATAACAATTAAGTTATTAATTCTTCTTATGGGTAAAAGAATCTCTTTTTTATGACGATTATGAATAATAATTATAATAATAATATTTTACATATACTCAAGCGATGTTGTATTTTTCCCCCTTTCCCCCCCCCTCTCTGTTTTCCTATGGAATTCAGGTGAAATGTTGCAATAATCTGAACTTTAAAAGTGCACAACGAAAAGTAAAGAAGGAGATTTCCAAAGTCAGCAGGAAAAGAGAGGAAAAAAACCAAATAAATAGTAAATTATTTAAAAGTTTCAATTTTGTTTGTGGCACGCAGGGGTCAATTAAATCCTAAAGAGCTCCAATCAGCAGAGGTTGGCTAGCTGTTTGTAGACCACCGAAGAATTCTGGAAGCCCCCCTGCTGAGTTCCAGCCCCAAAATTTACATTATGGGACAAGTAGAGAAAGATTCAATTTTTTCACCCAGCTCGGAGGAAAAACAAATGTGGAAGGGCCCCCTGACAGTACCACCAATAACTTGCTTCTAGAGCTGATTTAAAATACTGGTGGTGGGGTGGGGGGGTTTAAAGGGAGGCCTCTGGGTGGGACACCCACATGCAAGGCCAATGGTGAAAATTGCAATCCATCTTTGGGTAGGGTCTGAGTGGGTTGGCCTGGCGTCCCTTCATATCCAATCAGAATGGCCCCTGACAGTATTTCAACACCAACGGTGGGATTCTATCCAGATTCTTCTCCACCCCCTAACCCACCCTCCCCGCAAGGCTGGTTGTTTGGATCCAGCATTGCAGCCTCGAATCAAGGTCGCTTTTCCCCCCTGGAGTTTTGCAAAGTGGTGGAGAAGCCCCTCTGAAGGTGAGCTTCTCAAAGCATCCAGGTGGTCCCAGGTTCAAGCAAGGGATGAAATCCAGCTCTTTTCTCCTGGGCCTTCCCAGACTTCATTTTTAATGTGTGCCAGTGTGACAATAAAAGTTATCTATCTAAAAAAAACAACAACCTAGCTTCGTGAAGGGCTATGGTGAAGGCTGGATAGGCTGATCCAGAGAAGCCATTTGGGTTCTTGCATGACCAAAGGGTCTGTCTCTCTCGTCCCTCCGGACATCTTCTCCAGAGGCAGGCAGGAGAGGCCTTGCCAGATGTCTGTTCTGTTTTCCACTGACGTGCCCTTTCTCCCTGATTAATGTGGGAAATGACCTCCGAGAGCTGGTCTTCCCTTGCAGGCCTATCCTCGGGGGTCCGAGCCACATGGAGAGAGACACACGGAGGACAAGGAAAACAAGCCTCAATCTAATCACTTCTGACCCCAACCCTTTTCCCAAGGATTAGAACCAATCATATAGCTTGATTTTTTTAAACAACACAACAGCTCAAAAAAGAATTTAAGTTCTCTCACTATAATTTGATGTTTGTTTGGGCCAGTGGTATAAATAGAGTGGAAACAGGGGTTTATTTGACCGCAGCAAATAATCTACTTTCCATACTTATTGGATACCATTAGGTTCTCTGAAGGTTTGCAGGAAGAGCCGAGGAAGGAAGGAAGGAAGGAAGGAAGGAAGGAAGGAAGGAAGGAAGGAAGGAAGGAAGGAAGGAAGGAAGGAAGGAAGGAAGGAAGGAAGGAAGGAAGGAAGGAAAGGGGGAAGAAACTGCGAGAGAAAAAACTTAAAGAATAGAAATCATTATGATCTATTGTGTCTTGGCATAAAAGCTTTCTGAAGTCAGATTTAATGGAGAATGTCAATTGAATTATTTATCTCCAAGAGCTTGTACAAATATTGAGGAAGATTATTAGCCTTTATGTCACTTCCAACATCTTCCAACGATGAAAGACTTGAGCTTTCACTGAATGAGGGCTGCATCCACAATCGTTCAGGGGCAGGAGAGAGTGTCTTTAAGCAAAGGAGGGATGCAGAGAGAATTTCAAGTCAATAAAATTAGACTTGTACAGTCTAAGCATTAAGCATCCCATTATTTCAGGTAAGACAGATACCAATGTCTCATCATTACGATCCACGCAAAGATACAGCAGCTCTCTGCAACTCAGACATCTCTTATAATAATCACCAGATCCAGAAAGGAAATAAAGAACATAAGAATCTAAGCCATGCCTTGGCCCATCTTGTCCACCACTTCATTCTTGCAGAGGTCAACCAACTGCCCAAGGAAGCCCACCAGCCTCTCAGCAGATGGACTTGAGGGACATCCTCCCACCATCCAGAGCAATTGATCCCCAAGACTTTCATGAATTAGTCCAACCTTTTTTTGATGCCAGCCAAATTGGTGGTGGCACCACAGAGAACCACTACTGCACTGGTCCCTTCTCCTAGTGGCCAACCAACTGCCCAAGAGAGCCCAACAGTCTCCCAGGAGGGGGCCTGATCAACCTGCTGACCAGGAAGCAGAGGTCATCCTTCTCTTGCCTTGTCAGGTCAAGGCTGGTAAACCCTGGCCCAGGAAGAGTCCAGATGTGGCCAAAGGGCCAAGTTGCTGACCCTCTCAACGGAGGCCCTGTTCTCAGGCTGAGCTTCAGAGCCGTTCCTCCTGATTGGCAGGCACCCTGCTTGGAGAAGATTAATGGGGTGTCCCTGAGCAGAAGCACCCGACTGTCAAACCACTTTCTTTGATGCTAGAGTGAGTCATTTATTAACGCAGCAGGACAGGTACTCAAAGCCTTTTTCAGAACCAGCTGAGCCGAAGAGGGACAGAAATGCAGACACCAACAAAGGCATCTTGTTGTCTTCTCTCCCTCCCCCCCTTGAAAGAATTAGGATTTATATACTTGTCTTCTTCCAGAGAAGGCTTTGATTTATGCTTCTTGTACAAGACAACATTGTGCACAAACAGAGAAAAGAGAAATAGGAGGAACTCATGTTTTCAGCCTTGGCAAAGAAATACTGTGCCATCATAAATGCAAAGGGGGTGTAGGAGGGATCTGAAATTTGATTGTCGATTACAGGGAGATCTAAATCTCCAAGAAGGGTTTGTTTGAGGTTCCCCAGCAAAGCTAACTCCAGTTTGCCACCAAAATGTCACTGCTGCACAAAAGCGATCGGGGGGGGGGGGTGTCCTGGAATGCCAGGAATCCCCCATGCTCAGGCTCAGATACCCTTGTCCTTCAAAGGGTAAAGCCGAGGGTCTGTTTCGATGAACTGGGCTGCCATTCAAGAGACAAAAAGTCCTGTTTGGATCTTGGGCTGAACAGGAAGACGAATTGGTGAGAAGCCCTTGGCTGGGGCTTTAAAGAGGGAGTTGAAGATCTAAATTTTATGCCTGCTCAATGAAGGAATAATGGATTTCAAGGTTTTGTGGTCATCAGCAATGCTGCAACACACACATCACTGTTCTTCTAAACCTTGACCAATAATCCCAGTGTCCTCAACCACTTCAAGGTATAATTGAGCGGGATGAAACTCCTATGGAAGATACTTCCAGTCCCAGGTCTGAAGTTGGGAGGGAACAGGCTCTAGGAAAGCAGACAGGAGTAGATCACCTAAGTAAAATGCACCCAAAACAAAAGTGAGGGCAAAAATCTGAATCTGGTGTGACCATTTGTGACCAGCGCTCCTGGGAGCAACTGAAGGGTGCATTGGGGTAGGGGTTTCACTTGCTGCCATCCAGGCATCTCGGATGCTGTTGCCCCAAAGCCAGATGGGCTTGACGCCTGCAAGTTTCTGCCTCCTACCCCAATTTCCAAATGCTGCTTTAATGCAACCCCTTCATCTTTCTGAAGCCACATCAGTGAAGTGGCTTTCATGGCTGGGACCAGAATTTGGGAGAAACGAGCGAAGAGGCCAGAAGGTTTTTCGGTGGGCAGACGTGACTGTAGCTTCAGCCCCGCCTGGCTGCACCAAACCACGAAAGCTGGCATGGTAAGAAAGAGTCTAGGAGCTTCGCAAATTGGGCTCAGCAGAATTCACACACACACACACACACTAAATGCACCTGGCAAGAAAACAGTTGAGTTCTTGCTGGCAGCTTCCAAAGATGATGTAGTGGCATTTTAATGAAGTGACGGTCAAAAGGGCTTTTTTTTTTCCCCCAATGCCTGTAACAAGGAACTCTCTTGGTTCGCTGTCTCCCAGGCTGCCAATTAAGGATGAGACACAGAGCAGGGCCTGGGAACTCAAGAATCCCAGAATAGTTCATCCAGGAGGCCATCAAGAAACAGGCTGGTTTCTCCCCAGCAACTTTACAAGTTGCTCTTGAGAGAGCGGAAAAGACCAAGGAGTTGGTGCCTAGCAGAAAAATCAGAGCCAGAGACGCAGCAATTAGAAGTTCTGCCAGCTGCTGCTGCTGCTGCTGCTTCTCCCCATCAAGCAGGGAGGCCAGGAGGACTCAAGATTTGGGGTCCATCTCTGCTCAGGAGACCCAAGCCAGAACCCTCCAACGGGAGCAAGCTGGAGAAGGCAGGTCAGCACTGGCGGCCAAAGGGGATGTTTCTTATCCTGCCACTCCTTCATTGCCTTGAGACTGGCTTTCCAACAGACAAACATAAACAAAGCAAGGACAAAATCACAAAGCACAGTTTACACATGTACCAAAACAAAAAATTAAAGAAATAGTAACAAAGTCAGAGATCTGAATATCCCTCAGTCCCCAGGAGGTTTTGGAGTTGAGCAACACACACATACACACAGTCAGTAGATTTTCCTCTTCCCCCCCACCACTTCCTGCCCTGAAAAATAGGCTACAGGACAACTCCCGCTGCCTGCACCCAAGGGCTTTCTGGCTGTTTTCTTATTTATTACTTGTTTAGCAGATTTATATTGCTGCCCATCTCATATACTAGATTGGAAGTTGTTATCCAGCGCATTAAGAAAGTAACAAACTGGGAAACCACTTGAGAGAGATGGGGACGATGAAGGATTAAACTTGTCCCCCACCCGGCTCTCAACGACTCTGGGCAGCTCATAACAATCAAAGAAATTGCAATCATGTCATAATTGAATTAGATAACTGAACAGGGACATCTAGTGGTGGCAGAAACCCAGTTTAGTAGCTTAGAGAAGCTTCCTGCAATAAAATAGGAAAAACGCTAACAAAACTTGGAGCTTTTAAGCTCAGCCCTCTTTTTGTGGTTGTTATTTCATCTCTTCATTCAACATTCGATTTCAAACAGCCAGTTAAGAATCACAGAAGTACACAAAAGTCTCAATAGATGTGGGGTTTTTTGCAACGCTGTAGTGTCAAGTTTAGTAAATTCAACACCCCCAAACATTGAGTGAATCTCTTTTGTATGGTGCCCAAAACTCCCGATTACTGCTGGTGTTATGAGTTGCCTTGTTCTTCCAAAGCCTTTTAACTTTAATGTGCAAAAATTTGTTTAAGAGGTTTCTACAACGGACGTGCTACGTTGTTACCTTTCTCAAAATATTACCCGCTGCAAATAAAATGCAGTTGCTAGAACGATGCTTTAAGCCAGGGGTCTCCAACCTTGGCAACTTTAAGGCAGACCCCCGGAGAGGGGAGTGTCATCTTCGTGACGGGGGGGGGATTGCTTCCAAAGAGCCCGGGCAAATGGATGGGGGCTAAATCCGGATCGCCCCGGAGGTCGCCAGGTAAGGTTGTCGGAAAGGCTCTCGCGTGTGCACAAGCGCGTGAACGGCCATAGATCTCCTAGCGAAAAATTCGAGCCCTTTCGCGCGAAGGCGGAAATTGTCCCCAAAGGCTCGCCGTCCGCTGTTGCCAGGGAGGTGGAAGACGCGCCCTTAGCGACGGGCCTCCTCCTGCCGCTCCGCGAGGCCCGATGGCGGCCGCCTCCGCCAGCCCCACCGTCTTCCTCCTCATGGTCAGCGGGCAGATCGAGAGCGCGCAGGTGGGCCAGCGGGCCGGCTTGGTCGCCCGGGTCCCCGAATGGCGAGGCGAGCCGGCGCGCTTCTTTGTTTCCCCCCCCTTCCGGAGGGCGACTTGGTATCTCCCGCCCGGGCGCCGCCTATGCGGTGGAGCATTCCAAGTCCCATGGGGGGGGGGGGAGATGGACTCTCTATTCTGTGTCCTGCAAAAACAGGATAGCCCTCCCCGTCTCTGACTCTCGGATCCCCTTTTTGCACCCAGAGGCGGTTTCAGACGGGCGCCCAACGGTGCAGTTTTTAGGCACGAACCCAGCGGGTGTAGCTTTGAAGCGCAAATAGCGCGGATGCAGTTTGCAGCTGTAAGGAGGTGCAAGAGGGTTAGGATAGGAGCGGCAGCAGCGCTGCTCGTGCGCATCTTCTCCTGCCTCCCGAGCGGAGACCTGGCACCGTAGCTCCCCCAAACTGCCCTGGGGGGTATCTAAGGGTTCTGCAGCGGGCGCCCAGTTGGGGAAGGTGCCCATTCCCCGCTCCTGAGGTCTGAACAGCTCCGCTGCGATTGCTGCAAAGAGACCCCTCCGTCCGTCCCCCCCCCCCGCTTTCAGCCCCCTCAAGGAAACAAGCCAGTTGGAGGGAGACCCTCCTGGGAAGGGAAGAGTTTTGTCTTATTTCATCTGCTGGGATCAAAATCTGGCACCTTCTAGGGGTTGTTTAGTACTGTCTGTCCAGGAGGTTAGATCTCCAGCCAAATTTAATGCCTTTCTTTCCCTTTGCAGTTCCCAGAATTTGACGACCTCTACTGCAAGTACTGCTTCGTGTACGGCCCCGACTGGGCTCCGACTTCGGTGGGTCAGCGCTGGGGGAAAGGGATTCCGCTTACAAGGGCTACCCCCAGAGAGCGAGCCCTTTGCAGCCTGAAGCACCCTCCCTACAAATAAGAAATGCAGAGGGGGTAAAAAAAAGGGGGGGGAGGAGTCCTGCTTGTGACTCTGGGCTGCAGGAGGACCGGCTAAAATGAGGGTTCCAACTTCTGGGTTGTGGAGCTGTTCCACGACCCTTTTGACTCCAGGCAGGGGAGGGGAGATGAGCCCACCTGGCCACCTCATAGGACATAGAACGAAGGCAGCTTGGAGGTCTTCGAATCCAGTCCGTTGCTCAAGCTCTCCGTCTGTGCCAGCTCTGGGTGCCACCAAAGATGGTTCCAGCTTGTCTCCTTGGCTTTCCCATAGGGCCTGGAAGAAGGCATCTCTCAGATCACATCCAAGAGCCGGAATGTCCATCAAAACCTGGTCTGGAATTTCCCCATTGATGTCACCTTCAAAAGCACCAACCCCTTTGGCTGTAGGTGGGAAGGACCTGGGCAGGGCATAGCAGGGTTCTTGTCACCTCCTGACGGGGGGGGGCGGCTCTCCTGACGGGGGGGGGGAGCTGTTTTGAACCATGCTTGGGCTGGTGACAAGTTGCGTCAATAAATTACGTTAAGTACAAGGAGAACTGACCGATTCCAACCAGGTTTAGGGTTTGTCCTTTCAGGCTAGCAAGAATCAGACACTGCATGGGAATTGCCTTAAATTTCAGCAGAACTCCAGAGAGGCAGAAATCTTTTTGGGGGGGGGAGGGGGTAGCAAGTGCTTGCAAGAAGCTCTATTATTTGAGAGGAATGGTTACGTTAAGCTTCTCGCCTCTAGCTCCAGAATTACTAAAAAGGTTACATCAGCCCATCTCCATAAAATTTTGCTAAGAAATAGTTGGAGTGGGGTGGATGTGCCATATCTAGCATTGGTTAGTCATTGCAAGTCACAGACTGACTTTGCAGGGGTCGTCCCACGTTGTGCCCCAACACTGATCCTTGGGCAAAGTAACACTGAACTGTGGGGCAGGCCAGAGCATCTGAAGTTTGTTGCCCTTTCTGTTCTTGCAGGGCCACAGATTGTCGTCAGTGTATATGGGCCAGATCTTTTTGGGAATGACGTGATTCGGGGATACGGAGCGGTTCATGTCCCTTTTACACCAGGCAGGTGAGCTCATCACAACGCTGACCGACCTCTCTTGCTTGTTCCAGCTCTCGGTGCAATTTTGATGCATGAAAGTAGCCTTGTCCTTCTTTAGACTGTAATTTAGTCAAGAGTATTTGATACTTTGGGGCACCAAGGCCTCGTAGAAGCAACCATAAAGGCTTTGTCACCTTATTAGTGATTTGTTTTCCTGCCTGGGATAGAGGGCAGAGGGGTTTGGTGTGGGAAGGAGGACCAGATTCAGGATGAGGTTCAGCATTTCCGTTGATAAAGTCTTCCGCTCGTTTTTGATTGCCTAAATTCTGTTTTCAGGCACCAGAGGATCCTCCCGATGTTCGTTCCAGAATCAACCTCCAGACTGCAAAAGTTAACAAGGTGGCTGCATCTTTTCTCCAATTTTTTTTTTTTTGAGGAATTGTTCGGTTTTGAAAATGAGATATTTTTACCTGCTGAAATAGCAACAATTGGTTGGTTGATGGGCTTCTCCATCATTCACTCATTTTGTTCCGTCCCTTGCACTTTTTCAGGGAAAATCGCCAGTAAAACAGGATTCATGAATATTCACTTTGGTGGAGAATATGTTGATTTACATATATTCTGGGAAGAAGAAATTCCAGGACGGAGGGAGCTGGGAGCTGTATGGGCATTTGTTGGCATGAAGTCCTCAGGACTTTGGCTGAATAAACCCCAGGTTGGTGACTTGACTCTCATCCTTCCCTTTTGTTTTTCTCCCAGCTGGCTGACAGGCAGATATCCCGAATTCACTGACCCCAAGGTGGTAGCCCAGGGCGAAGGCCGTGAAGGTAGGTGCTTGGAGTGCTCTGTGTTTATGTCTGGCATGTTCTGGAGGGCAAAGATGCCTTTGCGTCCAGAGAGGAGAATGTGTGCCCAAACTTCGCCAAGTCAGAGCATGCTTATGGTTGAGGCTGTTCCTACTTGTCGGGGGATGCCAGCTGCCGAAAGTTTAGGGATGGGCAGAATGCAACGAATGTCGTGAGGAAGACCGCCTGAGTTCAGTTGCAGAATTCCAAGTGTTAGGGAGAATGCCACGCTTTTGTGCTCCATGCCAGCTTATGGGGCTGCCCTGTTAGCCACAGAACCCCAAACAAGAAGGGTCTTGGGTTTGACCCCCTTCACTAGTAATGTGTTGCTTTGTAAGAGCCCTGCTAAGTCTCCACTTGCTCCTTTGCAGTCACCAGAGTCCGCTCACAAGGCTTTGTCACCGTTTCCTTCAACGTGGTGACCAAGGACATGAAGAAGCTGGGCTATGACGTCAGCTCGCCAACCCTCGCCAGCTCCTCACTAACCTCGGTGACAGATGCCATGCATAAATTCTAAACTTGCAATTTGGGATTGATGCTGTCCTACAAGACGCAATTCGGAGCTGACCACGGTTATCAGATAAAATTGTTTGTGTGCCAACCAAGGAGAATCCAGATCAGACCAAACCAGTGCAGATGTGCAGAAATCAGTGCCTGAGGGATTTGCGAAGAGGGTGTGCCGGGTGGCCAGCTGTGGCTACGATAAGCCATCTGCAGACAAGCAGCGTGCTATTGCTCTGCTTTTAGGGGTATTTCCTGTCTGGGCCAGAAGCATCCCTGACTTTTGATTTTTGTCACAAGTTAAATAGAAACTGTTTCCGCTTGTGAGCACACACACTTTCAAAACAGCACATCCAGGCACAATTAGTGTTATCTGGAGAGGTTGGGTGGAAAATTAGACCTTTCAATGACATTGTCCCATTTTAGCACACTGTCATAGTTTGCATTGATAGCACGTGTGTCTGTAGGCGTATAAGAAGGAAGGGGGAAGAAGAAATGAGTTTAAAAGTATGCAAATTATTTCTAATTTCAGTATGGCAAGTAAGGTTTAAAACAAAAACACTGGTTTCATTTTTTTTCAAGTTACAGATTTTATAAGAATCTCTTATCCCCATAAAGGTCTTCACCATGGACTTGATGTTCAGTTTAAAATACAACTCTGTTTAGGAATTTGTACTGTTTTCCAAATAAATTACTTCCTTTACTGACAAAACAGATTTCTGTATGGTCTTTGATGCACTTTAAAAAGAAAAAAATGGGTTCATGCAGGTGTTTTTTTTAAAAAAAACCTGACAAGGCGATTCGGTGGATAAAAGCTGGTGAGCCGACCTCCCCACCACCACCACCACCACCCCCGGGCTCTAGGCAGGCCACACAACAGCCTTGTTAAAGGCAGAATTCATTCAGCAGAGGGAGCCACAGCCTGGAAAAACCCAGAGGCTCCAGCCTCAGACTCTGCAACGCTCTCCCTTAATCATCTCCAACTTGGCCCTCCCAGTGAGAGCTGTGAATTGCTGCTGAGCATGACCCAGTGGCCACCAGGTGAGCCGTGCATCCTTTGGTTCCGAGAAGGAACCCTTTACTTGGCATCCAACCTTGGAACAAGGCTGTGAGGATGCCCACGTAGCACATCCCCCCTCCCTACCTATAAGCCAGAGATTGTCTATGGGGCAGAAGCCCTTGTCCTTTGCTTTCTGGCTTGGCTGGCCCAACTACAACACCTTCCCTTAACTGTTAGCTAAGGGTGAGCTAACAATGAAGGGTGTTCCATGGGGGACGTTTCTCAAATGAGCTGCACCTCGATCTATTTTGGCAAAACCCTGGGAACAGCAAAAGTTTAGCAGGCTAACCACTGCAGCAACTGAGACAGATGGGAGTGTTAAATTTATTGCTGTGCTAATCCCAAAGAGGAATATACAAAATATACAATATACGTGGCCCGTCTTACACTGCAAAACAAGCTCCCGCAGAAATGGGGGATGGGACGGTTTTAGAAGTGGATCTGCTATGAAGAAGAGCCAGTCCGGATGCAGAGTTGGGGGCACATAAGCCAAACCAACACTGGCCGTTTTAAAGATGTTCTCACCGATATCCCAGGCTGCCTCAATTCTTCTCCTGGCCACAAAAGCCAACCGACCAGATCATTTTTCAAGCCGTCGTAGAAGCAGGGGATCCCTGGTTTGTGGCCACCAACTGCCAACGGCTCTCCCAGAAAGGAAGTGCCTGGCGCCAAGAGCTTCCCTCTATTAACCTATTTTCCTCATCTGCATGGAACTTGCTGTTCTCATCATGTTTATCCAGCTGATCTTTTCAGGAAATGCCAGCTCCTCTCTGGTTTGCAGGCTAAGAGGATCACGAACAGAGGGATCGCTGAAGATTTTAACAGCAAAGTGGACACAAGATTATTTTATGCTCTCTACTAATCTCCAAGCAACTATATTCTGCCTACCAAAGAATTATGAAAAATCTGCTTTTTCCCCCTGAAAACAAACCTCATAAGCCAACAGTCTTGAGTTTTATGCCATAGCTTTTTTGAGATATATGGATGGTTTGCGATAGTGGTGAATACTTGTAGCCCAGGTGTAGGATGAGGGCGGAGGTTCATTCTCCGAGCTTGTGGGTTGGTTTCCAAAACGTTTCATTACCAGGCTAGATAAGATCTTCAGTGGAATTTAGGGAATGTCAGTGCTGGCGTCTTGCTTATAGGACCCATCACAAGAGCCTCACCTGACGTGACTCACACCTGACCCATCACAAGACCCTCACCTGATGTGACCCTCCCCTCACAAGACCTACTGACCACACAGAGCCCTTATAAGCAGAAGAACACCGGCACCGACATTCCCTAAATTCCGCTGAAGATGTTATCTAGCCTGCTAATGAAACATTCAGAAACCAACCCACAAGCTCGGAGAACAAATCTCCACCCTCATACATGTATGGATTGACAGGATAGGATTAGAACAAATCCAAGTAGTGACGGGAGTTTTGGAACATCTCAAGAACTTCTGATTACTGCAGAAAATCCAGTAGGTCACAATGGAAAAAACAAGCTTGCAAAATGCCAGGGAGGGACCCAGAGAAGAGTCATAGCTCTGGCTGAATGAAGAGTTCAGGAATGCCAGAACACGCTCCACACACACCTACAACTTCAGGTCTCATGAATGAGGCCTTCAAACATGCCGTTCTTCTGGCCTCGCTGGCAAGGGAGCAAGAACAGAAGGGTTTGAAGCATCTGGGACGGGGGGGGGCAACTCGACAAGCTTGTGCGTGAGCCACAGCAGGTTTCCTATCTCAATCAGCAGAGAAACCAAGGACGCAAAGGAATTGCAGAGATCCAGTTCAAATGCCAGCAGGGTTTCTCCTGGACACGAGATGAAATGGAGACTAAAGCACGGCCGCTTCCAAATTCAGGTGGTTCAACAATCCATGACCTCCAACTGAGGTGGTCTTTCCCATGACTTGCTACTTGATATTGTCTAATAGGCAGCAAATCTTCTGCCAGGTCTTCTGAGGACTTAACAAGTTTTTCCAGCACTAACCAACATGTCACCACCCCACAAAATGATGGTAAGGTCTGGGCCAGATAGGTCACCAACAGATTAAAGAACAGAATTGGAACACCGAGGGTGATGTTTGCCGACGGAGCTTCCCAGAGTAAAGAAAATGGCTTTGCTGAACACCAGAGTGCTGATCTAATTGCTCTCTCATTGGCTGCAGATGAAATGAAGTAGGTTTCCCCCTTAACATGTTAAGAGCAGGCTGGCTGCCTGATCAAAGGCTTAATTTGGTGTCCGAACAGATGAAGAGTTAAACCGGAGGCAGGATTATCACAAAATTGGAAGAACTATTACAAAAGTGCATAAAACACATTCTGAAAACAAGCTGTGTGCAAATCTAGAAGGACAAGTGATAAAATGTTCTGCTGGGAGAACAGGAAGAGCCAGAACTGGGGAGGTGGGGGAAGAGGGTGCATATTTGCTGCTATGTCAGGTTTAGGAACAAACAGATGGCTTGATCAACAATTTGGTTCATGTTTTTTTTTTTTTTTTTTAAAAAAACACCCTACAAAACAAGTTACTGGGGGGGAGAGCAGACAGACCCGTTCTTCAAAGGACCAGAACAACTGCATTCATAAAAAAACACCCATAGCCCTTCGCCACACCTCTGCCATAAGGGAAGGTTATGATACAACGGTACAAATGATAAATGACAGCTGTACAGAAAATAGAAGTAGCCTCTTCCCAACGCTTTAGAAAGTAGCTCCAAACGTTTAAGAGGTGTTTTCCCTACAGATTCTGCCACAGAAACCAAGACAAGCTAGATATTCCTCCACAGCTTAAGCCACGCTCAATACAAAATGTGCATTAGAAGATAGTTGGAGACAAAAGAAATAGGATGGGCGTGATCGCTTTCTTTGAACTAGGGAGCTTTTTTCTTTAATTGGGTTCATAGAATTTTATCTTTTTTAGTCCCTTCCTTTTCTCTTATTCACCTGCGCATGGCCAGCTGTCTCCTGTCTCTAACACTCAAGCCCAAGTTATGCTGGCCATCTTTTCTCTTTCTGGGAAACTCAGAGCAACTCAGAGCAAGAAGACAGACTGGCGGAATAAAAATTGAGCAAATAAAGGGAAAAAATGATTAATTTAACCAGAAAGCCTCTTTAGGAGCATTCTGAAGTTTAGGTCACTTCAAGGAAGGTGGATAGGAAGAGAAGGGACAGTTAATAATGTTGTTAGTCTACGTTAACTGTAAGGAAAGCAATGCCAGGAAGATGACATGTTTAACTTAAGCTCTTTTAAAACCTTTGGCTACTTAAGGCTACTGTCTGCAGTCCCGTTGACTGCAGACAAAACACCTATTTAGCATCCTGTACCTGGGTTAGCTCCATGGCACAAGCTATTTTTTCCACTTGGACAAAATAAATCAGGAAGCCCTTTTTGAAGCAGGAATTCTGCAGGGAGTGCAAAAACTATACTGGCCACGCGGTGCAAGGGCAGAAGCTGAAAGAGGATCTGGGGGTGTTCATGGCTACCCAGAGTGAAATGACCTGTTGCGAGAATTCAAACACAACTTTGCAGCAAGGTAAAGGAAGCAAAATGAGAAATGGAGGCAGCAGGCCATCGGAAAGCAGTTTCTTGTCTACCGCCCACTATCTGTCTGTGTCTGTCTGTCTGTCTGTCACGCGTTGGTATCAGGTGTCTTCCCTCAAGGTCACCAGCAAAAGGTCCCTCTAGCCACTCTCAAGCCACACAGCTTTTGAGGAAATTTTCCTTCACACACACAACAACACACACACGCATAGTCAGCTCGCCCCAAAAGAGGCTTCCTGGCACGGATGTTTCTTCTAAATTATTAAAAGCCACCCAGCAGCTGTCCTACTGCACACAGCGAGGGTCCAGCATCAAGGGACCTCGTCTCGCTGTTGCGAACATGTGTGTGTAAGCATGCAGACATGTTCATGCGTGCTTTCTTGCAGTTGCCATTTGAAAAGAAAGTAAAGAATTTTCAAGCAGTTATTAAACCCGAGTATGGCTTAGTGAAAAAAAAAAAGAGCCCAAAGCATCAAAAGTTTTACTTTTCAGAGAAGATTGTAAACAGAGCCACGTAACACCATAGAGTGCATTCTTTAGTTAGAAGAGTTTAGTTAATTAAAAGTAACATTCATACAGCAATGTTTTGTTTTGTTTTGAAGTTACTGAAAGTATTACAAGAGAGAAGTCATTTATTTTCCATGATCTTCAACCTCTCAAAAGCTTCCAGGAGTTTTTTTTGTTTTGTTTTGTTTTGTTTTTTTACACAAAGTGGAGAGATGTATTCATAAAACTGGGAAACTGAAAGGCAACTGTAGTGTTTTCCTTTTTAAATGTCACCTTAGCCATATTCCTCTCAAAATTTATGTTACAGGAGCTTTTCCAATTTTTTTCAATACAAATGTCTTTGTTCAAAAGCAGAAGGTTTGTTGATATTCCCTTTAAAATTCTCTTTATGAAAACCAAGAGCTAAAATATTTATATATAAATAAGAAACATTAAATCAAAAAAAGAAAAGAATTGGAAAAGAAAGACGGTATCTTAATTTTTCCACTAAACCTGATAGGTCTATCAAAACTATTGACTGTTAAATAAGAACATTATAAAAATTAGCAAGAGTGAAAACAGAACGCTGACCTGGCAAACTCAAATCCAAAACGGCCCTATCCTTAAAAGTGCAAAAGTAGACAAGGATTACTGCATAATAACAAAAGGTCACCCCAAATCAGTTCCCGAGTCGCCCTATTACCTCGGTATCCCCCACCATATGCTTTTTTAAAACCTTGCATTGCAAGTCAAATTAAAAGAGCAATTAATTTCCAAATGAAGTCGCCATCGGAAAGCAGAGAGCCAAAACCAGTCCCGAACACAGTGCAGCATGCCAGCCATTCAGACGGAGGTCGTGGACAGTCCGTAGAAGTGTAGAAATTCAACACTGCGTACAAAACGGCACACTTGCGGGGTTTCACAAAAACTTGCAGGACTTCACAGAGCTTGCTTCGGGTCTCCTCCTCTGGATGAGCTCACCCAACCACCACCCACCTGATTCTCAGAGTGGGGGGGAAAGGGAGGCAGAGTTTTGCTCGAGAACATTTTAGTGTGCGAGGATATACAGAAAACAAAGGCCTGGGCTGGCCAGATACCTCTTTTGCCAAGACTGATATAAGGACTATGGGTGAACCAACAGTCTAGAAGAGAATATGGTTTATGTGCAAACATGTTCACTAGCACTCTTGAGTCTCAAATGTGTTTTTACAAGCATGGGGTCTGGCTGGCTCGGGCTGCGGCACTTCGGAGTGCGGCGTATGGTCTACAAAACAACACAGGGAGCTATTTAAGATGGCAAAGCCTTCCTATTATGTTGAAATGATTAACAAAAGAGGAGGAAGGGGAGGGAGCAGAGACTGACTTTGGTGACACAGGCCAAGGCGTTTCTGCCAGGCTGCCAAGAACCCAAACGAAAGGTACCCTCTGCAGCAGGTGGGCAGGTCTCGGGGAACGGCCAAGGGCACCCGGAGCTCCCGCAGAAAGCTCTGGCAGCCCGCAGCCTAGCCACACACACCCCCCGTCTCCGGCGCTCACGGTTCACCTCCAATGTCCTGCCCGCCTTTCCCAGGGAGGCTTCATGCTCCAGGCCTCCTCTAGAGGAGGAAAGGGTTAGTCGCGTTGGCCGGCTGAGAGACCGAGGGGGGAATCCCCGGGTGGACAGGCTGAGCCACGGACCCCATTGTGCCCACGCTCACTCCCGGGCCCATCCTGGTTAGAGAGGTCACGGGGCCCACGGCTGGCAAGGGAGGCAGAGCCACGGGGGCCACAGAAGGAAGGGGCCCCGGTTCCAGCCCTGGCGTAGCGTTGAAGGACAGGCTACCCCCGAGGATGGGGCTGGCCCGCATCTGATTGAGAGTGAGGGGCTGCGGCTGATTCACTTGGAAGGGGTTGACTGCGGCCGGAGAAGGAGAAGCCGACGATGACGACGACGATCCTGGGAGCAGAGAAGAGGGAAGAGTCAGTCCAATCTCCACGGTTTCCAGGCTGACAGCAAACAGCTACACAAGCACAAGGCTGCAACAAAGGCACCCTTTTCCAGGACACGTTCAATGCAAGGCAAAGAGGCAGGGGCCCTGCCGGTGCGTCATGCAATGCCCACTGCCCAGGAATGGGAGCAGTGGGGTCTGCAGAAGGCAGCGGGGGAGGGGTCGAGGGGAGTCTGCAGAAAAGGCAGCCAGAGCAACAGATCACAACCCAAAGTCGTGCCTGAGCAATTCTGCCAAGCACCGCAGAATTCGGATTCCGCTGCTGGGGGCTAGCCAGTAGCCCAGCTGAGAGACTCTGTCCGGATGGAAATGAAACCTGGAACCAAGGCCCTCTCCCTAAGAGCCCCAGAGTCACCCCAACCTTTCCTCCCAACGACAGCCTCCGGGCGATTCTCCCCAAAGCTCCACTCAGAGCGCTGTTGAGAAACGTCAGCAACTTCTTAAAGCAGGGCTGGCTGGGGAATTCTGGGAGTTGAAGCCCCTCGTCTTAATGATGCTTAGAAGGACTGCCTACCCCTGGCCTGAACCATGCTCCAGCTGCCTCTCCAAGAAGAACTCACCTGGCGTTTCTGGATCCTGTTCCCTGCCAGGCCATTTCCCTAAAACCCAGCTGGGATCAGCAGCTACCAGTAGGCTGGTGAAATCAGCTGCTGCCCTCACTCAAGTAACACAGTGCAGACCGTGGGCCTTAAAGTGAGCGGACTCATTAACGGAGCCCCGATGTGCCCGTTCTCCACCGTCTGCAATTCCACTCTCAAAGAAACCACAAGTGCGCACTCGGGGCGAAGACGTACCCGGAGCCAAGAAAGGATTGAGGGACGGTGCTGGCTGGGGGGGCTTAGATACCAGGGAGTCCAGATTCACCAAAGCAGCATTGGGGCCCAAGAAAGACTCGGGGGTCCTCCGAGCGCCGCTCTGTTTACTGGAGGAGGAGGAGCTGGCTGGCAGGGAGTCTGAGAGGTCGGGGCTGGTGGTCCCACTGTTCTGAGCTGACAAAGCAGAACCTGAATCCGGGGAAGAGAAAAAACGGCTCCTGAAAAAGATCGATCTCAAAAGGACGCGATCCCTATTACGCCCGTTTTCCTTAAACATGAGACGGTTGCTTTAATCTTCCCCCCTTTTTTTTCTGTTGCTTCTTCCAAGGGATGTGAAATCCCAGCCTGCCTCAAACACCAAGCAGGGACACTGATCGTGCTGATCTTTTATAAACCATTTCGTTTACCTAGGCCTCAATGTCCACAGGAGTCATGTTCTCCCTTGTGATTTTTTTTTCTTTTAATTTGGGGAAGGCTATCGAGATCGTTCGGCAGCGGTTTCCTACCAGGTGTTCAAGCCCCTTTTCAGCCCCCAAACTCTGGTGTCCGTTTCAAAGATACCTTGCTTGTTAGAAGTTCGAAGGGTGTCAAATTCAGAAAAGTCGTCTTTAATTGTCCCGTTCAAATTGCTGAAGAGGTCGAAAGATTTACTACCTGCAGTGGAAAACAAGAGTGTCCTCGTTTTAGTTGCACCCCAGCCAGGACTCTTCTCCATAATCCTAGACAAATATGGTCTCCTCTAACGGAGGAGAAGATAACCAGTTTCACCCAGCTGCAAAACTCCACCCCAGAATCTGGGCCTCCCTGATTGGAGAGGCTGGGATCTGGGCCTTCTCCTGTGTGGCTGAGCCACCAGCTCTCAACCCCTGCAGACCCCTGACCCAGGGGTCTCCAACCACAGCAACTGTAAGACTTGTGGACTCCGACTCCCAGAATTCCTCAGCCAGCATAGGACAGCTGGCTGAGGAATCCTGGGAGTCGGAGTCCACAAGTCTTAAAGTTGACAAGGTTGGAGACCCCTGCTCTAACCTAGCTTCAGCAGGACACGTCCGCTGTGTGCCTTCAGCCCACCCAAGGGTTCAGGAGTAAATTCCCAGCATACGAGCCTCTCAGGCTCCAGACAGATTAAACTGGATTTCTTTCAAGAAACAGACCAAGCTACCAGTGGCCTTACGAATGGAGGAACGGATAGAATTCCTGACACAGGAATGTCTGTGTCCTAGGAAAACTCCCAAAAGTGAGAAAGTCTTTTGTCCAGGGAATGTCAACGGGAATAAAACAAAAGCTTTAGAGTATCCACAACTTCTCCTTTGCTCAGGAGAGACAACCATCATCTTTCGCTTTTAAAAAAAAGCATTCCCGTCACTTGAGCCGGGCTGTGATATTTCTAAACATTGCAGCCGTATGGCGATAATTCTACCTCGTGTCCAGCCACTGAGCACCTACAGGCCAGAGAAGATGCTTTAGACCTAGCCGCCAATAAAACAGGCTCCTCCAGGAGACACGGAAAGCGGGCATCCTACTTACCAGAAGCAGAAATTGGCTTGTTTACTGGTGCTGGTCCCCAGGGGTCCACGGCTGTCTTTGTTGCCACGGACGAGGGCTGGGAAGGAGCCCAAGGATCGGCATTCTTTGGGAGAGGCTGGGCAGCTGAGGGTGTTGCAGGGGCTCCCCACGGATCAACAGAGGTGGCTGGCTTGGCACCTGCAGGCAAAGGATGTACAAGCTTTACAGCCAGGTTAGATTAAATCCGACATTCAACCTGTTACCAACAAGAGGGGAACTTCAGTTCTGAGGGATTTATTTATGTAATCCTAATCCTAACTCAGAAATTCACCAACAGAACCAGATGCGAAGAGCATACACACAACATTTAGAATCCTAACCTAAAATCTGTGGAGCACTTTTCACAGAGAAATCCTAAATCCAGATGTGCGATTTCAAACAGGGCAAAGGAACCTTGTTGCTTCTGCTGAAGTTAAACAACGAGACGTTAAGAACCCTCTTGATCCTCTCAAACACTGAAGACCCACTTGTCCGGATCGACCTGCTGCCCGTCCAAGTACTCCATATTGGTTCATCATAAACTGGATTCTAACAGGATTTCTTAATTATTATTTTTAAAAGTTAAAGATTATTTCTTGATCGGCATCAACGTGATTATGCCACAAAATTAAAATAGCAAGTTGCTATTCCTCCCCTTTTCTTAGCGCATCGATTTAAACAAGGAGAGCCCAAATTTTCCATTGGCTGGTTGTGTTTTGGCGTATCTGTTTCAAGGAAACCTGCTGGAAACATACACACAACACTGTAAAAACACTGATCCGCATTTACAAACCGGCGCAGGTTCCCAGTCATTATGTCCAGAAGACAGGAAGCACCGCAGAGCTTTCCAGAGAAAGCAGCTAATCTCTTCCCGTGGCCTCCGTTTCCGGCAAATCTATCGACAATTCCATGGAAGAAATGCTAATCGCCTGGGGCTGCCGTAAATGGAAGCCTCCCAAACAAGTTGCCCTTTCATGAATCGGAGGACAAAAGCGGGCGGGCGCAGGAACGGCAGGGCTGGAGGACAAGACCCTCTTCTGAGGAGGCTCTTATTGAAATCTCACTGAAATCCCCGTCCAGCTAAGCGAGACTTAAAGGCCTCTGTTCCGCTTTGAGTCAGCCTTTTCAGCGGCATTCAGATACATCAATCTGGTTTCTCCAGCACCATCCTAGGGAGCCAAGGAGCTGGCGAGCTCAAACAAGGGGGCTGTTATCAATGAATCAAGTCAGTCAATGTTGGAAGCCCCCTAGGTTGTTGCAGCTGCGGCTTGGGGGGCCTCTTTCCTTGAACCTTAATGCGGGGGGTTGATGGCACCTTCCTAGGCTGAAGAGTGAAATGTTCCCCAAACTCCTTACATTCCCCAAAGGTGTTTCCTTTATCTCCGGCAGCAGAAGACGAAAGGGTCTGAGGACAGAGCAGTTCAAAACACATGCTGAGCCAGAGCTTGTTCTACTGGATGCACATAAAGATTGCCACAAAAACCAAGGACAATCCGAACAGGTGACAGAAAGGGAACGAAAGAGACCGGAGGATTTCTGTGTGCCTTTGCAGCACTTGAATAGGCAACCATTTCTGCACCCTAAGATAAGGAATAGTAAAGCCCACCTTGCAGGTACAGCAGATGGAGAAGCAAAGTCAAGGACTTGAGCAAGAAGTGGTCAACAGCCAAAGCAAAGCTGGACAACATCCAGCTTTGGAGTTAACAGAAGAAATCTCCCAATCTGGGCACCTGAAAGGGGAATTCGAGACCTGAACATTTGTTGGGATAGATTCCCTAGTCTGGCAAGCCTCTCTGGCAGGTATTCTCCAAGGATCCCAAAGGTGTTTTTTTTCACAACAGAACTGGACTTTGTTTTTCCTTGAAGAGGTTTCACTTCTCATCCAAGAAGCTTCTTCAGTTCAAATGAAATGTCTTCAAGGAAAAACAAAGTCTAGTGGCCTTTTGAAAAAGCACCTTTGGGACAACCATGATTCTGAATCTCCACAGATATCCTCCAAGTATCTCATCACTGAAACAGCCTCAGGAAAAGCATACAGGGAAAAAAGGCGCCTCAAAGGTTTAACTGGGGAGTCTGGAAAAAAGGGAGGCAGAACCCGGTTCCGAGAAAATTTGGATCCACTTAATCTTTTCAAAAGCCTCCTCGCAAGATTCTAACCCTCTCTGGAAAATAACAAACTCCCACCGCCTGGTTCCACCAGAAGCAACCCAGTTATAAAGGCAACCCCAGACAAGATCCATAACCGACGGCCTGGCTTAGTCACCTCAACTGCTGCTCGTTGGCCTAGGAGACGCACAGACCTTCTGCAAAATAAACTAGAAAAATAAACGAGGGCTAACAACCAATAGGACTGTCCACTAGTCCTCAGCTATACTGGTTTGAAGACCCCTGTTCTAGAGGATCAGTTGGGTATGGTGGTGGTGGTGGTGGAGGAGGAGGAGGAGGAGGGGGGGGAGGAGGAGGAGGAGGAAAAAAGGTGCCAAACTATAAGGGAAGCCAGACTTTCAGGATTTGCATAGGCCGTCCCACCCCGAGGGCTCTGTGGGAGTGGGAAGCAAAAGACCCCTTTCCCCCGCTCTTACCGAATGATTGCCATGGATCGGAGGTGGCAGTGCTGACTGGAGGACCCCCCCAAGGGCCAGCTTTGTTGACTGCAGCTGGGGGCTTCCAAGGCTCCCCTTTTGGGGCAGGGGTGGCGGAAGAGGGCAGCGCATCCATGAGGTCCAGCAAAGCTGCGTGCTGCTGATAAAGGTTATTTTTAGCCGTGTACAAACATTTTACAGGATCCACAAATCATCTTTTTCAAAAAGAAAGAGAGGAGCACAAGGAACACACACAAAAAATTGCACCATTTCACTCTTTCACATGCCCTCAGCTGATCACTTGGGCTTTTTATCCCAGTACAAAAGAGATTTTTTTTATGATAAAACACTGTGTCTTCCATGAATGCATAAATACTCATAGCAAATAGAGTTGCAATGCCTGCTCCGTTTGTGTCCCACCTTCCCAGTCAGGTCTGAGAATTATCTCAAAGGAAACCACCTACCTCCTTCTTTTTGGGAATTTTGACAGTATCTCTGCGACTTTCTTCCAAGGCCATCTGCAACCTCAAATCGTCTCCTCGGCGCAGGCGCTCTTCCTGCAGAAAGGAGGAGTGGGAGCTTTAAAACAGGCTCCCACATCGTCTGTGCCCCTCTCTCGGCATGAAAGTGAAGTGCTTGGATGACACTTTTTCCATGTGGTTTTCTGAATTTCCTAGTCTAGACTACAGCCAACACTTCCAGCCAGACTTCATTACTTAGTCATCTAGTAGCTGGCTTCACAAGTCTTAAAGTGGGCAAGTTTAGGAGACCCCTGATCTAATACCAAAGAGGCTAAAATGCCCATTTTCACTCCTGCTTCACTGCATCTGCTAAGGCTCGGGTGCCTCAAAGTTCAGAATTTTCCATATTCATCAATTTAAGGTTTTAGAAGCCAAACTGAAAAACTGGCACCGTTAAGGCTTGATCCTAGACCTGCAAAATTTTTGCTTTAGGCTTTGACTGATAGCTCCAGAGGGTGATTCACATCCATTCACAAAAAGGCTGCAGCTTTCCTTTGATGATCAGACTTAACTCGTAACAACTGTCATACACTTCCACGGATCATCAGCTCCTTGCTTGTCCGTGACAGCCAAGCTGGGAGCCAGGTTTTCACGAGTGATTTTCAGTTAACAGGGAAATTGGGGTGGTGGTGACGACACGGCCCCTGCAGGGTTGCAGAACTTTCCCCCCGCTATTCCAACCTACCAAACCTAGAAGGGGAGGGGGCTGAGAGCTGTAGTTCAGCTGCACCTGAAGAGTTGCAGGTGCCTACCTGTGCTCTTCCCAGCTCTTTTCCTCACTTCGCCTTCCTAGTGTGGACGGCAGGTCAACCCAACGTGCATCGGGGGGGGGGGGATGCTGCTGCTCTGCCAGAAACCAACCTGTTCTGCCACTTCTCTGCTCATGGCCAAAGCCAGCTGCAGCTGGAGTTCCTCTTCCCCGCTGGTCTGAGGTCGGGCCTGCTCCAGTTCTGAAGACACTCTTGGTGATGTAGCTGCAGGGAGAAATAGGCACATGCTTGGCTCTCTCTGAGCAGCTCGGCTGCTGAAAGCCCCTCTTCTGTAAGAGAAGAATGGCAAACTAGACCAGGGGTAGTCAACCTTGGCTCTTTTATGACTCGTGGACTTCAATTCCCAGAATTCCTGAGCCAGCTGTGCTGGCTCAGGAATTCTGGGAGTTGAAGTCCACGAGTCATAAAAGAGCCAAGGTTGACTACCCCTGAACTAGACAGTCATGCCCAAGGTCTCTACATAAAGAGATATTGCCGAAAAGCTGCGATTTCCCTGGCATTTTGCTTCCTCTCCTAATAAGTACAGTAACAGTAAACTTCCCAGGCCTGTTTCGGTCCATGAAGCATTCATCTGGGTGCAACGTCAAACTAAGTGAAACGCAATCCTTCCCTGGATCCAGACCAGGAATACTTGATAATGGTGATCCCACACACACGGAGGAGAGACAGAGAGCAAAGCCCTCAGAATTCAGCATGGCTGGCTTGAGTAAATCTGGTTAGGACAGCTTACCGCCCTGTTTCCACATTCAGCTAACTGTAAATTGTTTTTAAGGCATTGCTTAAAATTTCTCAGAGGTTTAAAATCATAGCAGCATTTCAGATTAAGACGGGCTGGCTACCCCCAGGAAGCTTCCGTTAATTTTTATAAAACTGTGCCTGTAAATTGAACTGACCTATTTCCACCTTCCACTCCGCATTTAAATCCCTCAGAGAAATCAATAATGTCATTAGGAGGCCAGTAATGACAGCTCATCAGCACCCAGCCAACCCTGCAATTTCTTAAATTTCCAAAGCATCCTGGCATTGCCCTGAAAGCCTCATCTCCCAACGATCCAGCCTAAACGGTTTCCTTGTAACCCATGAAGAGATCCTTTGTTATCCTGCTACAAAGCGCCTGATCATTGACTCAGATGTTTGCGCAAGATGGCACTGAGTAGATCCAATTTTGATACCCTGAGACCTGCTTTGTTGCCACTTCCACAAACCTTTGGATTTCCAAACTATGAGGAAGTCAAAAACTGAGGTCTGCTCTTTCACAAAATTCATACAGAAACGGCTCAACTCTGGGCAGCCATTCAGGCCAGCTTCCCTGAAACCAGAAACACTTCCCGGAGGATATTTCCGCTGTCTGAGCCTTCTAGGGAACCCCAGTGCTTCCCATTACATGTGTCTGATAAATGCTCCCTAAAGTAGGGGGGAAGTGGCAACCACACTTCTCACAGATTCACAGAAATTATTTTAGAAAATTATTATTACTAGTCTAAGAGTCTAGTAGCACCTGTACACTAATCAACTCTCTATTATCACAGGATCTTTTCCCTATAACAGTTCAGCGAGGCATTTCTCCATCTTTAAAGATGCAACAAAATTCTCTACAAGGGAATAAAACTCAAAATTATAACTAAGTGGGATGGGACCCCTGCAGGAAGGCAAGGATGAAAGAACTACTTCCAATTCAACCTCAGGGCGGTTATCCTGTTCTGGAGGACATCTTTAAAGTGAAAGCACCTGCCAAGCAAGGGCCACACACCGGGTAGCTGGTTCAAAGACCCGCATTTCTTTTTTTTTAACCCCCCCGCAAATCAGAAGAGAGCGTGGAAGCACACCAAAGCCCATAATGTGCACTTACACCCATGGTAGGAAGCTGGAGAGCCTCCAGATTTGCCGTACTCTTGCTCAGAGTAGCTGGTGGACAGATTAGGCTGGCTGGACCCTCTGCCAAAGGAGATCTGGTTGCTGCCCACTCCGATGGCCACTTGAGCCATGCGCTCTTTGGTCTTCAGGGCCTGGGCCCTCTCCGCCTTGAGCCGCTCGTCGTCCTTCAGCAGGGAGACCAACTGCTTGGACTTCTCACGCACGTTGATGCCCTGGTCCTTCCCATCCCGGTCAATGTACTGAAAATCTTTCAAAGTCTGGATGGCAAAGATGTTCTCTTTGCACTGCTGGGCCACCCGCTCTGACCCGGTTTTGATCAGGTAATCCAGCAGGGTTAAAGCCTTGTAAACGTGCCTCCAGTTCTTGCCGTGGTCGTTCAGCCGCTTCCAGATCATGCTCATGATTTCAGAGAAGGCTACCACGTTGTAAGTCAGGTCTGCAATTTCGGTCATTAAGGAGCTGGAGGGACCCCAGGGGTCATTGGACGTTGCTTCCCGGACTTTAATTTCGGCCTCTGAATAATTGTTCACAATGTTTTTCATCTGCCGCCTAATCGATGAAGTTGTCATTTTTATCTCCTGCTCCGTGTCAAGGCAGATTCCTCCCGAAAGTCCTCAGGGATTGGCCGCCGGGGCGCTTTCCCCTCTGCAAGTCCCTCGGACGGGAAGACAGAGCAAGGACACCACCCGACTTGGAGCAATTTCTGATAAAGTCATTTCCTCTCCTCATCAAAGGTGCAGAAGAAACTGGGAAGCTTGACCTAAAAAGGAGGGAAAATCCCATTAGTAACCATGGCAATGGCTTTCCTGCATTTTGAAACATAGTCAAATCCAACCTCAGCATCCCATCTGTCCGTGGGCTGGCATGACAGGAGGAACCGTCCCCAGGACCTGAGCTCGCCTCAGCGCCACCCGGGTAACTAAAGCACTGCAGACACAACAGCTAAGACTGGTGGTGAAAAAGAATCCAGACCCCACTTACAGCAATAGCTTCCTTCCCCGCTGTACAGCCACAGGCAAACAGGAGTGTTTCAAGAGGCCTTTGTCAGGCATCCAGACACAGATAAAACATTGTGAACGGCTCGGATTGTCAGATAAAGGACCAGAAGGAGGACTGAGCTATGGCTACAGACAAGATGGCACCAGCGGCTTGAAGCAACTCCTGTTGAAATCATTTCCCCTCCTCCTCCCTGCAGGGCCACTTGTTGCTCTGCGCATCACACTTGGGCTAGTTCCCCAAACCACAGACCCCGCAGCACGCCCCACAGGAAGGTCATCTTCAGCCTGAGAACCCTGAGACGCAGAGGGGGATCCCAGCGGCTGGCCCAGCGGCTGGGGCAAGAGGCTTCCTATCTATCCTCCTCGGATCCCCTTCTATCAAGACTGCAAAACATCTGTCATGTCACCATCTGACAGGCAGAAAGGTAAAATAGATCATCTGTTAAATATTGACAAATTACTTTCATTAAAAGCAAAGCATTACATTAGTAGGGAATTAACCTTCTTTAAAGAGGCCCTGTGGATTATTAGCTTACTGATGAATCGCCCACAAAACGTGTAAACTCAGCAGAAACGGGGTCTCTACAGGGCCGTGAAGTTGCAACTGCAGCGCGAATCAAAATTAAACTTTATGCAGCAGCTGCTTGGGGAAAATACCAGAATGCAAGTGGACTTGTTAGAGAGAGAGAGAGAGAGGGAGAGAGGGAGAGGGAGAACCGCTCTGGCAGTTGCAGCAAACTGTCAGTTTATTGTCAAAGAGCACTCATTTCTCTTGGGATCTTGTGATTCCTGCAACTGAAGCCATATCTGCAATTAGGCCTCCTGATAAGTCTGATGCAGCCACTGTGTCACACCTCAAAAACACTTGCCTTTTCTGGCCTTCTCAACAACACAGTGTGTGACTCAGAGGGAAGGCAGGACTATGAACAGTGGAGAAGGGGAAAAAACGCATGTGCAGATTGGAAGCTAAATTCTTCCCAAAACCACACTAGGCAACCGGTCGCTTTGCCCTAGGGAGCTTCCAGACTGTTTTTAGTTCTGTCCTTGGCCCAAAACCTTGGCAAAGCATTTTAGAATCTGAGAAGCAGCTTTAGATGATCACAATCGTTGTGATCCATCCTGGCCAGAGCCCCCTTTTCTAACATAATCTGGACTCGGTCATTAAAGGAACAACGAATGCTTTCAGGTCGTTTTCTTCACAGAAGTAAGTGATCTCCCATGGACTTCAGAAATTCTCCCTCNCCTTGGCCCAAAACCTTGGCAAAGCATTTTAGAATCTGAGAAGCAGCTTTAGATGATCACAATCGTTGTGATCCATCCTGGCCAGAGCCCCCTTTTCTAACATAATCTGGACTCGGTCATTAAAGGAACAACGAATGCTTTCAGGTCGTTTTCTTCACAGAAGTAAGTGATCTCCCATGGACTTCAGAAATTCTCCCTCTAACGTGATTTCCAAATCCCAAGTGGGTCTTATCATGCATAACTTTCCAAACTCACGATACAGCTAGGGCTCCCCAGTTTTAGAGGCACGGCCTTTCTTTTAATTAAGTAGGGTGCCATACTCATAGATGTACATACAGAGAAGCCAGGTACAGAGAAGCAATAAATGTTTATAATTATAGACAACAACTAGATTATTACAGTACATTCTATGGTGCAATAAAATCAGCATACAAAACTCCAAAACGAAGAGCAGGAAACATGAATAATTAGCACCAGGCATAGTGTTTTACCATAATTTCAGTCCTGAGGGTTAACTTAAGTTACCCCAGGGGTGTCCAACCTTGACAACTTTAAGACCTGCGGACTTCAACTTCAATGGCTGGCTAAGGAATTCTGGGAGTTGAAGTCTACAAATTTTAAAAGAGCCAAGGTTGGACACCCCTGAGTTACTTACTCCCTGGTTAGAGCACAGGGCAAAAGGAGATTCCTATCTTAATACTCTGTTTGCAGGATAATGAAACGCATTTAAAGAGCCACAGATTTTTTTAAAAAGTTGATTGAAAGCAAGAAGAAGTACCTGCCTTCTTCTACTGAAAACGTAAAACATGCCAGTCATGTTTCTTGTTCCAGGTCTAATACCACTTTAGGAAGAAAAAAGAAAGAAAGCACCAGATGGCCCATGCCCCATCTGTTCACTTGGAATTAAACCCCACCAGATTTCAAAGAGGAGCCCCGGGGACCCCCTGCAGCTCTGGAATCCAACTATTTCCGGTGGTACAAAAGGAGCAAGAGAGACCCCCCCCCCAATATCTCGGGGAGATACAGGAAGGAAGCCTCAACTCTCCTAACCCCCTGCTCTTCCACTCTAAATGGCCTCTTTTCCTGACATTTCAGGGGGGTGAACAAAGAACTGGGCTTTCATTACACCCATTGCTCAAATCTTTCACGAGAGACTGGGTTAGAAGTAACAAATCATCAGACACCAATACAATAAAGAAGCTGTGCATTTAAAAGGGGGGGGGGATGTCAAAAGATTTGTTTCCAGAGCTAAACAGGAAAATGAATTCTATATTTCATTCTATCACAGTTAACAGACTGTTATCAGATGCAATAAAACTGGGCATTAGGCATAAAAGTCCATATGCAGAACACACATCAGATCTTTTCTGCCATAGTAAAAAAAAGGAAAAACATATCAACAGAACAGCAAGGAGTCCTGGAAGAGATCACAGGAATTTTCTTGCATTCCAACTGTCTAAACATAAAGTTCTGCAGAAAAAAGAACCAAGCTGAGATTTAGCAAGTAAAATGTATTTCAGAAAGGAAGAAGGGAATCAAGTGTCATTTTTCTAAAGCACACAAACTAGTTGACAACTGTCCTTGAACATACCCTAAGTTTCCATCTCAGGACTTCTAGAATGAAAGCTTGAGCAGAGAATTGTTGAATCTGATCCTAAGGCTGAGACTGACTCTCCAACTTTACAGTCAGTTTACCAAAGGGAAAGAGATGCTTTCAGAAGAACTTTTCTCCAGAAAAGCTATGGGAAAACATGGATTATTGGCCACGTTTAGGTAGTCTGGATTCCCGATGTACCGTCTGCTGCACCATCGTGCCCCAAGGAGCTCAGGAGTGTCCATCCCCCGTCATCGGAGTTGCCTTACTTCAACAAGACGATTTCGTCATGTGCCTTTCGACTCTGCATACTTCAAGGCATGTTACACAATTGGGTGCTTTTGAAATAAAAGTCAGAAGAGATCCTGTTGAACCATCAGAAGAAATCACTGAGAAGGGAGGAGGAGGAGGAGGAGGAGGAGGAAAACAGGAAATCTGATTCATGAGGAGCAACAAGTCAACCAAGTATTTTTGAGATTAAACACACAAACACAAACACATTGCTATTCAAGGAATGAAGAAAGCAGAGAGTTGTACATATATGTGAAGAGGCCCTCAAACAATTCCAACCCTCAAATTATACTAATATCATCGCATTCTAGATAGTTCAAAGTTGGGGAAAGCTGGACTACAGACACAGAGATAGAGATAGAGATAGAGAGAGAGAGAGATAAAGAGAGATAGATAGATAGAGATAGAGATAGAGATAGAGAGATAGAGAGATAGATAGATAGATAGATAGATAGATAGATAGATAGAGAGAGAGAGAGAGAGAGAGAGAGAGAGAGAGAGAGAGAGAGAGAGAGAGAGAGATTTCCATGCCCAGAATGTTCTTGGGGCACAGAGTAGTAGGACCATGGCAGATCTTAAACACTGCTATGGAAACAGAGAAGGAAACCCATTCTCTTGATCTTACAAGGTGTAGGGCCACTTAGCAATTCAGGCAGTGCATTCCCATCAGGTTTGACACCAAGTGTACGATAGATGGGATGGATGTGCCACAAGAAAAGATTTCCCAAATGCTAAATTGCAATTTACTCATTTTAAAATAAATAAGGCTTGCAAAAGACACATATTTAAAAAATGAAAATGCCTTATTGGAAACACGAACTAAAGGATATTAACTCAGAAGCAGCCGCCCTAGGAGCACAAACTGCAAGCAGAGGAATGGAAGCCCAATTGGAAGGGCTTTGAAGTCCAGGGGGAGAGACTCCAGGAACCTGGGACTAATCTCTGCCCCATCCTCCAGGGTCAGCATAATGGAAAATAATAGCAGGTCACAAGAGATTTTACTTCCATTGGTTTATTTGCAGTGAAAAATGCAGCCCTGCCCTGGATTAAGAGGCAAGAACCCAAGCAAGAAAATGTCCCGATTCAAGATTCAAATACTGTTCGGGTTTGGACAGGGGGGAAAAGAGCCGGGCTCGATCCTGCCAGGACCGAGGGGCTGGTGGCTCTCTGGACAATTCTTTGCCATTGGTCCTGGAAAGGACAAGTGCTCAACCCAGGGGGCTCTCCTGGACTCAAACGGCAGTTGTTGGAGTCTCTGCAACAAGTACTGGGACACTTACAGAATGACTGACCATCCTGTTGAACACACTTACAAGGTGGAGGTGTTAGCACGTTCAGTTTGAGTCAAGCTGGGCTGAGCAGAAATTTGGGGGGGTTGCAGGCTTCACATTGAGGCTCTAAATTAGGGATATCCAACCTTGGCAACTTTAAGACCTGTGGACTT